CCAATACCTGTATCCGGGTGGTCAAAGTATTGTTATTTTATCTGGAACAATCTTGATCTGAAAATTTGTTCAATGTTCAAACCAGCGCTGTCTGGGTCTGTAATAGACTTATATCTAATCTTATCTAAAGCATCTGAGGCATTGGAAATCAATTCTCTCAAGAAAATTTCTTTGTTTGAATAGAATGTGTTGATAATCAAACCCATCAATTGTTGGATATCGGCATTGAAGTGGAATTACTCTTCTTTCTTTTACTCTGTTGACATTACTAATTTTTAAACTTAATAATATGCATCAATAGAACTCGATTTTATACACAAATTCCAATTCTAGAAAATTCTATTTTGAAATTTTATATAGTAATGAAATTCTATAAGAACTTAATATAAATCTCAATTAAATTAATGTATTAATTATTCTTTATTACATTAAAATTTAAACACCATTTTGTGTTATATCCTATCTGAAATTTAATAATAAGTTATTCTCTATATTATAAAGGTTATTGTTGACTCTGTCTTTATTGTAACCAATCATTTAATGTGTCCATTTTTCTTTAGATTGTACAAATCTTATTTTTTGAATATGCATTATTTCAATTATAAATAATAATAGAATTCAATTTAAATAACAGTCAAAATATCTTAGTATTTTAATGTATTATTTTATATTGAATATAGGATTAAAAGCTTATAAAATTTATGAGGTAAAAGTACATTCTCTAATACATAAGTTAGGTTTATGGGTAATAAAGAAAATATGTTATAAAATAGTGATAATTTAAATATTTCAAAGATATTATTAAATGGATATCTAATCTAAATAAAATGACCTATTAAATTAACCCTAAGGATTGTGAATCATAAGATTAATTAAGATATGTTTAAAATAAAACACATATCTCAGTTAAAAATATTACGAAGGCTCTTTGATTTGCAATCAACGAATTTATAAATAATAAAAATGAGGTTTTATCAAATTTTATTATTGTAGAAGTCTGAGAACTAAATGGCTTTAAGAAGGAGAGGGTGTAATGATTAGGCGTATTGAGATCTATGGATATAATCCTACATTTATATGGGGATGGTTGAATTAGAGATATTTTATTTAGGGAATTAAAAATGATAAGGAATTGCTTATAAAAATGTGCCTAAATAATTAATAAAAAGATTTAAATAAAAAATCAAATTTTTATCAGGAATGGCAGCAAATAAGTTCTGGAAAAAAAGTGAAGTAAGAGTATATGTTCAATAATGAGTTAACAAATTTGGAATAATAAGTTGGTGTTGCATTGACCTAAATCGAGCAATCAGTCACAGAAGCCAAGAATCTTAAGGTTTCATCAGTTGTTGATTATACAGCAAAAATCAATGCTAAGAAGTAAGTTTATTTAGTATTCATCCCCCATCCATGCTTATCAATCTACAATAAAGTGAGGTATCCATATGTGTAAATTGCTTAGCTCAAAATTATTACCAGAATTAGAGAAGAGATTGAAGGCAACAATATTGGTTGTTGCAAAGAGAACAATTGAAAGCAAGTGGGTTAAAAGTCACAGATCTCAAACAAGACCAAATTCAAGAACACTCACATCTGTCTATGATGGACTTCTTGATGATCTTGTTGCACCATCTACCATCTTGGGAAGAAGAACAAGAGTTAGAGTCGATGGCACTAAATTCTATAGAATGTACTATTCAATATTCACAATTAGCTTTTTGGATGAATAAGATAAAAATGAAGTCGAACCAAGACTCGATGCAATCAAAGCTGTCTATAAATTATTAACAACAAGAGAATTAGAATTTGAATTCAGAAGAGACGATGTCTTCTACTCAAAAAGAGGTGGAGCCAAGAAAGCAACAAAAAAATGATGAGCATTAATATTTTAGTACAATATAATAAATACACCAAATAAAACATTAATTTTATTCTTTTAACATCATTCTATTTCATAAATTTATTTTAGAACATATAAAGAATAAGTAAATAATCATTGTTATAAATTTGTTTTAGTATACAGAACCCTTCTTAGAGTATCCGAGGTCATCCCTCTCCTTCTGGAGTTGTTCTGATTTTAATGAAAGTCTATAAGTTTCGATAATTTAAAGATAGTTTATACTTCAGCACCCAACTTACTAATTATTTATTTGCTCAAATTACTACAAATAGACTGGTCTTGATCATTCTCTGCCTCTTGCAGTACATCATCATAAGCCTTGGAATAGATTAATAATGAATACAGAATAAATCTTTGCATACATCTTCGCATCTGCTTAGAGATTGTAGTGTATTTTATTTAAGGATTCCAACTCTTGGGAGGTATCATCCCTGAAATTAAAGATAACCCTTACTATTTAGTGTTATTACTTCTTGTTCTTTCTTCAACCACTGTCCTATTAAATACCTCTTTAGTATTGTCTAAGGATATCAAAGGTTTTGGAGCAAAATTGAACATCAATAGTTGTTGCTGAGAGAAAATCACTTCTTTAAGTTTCTCTAAGTCATTTAGTTTTGTTAGTATATTAAATAGATCTATTTATTCAGTGATTTGATCTCTAATTAAATGAATATGCAATTTACATAGCTTTGTTCATCAATTAAATATGTTTTTTATGTCTAAATACCTTTTAGCAAGTCAAAAAATTGATTAACATTTGAAATGTCATTAAGATTGGTTATGATCTTTAAATTAAATTTTAAATTTATAATTAGAAATATTCTAATCCATTTGAACAGTTTAACTTAAATGCCATAGCTTCCTATTCATAAATAAACTTATTCTTTTTCATCATATTTTCTGTTTATTATTTTAATGGATTCCGTTTTTGTGATTATGGACTTATTTATTCACTGAACTTCAGTAACTCATTTTTTGACTTTTAATTTATCGTACTTTGATGCATAGGCTATATCTCCAAATCTATATCAGAGTTTCGAGGTTTATCCTATTGTGGCACCTTATCTTGTTTATAATGTATCATTTAATTCACCAACTCTAAATTGTCTTAATAATATTTCTCTTTTTGAAAAGATACCAAAGTGAATTCATACAATTTATTCGCTAATTCAACTAGGACTATATAACATTAAAGTAATTAATACGTTGGAATCTGTTGTATATTGTTAAGATAGTCCCAATAAAGAAAATGAAGATCTATTGAATACCTCCTAGATTGGATAATAATTCATCTATTTTCAAATATTTCCTAAATATTTTAATTTTATAAGGACTCTTCCTGATCTAGATTTGTACATAAGATTAAACTGAATTATTTTGAATTTCAGTTCTCTCTTTGATTTCTGATTGATCTAGTGTGTAGAATTATGAATGTTCCAAATAACTAAAAGGAAATAGGCTTTGATCATTGGTGACTTCGTATTCTTTGATAAATAGATCTACAGACTTATATATATTCGAGGGAAGAAATCTAAAAAAGAATGAATCGTCCAAAAATGTTTGCAAATAATTATCTTCTGGTTTGTAGGGATTTAAAATCTAAATGATTCTATTATGTACTTTATTGATTGGAAACAACTTAATTTTGAATGCCCCATTTTTATCAATCTCTTGTTGTAATTCTTCATTTGAAGCACAATTTGTTTTATTGGAACATTAATGTACTTGAATTTTCAAATAATCAAATTCTAAATCTAGAAAAGCAATATTTATTTTAAATACTTGAATAAGTTCCCTAAATTGAAATTGTTTAGTTATAGCTATAAAAATAAATTAAAACACTTACTCGAAGCACAAAAAATCATATAATTTAAATTGGTTGAATTAGTCTGTCATGTCTCGTCCAAATTAAGAGAATATTTTATTAAAACGATCTAAAGTACAAGGTATCAATTTAATTTCTTTTTCTATTTAAATTACCGACCCATTCAAAAATTTTTGAACATGATACTAATGTATTTTAATGTCGTAAAAAGGGTTAGATAAAAAATTATCCTAATCTATTTGAACAGCGAATAAAAAAAATGAATCGTCAATTAGTGACAATGATGGAATTTCTTCAAATTCAGTTAAAACAGTTGCACTTAAACTTTCCTTGTTGAAAAAGGATCTAATATTGGATGAGAAGATCAAAATTAATATTATTAGCAATAATAAGGAGGAGCATCCCCCGAAAACAGTTTTATAAGAGCTCTGCCTATTCATTCTTAATGTGATCGATTATCCAAATATATCCAATTTTGAGATCCCTTAAAATAAAAGAGCTTATTACAATTGCCGATTCTTTTCATACTGTAATACAACGCTTTTAATATATTAATTAATAAACTATCTATTTTTGGGTGTGTGTGCCAAGATGCAAGTGTGTAAAAATACTAAAATGTAGTAAATTATCAAAATCACATTCCTCCTTTCTTTCTAGAAGTTCATTATATAAATTCTCATTTTAAGGTTTGGTTTCTAAATTATTTCTATTTATAATTTAGGACCTAAGTAAATTGTTACTTAAGGCAATTTTATCCTCAAGAAATGAAAATGACTTAATTTAAGCATCTATTTAGAAATTAATTGATTGAAATTATAATAAATAATCTGCAGCCCATATTTGTGGACGAGTTTAAAAATTGTAAAGTTCATATATATATTAAATTAAGTAATATATTATAAATTATATATATTATATCATCATTTTATATTATTAAAATTATTAATGAGAGTTAGAGGTCCACCAAAAGAGCAAGAATCGATGGGGAAATCTTTAGATAATAACTCAGTTCATAAAAAGAGATAAGAATTGTGGGAAAAGTAAATGGGGTCAAATTAAGCATGCTAAGGATATGTCTCTAATACTCAGGGAAGTGCAGAGTCTGGAATAAAATAGTTTTTATCATCAATGAGGAAAAATGGAAGCTTTCAATAGATCGATAGCCAATTTAGACCCAATGTCACAGAAAATGAAAATGAAACACCCAATAAATCATAACTGAAGGTTACAGACACATAATTATTGACTCCATTGCAAAAAAATGCATAAAAAAATCAAACAACTTATGATATCTTGTCATAGATCTACGAATTACAAAATAGAAAGAGTAGAAATTAATCACTTTTGGAAGAATTAATGAGAAAAACTAAATAGGCTAATGATAATCTAACGTTCCAGAGAATACTACAGAGGAAAAAGTACTATAAAAGATCTCAGAGATGTTAATCAGTGGCTTAGAAAGAATATGAATTAGAATAACTAAAAGGCTAATTGATTTAAGTGAAATAAGTGCAGGTTCAACCAATCTAAAAGGAATAGACTCCTAAGTAATAGGAGAAATTGGTTCCACTTTTGATTAGAAAGGAGAAGACTAAAAGTCCCCCATCGAAAGATAATGATAGAAAGAAAGTGCAAGGTCCAATTTGCAAAGCCAAAAAAATAGTGATTGATGATACTAGATTTTGGGATATTGGATTTACTAAATTTATATAGAATCCAAGTTATCAGGAAATCAATTAATTAATTAATTTCTGTAATGGCATTTAAGTGACACCGGCCTTACATTAAAAATATTATAAGTTGTTTGTAGGTAGAGGCAATAATCATATGATGATCAAAGGAATATTTAATTTAAGGCCATAATGGAGTATTGCAAATTCAATAGATGACGATGCTGAAATCAATTTTGTATGGACTCAAAAATTCATTGATTTGCAACCTTCAGAAATTAAACCAATTCCTCAAACTATCATATCTGAGGAGATTAATAGTTGGATTGACTCTTAGTAAATGAGTTTGATAAGATAGGCTTGGGACAAGGTTGAAGGTAAATCTAAAAAGAAACTAAATGAATATAATATAGACAGTCCATCTATCTTAAATAATGTAGATTATTTTATTGATATTTAAAGTTACACAATTACAAAGAATTAATTCAATTAAATCATTAGACTATGAACATACGCATACACAACCATCTCAAAGGAGGCTATCAATTAGGTGATAAGAAATGGCTCTTCCATAATCTCTCCGAATATTGTTCAGAATAGAGTATTGATGTATGGAATTACATTCCATTAACTTATCATATTCATGGACCAACAGACCGAGAGTTCATTAATTTTTAATAAACATTCTAGCATCTGGCATTGGATAAGGATATTAAAAATATATGGATCATAAAACCAGGAGAGGATAGTAATAGAGGCAATGGAATTAAAGGTACTCATATTAATATTAGCATTTATAGTAACAAACTAGATGTCTGAAATTACCCAACATATCACTCAACAAGGTCATACTTTCATTCTTTAAAAATATATTGAAAATCCATTTTTATATCAGAAGAGAAAGTTTGATATAAGAGGGTATTGTTTAATCACTATTATGAATGGAGTTAAAAGAGGTATCCTAATCTGATAGAAATAGTTTATTAGTTTATTGGTACAAAAAAGGCTATTTGAGAACATCAAGTAGTTTCTTCACTTTGGAATCATTAGACAATCAGAAGATCCATTTAACCAATGATGCAATTTAGAATAGGTTAAATGGCTATGGAAAATTTGAAAAAGGAAATAAAGTTTCTTATGATCAATTCTAAGCATATTTAATAGAATAGAACAAACAAAACAACACCTTATACAGTTTCGATGAATTATATGCTGATATGAAGGTATAATATTCATATTCAAGATAGGCTCTTACTAAATTGGCTTCACAATCAGCTATTGATAAAATCACAAATGACGATCAAATTTTGGGATTCGAATTGTATGGTTTAGATTTTATGATTTCTAACAATTTCAAACCAATACTTATTGAATTCAATACTAATCCTTGTATAGAGACTGGTTGTCCTGTCTTGACTAAGATAATTACAGGGCTAATGGAAAATCTTATGAGATTCATCATTGATCCTTTGTTTCCAGCTAAAAGAATGGGGAATGATGATTTCACGAACAAAAATGATTTTGAATTATTATTATCATGTTGAAATATAGTAATATATGATGATTTGTAAAATAAAATTTATTAAATAAATAAATTTATTTGTCTTGCTTGAAGACTTCTAAGCTGAGTTGTAATGGTATAAAAATTTATTGTTATATTAATTTAAATTTGAAATAAATGAATTTCGATAAGAGTCTAAAAAATAGGCCAACTCTATCTTTCACAGGATTTTCACCATCTAAATCAAATATTAATATAGAGGCTTCTCGAAAGAATCTGCAAAGTTCATCCTTTGGATCACCACATCATGCATAATCTCTTGAGGTTTAATTGAAACAGGAATTTGAGGCTCAATATAATGAAAGAATTTTAACAATGCGAAGTTTTTATGATATGAAATATTAAACACTCTTTGAAACAGTCAAAGAAGCACTTGATAAAGTAGATTTTAAATATACAAAGTTAGATTATGAATGATGAATTAATTGATACAATGAGACAAGATATTACCTCATAAGAATTTGTTTATCAGAGGGTCAGAGAGATGTTTGAGGATATAATACTTAGTGAGAGAGAAGTCCTCATAGAAAAGCTCTCCTCCTAATATGCCTATCTCAAAATGGAATTTGGAAAAATTGAATAAGATAAAAGAAAAGTATCATTATCATCAATTATGCAGTTAGCGATAGAGTTATAGATGATCCAGGATGAGCAAGGCGATAAAGAAGCATAGGCTTAAAACTAGGTTTAATAAGCGTAGGAGCAAATTTCGTATTTATAACAGAATAATGATTAGCTGTAAGGATTTATTATTTAAGTTAAGGATTAACAAGGTTTCGTAATTAGAATAAAAACTGTCTTCGGCTAATTAAACTGCTAAGGAAGTTTAGCAACTCCAGACTACTGCAAAAGAGTATAACATACTAAAGGAGGAATATGAATAATTGGTTCAAACAAATGAAAAATTATAATTAATTAATAAATAGCAAGTTTAAGAAATAGAATAATTACATAAGATAAGTGAAAACTTGTAGTTAAAAGTATAGTAATTGAATAAAATTTATTAAGAATTAGAGGGTGAGGTGATTTCATATAAAAAAAAATCAACTGATTCTGAGTCTAAGACCTAATTTACAATTACTAATCTACAAAATTAACTAGAAGCAATAACCTTATAATTCAATCAATAAAAGAGTGAATCTGAAAAAAGGTTGGAAAAGGAAGCGTAAACATATTAAAATGAAATCCACAAATTAAGTTAAAAATTACAAAAGAAAAAAGAGAAATCAACATTCCACAAATAAAATGCAAAATAGTTATAAATTAGATTAGATTAGCTCATCAGAGATCATGCTGAGTAGTTATAAAATGAAACGTAATAGTTTCAAAGAAAGATTAATGAATTGCAATCATAGAATCAACAATAATTACAATAAGCCTAAAAGTCTATTGATGATTTGAAAGAATCTCATGATAAAAACCTTTATACTTTAAGAAACTAATTTGAATAAATAAACAAACAACAATGTGATGATTCAGATAAGTAAAAAATCAACTTATTGAATGAATTGGATCGAGTGTAAACTGAACTAGAATCTGTTGTGCTGTAATAACAATAATAAATTGAAAGCAATTATATTCCAAAGATCTAATACGAGTAGCAAGTCAATGAATTATAAAAGAAAATATCAGACACAAATCAAAAACTTAGAGAATAAGATGCTCTTATGAAAAAACAATAGGATGAATTTGATAATTACAAGGAACAATGGAATAGACAACAAAACAAATTGCATTTAGATGTTAAGGATAGAAATGAAATTTAAGAATAACTTTTATCAAGAGAAGAAACCATTAATAATCAAAATAAATAGATATCTTAACTAACTTAATAAGTTAAGATGTTAGAATCTGATTATTAAAGATTGTAGGAAAGATCCAAATAATAGTTAGAATATATAGAAGAATTGAAAAATGATGTAAGTAATCGTCAAACAGAAGTTCTTAAAATCTAAAAGTAATTAAAGCAATAGAAAGATGAACTCATGGAATAATACAGATAATTGGAGGGAGAAAACAAAACTAAAAATGATAAAGTGCAATTATTAAATTCCTAATTGGAAAGACTTTTAAACGAGTCATCTGAAAATGAAAAATTATTGAATTACAAAAGCAAAGAACTACAATAATTAGAAGATGAACTTATGCAATATCAAAATTTCAAACGCAACGCTTAACAATTATCAGAGGAAAATGAATAATTAAGAATCTAAATCGATAAATTAATTAACATTTAAGAGTTATAAGAATAAAAATAGGAAGATGTTAAAAGGCAATTAGATACAGAGTTAAAATAGAAGAATTAATTGGATTCTCACAATGAATCACTCATGTAAAGACATTAAAAGTATGTGAAAACTATCAAAGTAAAAATATTAATTATACCTTAGGAATAAAGAAAATATATCAAAAGAAGAATTGCTAGTGAACTCTAAAAAATGAAATAGGAACATGCTAGTCTAGAACAATACTTAAGATAAATTATTAGGATGAAAAACAATGAAGATAATTTGTTGATTGCATCAATTGTTACAAAAGTGAAAGATTTATGGAACAGAAAGGAAATTTAACATGAAAATGAAATTGTATCAATATCAATGCTATTATAAGTTAAAAATCAGAAATGAAATATTTGATTAATATAGTGGAAGTGCATCACATTTGAGAACTGCATACGAGTAAACATTGGACGAGACATAAAAATAATTTGAATAGCAAATTGAGAATTTAAGAGATGCAAAAGAAAAGATGGAGGATGAAAATAAAGAGTTACTGCATGAATTATAGAAAGTATAAGTTATCTTAGAAGATTAATCAGCTTTGATTACAAATTTAAAGAATGAAAATAAAACATTGAAAAGCAATGGAATGCTCATTGAGAATGAATTATCGAGTACTTTGAAAAATATGAATGATGTACTTTATTATAATTATTAATTATAGATGAAAGATTCTTTTGAGGATCAAATACAAGAATTAACCAAATAACTAAAAAAGTATGAAAGAAAACAATAACATTAATAAGATTTGAAAGGCTAAGTTGATACATTATAAAATGAATTAGAAAAATTAAGAACTCTTAATAGATCTAATACTTAAGAGACAGAAAATAGAATTGCCAAGTTAGTAAAGTAACAATAATCAGAAGTTCAATTGTTAGTCAATCAATTTCAAAGAGAATAGATTAAACTTAGATAAGAATCGACTGATCTAAAGGATCAAGTATCTTAAAATGAAGAAATTATACATAAGTTATATTAATCACTTGATGACGTGAATTAGATTGTGAATTAAAAGGATAAATAATTACAGAATCTGATTGAGGACATTGAACAAGAAAGAGCATCTGATTAATAAAAAATAAATGAACTATAGAATAAGTTATATATTTAGATTAATATTAGATTGAGAAAAGAAGAGGATGAAATGAAAGTGGCACGATAAAAAGGTTAAAGAGATATCGAAAAGGTTCAAATACAAATAGCCTCTGCTGAATCAGAAAATAGTTAGTTTAAGATAGAGAATAAATAACTAAGGATGTAATGTGAATAATTAGCAGATGAATTAGAAAAGAAGACAAAATAATTTGATCAATTGAATCGTGAATATGAAGATTAGAAAATAATTTAAAATTAAGAAATAGCTGATTTACACAGGTAACAATTGAAATTAATAATTAGATTGCTTAAAATACAAGTGTAAAACGATGATATGTCAAATTATTATAGTGAAAGTAAGGAGTTGGCTTAAAGAGTTAAGGAATTATAAAAAATTAACTCATAATTCTCAGATACGAATTATCCAAGACGTTAAGAATCATCTGTATAAAAATTTGATAGTTCTAAAAAATTAAATTCAAGTAACAACTTGAAGCCTCGCCTGCCTAATTATACTCCAATGACAAAAAAATGAGGTGATAATTAAATATATATAATAAATATTTAAATCTTAAAATTTAAGATTTGATAAAATTTTCTATTTTCTATATATAATTTATTTTCATAATTAAATGAAAAAATATAATTATTTATATTATATATTACTTAAGTTATATTTGACTGTTATTTAAATTTAGTTTTGATATTTTCAACCTTCTTACCTAAATTTTTATGGGATTTTAGCTCCAATTATTTGTTCTCGAAATTGGCTGATAATTACTGTTCTCATTACCATTTGGTAAATTGTAATATAAAAGTTAGTTTGATATTCTAAAATAACTGGTGAATTAAGAACTTTATGAATCTTCATTTTAAAATAGTATAGAGGGGATTTCCTTAATTTTTAAGAATAGATTCATGTTAAATTACTACATTTTTCGGTTTATTTTAAAAGGGAATATGATAGCTCGTTATTTGGTGTATGAAAAAAAATGGAGAAAATTGAAGTCTGAACTTGGTATTATAGGAAATTTACGATAAAATTTATAATGATTAAGATTTATAAAAGAAAATATCAGATTATATTTTCTTTTATAATTGTGGAGATTTATATAGGAATTTCAGAACGATTTAAAAAATTAATATTAATAATAAATTATTTCTTATGTAGAAAGCAGAACAAGTTGAAGATAATCAACTACTTACAAATAAATCGACTGCAAAACCTAGTTAATAAACTGAATCACTTGCAACTTAGAAGATGGTTCCCTATAAGGAGCTTTTTAGATATGCCACATCTTCAGACAAATTTTTAATTTTGGTTGGCATCATATCATCAGCGGGCAACGGAGTAACAATGCCAATGTTCTCTGTGATATTTGGAGATATGACTGATGCATTCTCTGGGGATGATCCAGATAAAATGCTTAGAGCTGCAGGAATAGCTGCTATGTATACATAGAGAATTAATATTTTATAGATGGTTCTTAGTTCTAGCTGGATGTTCTTGGGTGCTTTCTTTCTTAAGTTTCTCAACATTCATGATATCTGGAGAAAAACAGTGTATTAGAATGAGAAAAGAATATTTTGGAGCAATCTTGAGATAGGAAGTTGGCTGGTTTGATTCAATAAATCCAAATGAACTGAACACTAAAGTGGCTGACGAAACTTTTGCAGTAGAGGGCGCAATTTAAGAGAAGGCAGGAACCTTTATAATGACCTTTTCCACATTTATTTGTGGATTTATAATTGGATATTCATAGTATAAAAAATTTAAATAATTAGTGGTTGGTAACTAGCCTTAGTAATTACAGCGGCAATGCCATGTTTGGCCTTTTCTGTGGTTATAATGACAGTAGTAGTGATGAAATCTGTAAAATCCACTTAGGAATGCTACTCAACAGCTGCAGCAGAATCTGAACAAGCTTTGAATGCGATAAAAACAGTGAAAATGTTGGATGGAGAAGATTTTGAATGCGAGAAATATTCAAGACAACTTGTGGTGGCAGCCAGAACTAATGTTAAATATAGTCTCTTCTCAGGAATGGCTCTAGGATCTATATTTGCATTTATGATTTGGACTTACGCATTAGGCTTTTATTATGGGGCTAAATTATTATCTGATTAAGTAACTAATACAAATACTGGACTTATTTATACTGTAGGAGATGTTATGACTGTTTTCTTTGCTATTTTGATGGGTAGCTTTTCTATAGGATAAGCTGGTCCATGTTATTAAGCATTTGCAAAAGGAAAGGTTGCTGGAGCATAGATCTTTTTCATTATCGATCGTATTCCAAAGATATAGAATCCTATTAATCCAAAACAATTGAAGAATTTCACTGGTGAGATAGTCATAGAGGATGTAGACTTCTTTTATCCAGCTAGACCAGACACTTAAATTTTAAATAAATGCTCTTTAAAAATACCAAAAGGAAAGAAGGTGGCTCTTGTTGGAGAAAGTGGTTGTGGAAAGTCTACCATTTTACAATTAATAGAAAGATTTTATGATGTTAACGAAGGAAGAGTTTTGGTAGGCGATGATAAGATTGATGTAAGGGACTTGGACTTAAGAGATTACAGAACTTAAATAGGTTTGGTAGGATAAGAACCTATGTTGTTTGCAACTAGTATTAGAGACAATCTTTTGTATGGAAAAACTGATGCTACTGAGGAGGAAATTAATAGATGCATTGAAAAAAGTGAATGCTTGGGATTTTGTTAGTAAAATGGATAAAGGACTGGATACTTATGTAGGAATGGGTGGAAGTCAATTAAGTGGTGGTCAAAAACAAAGAATTGCAATAGCAAGAGCAATTCTCAAAAAACCTAAAGTGTTATTATTAGATGAAGCAACAAGTGCATTAGATAGAACAAACGAAAAGTTGATCCAAGAGACTCTTGATGAAGTCTCACAAGGTATTACAACCATTGTTATTGCTCACAGATTAAGTACAATTTAAAATGCAGATATCATTTATGTGTTTGCAGGGGGAAAGGTAGTTGAAACTGGTACTCATTAAGAACTTATGAATTTACATGGTAAATATGAATAATTGGCAAAAAATCAAATTACATCTCATTAAAAAGAGGAATAATAGGCACATAATTTGAACCAAAACTAGCATAATCATTAAACAAAGGATTAAAATGATCAATAGGATGTAGATGTAGGTTCCGTTCTGTCTGTTAATTAATTTGGTTCAGATTAACCACATGTTGTTGAAAAAGTCATTAAGGAAATCAAGGATATTAAACAGTTGAACATTCAACTTAAAAATAAAGTTCAAAACAACTTTGAGGAGATGAAAACTTAAAGTTCTTAAAATGATTCTAATGATGCTTAAATTATGGGAAGGTTGTTTAGTTATGGAAAAGAAGAAAGATGTGTTTTGATATTAGGATTAGTGGCTGCTCTCATTAATGGTTGCATCTTCCCATGCTTTTCTTTATTTTTCTCTGACATGATTACATTACTGGCTGAAAGTGATCCCAATCTGTATCCTAATCCTGAAATTAGAGATGTAAAGATGGAAAAAGTAAAGAATGACTCAGCTGATATAGCACTATGGTTTTTCTTATTTGGTTTAGGATTCTTAGTATTCTAGACTTTGGAGAGCTTCTTTTTATCAATTGTTGCAGAGAACTTAACAATGAAATTGAGAAATTTCACATTCAGGAAATTACTTAGAATGCCTATTCCCTTCTTTGATAAGCCAGAAAACAATGCTGGTACCTTAACGGCTAGATTAAGTGTAGATTGTAAAACAGTTTAAAGTTTGACTTCAACAATTATTGGATTCAAACTTTAAAATGCTTCTGCACTTATTTGTGGTATGGCTATAGCCTTTTCTTCGAGTTGGGCCTTGACTCTAATAGTGTTAGCTACTGCACCATTCAGATGGATTGGTATGAAATTGAGAACTAAATATATGGGAGCTTTGGCTGGTTCTAATAAGGGAGAAAGTTTCAAGGATGCTGGAAATCTAATTATGGAGGCTGTCACAAATATTAGAACTGTGTTTTCGTTTGGAAATGAAAACATCATTTTGGATGTATTTATCATATCTAATAATTTAGGATTACACAAAAAGAATCCAAGAACCTTTAAAAGAGTGTACATCAAAGGGTCTTTCGGCTGGTAGTGCTTTTGGATTTTCACAAATGCAACCAATGCTCATCAATGCACTGGTCTTCTATTGTGGAGCTTTATTAGTAAAATATGAAAACTTGGATGTAAATGATATGTTTAGAGCAATCTTCGGAATTACATTTGCTACTATGGGTGGTGCTAGAGACTCTCATTTTGTAGGAGATGTTGAGAAGGGTAGAACAGCTGCTAAAAACATTTTTGAGATCTTGGATTCAGTTGATGAATTCTAAATTGAAGAATGTAAATATTTGCATATTATATTTAGAAAAATAATTCAAGAAGTTAAAGACTTAAATTAAAGGACATATTGAATGCAAAAATTTGACATTCAAAATACCCAACTAGAGAAAAGAATGTCTTTACTAATTTAAGTTTAACAATTCCTTCTGGCTAAAAGGTTGCCTTTGTTGGATCAAGCGGGTGTGGTAAATCAACCATTATGTAAATGCTTATGAGATTCTACGATCCAGATTAAGGAGAAATATTGGTTGATGGATTGGATATTAGGGATTACGATATTAGGCATTTGAGAAAATAATTAGCTATTGTATCATAAGAACCAGTTCTATTTAATGGAACTATTAAAGAAAACATCCAGTATAATAGTCAAAATATCACTATGGAATAAATCGAATAGGCTGCCAAAAAGGCTAATGCTTATGACTTTATTGTTAATGACTAATTTGAAAATGCTCCAGATGAGAAACAATAAGACTTTGGAAAAGGATTTCATAAAAGAGTAGGACCAAAAGGATCACAAATATCAGGAGGATAAAAACAGAGAATTGCTATAGCTAGAGCAGTACTTAGGAATGCTAGCATACTTTTACTGGATGAAGCCACAAGTGCATTGGATGCTAAGTCTGAAGAAATTGTATAAGAAAGTCTTAATAACATAATGAAAGAAAATACTACGTTGTCAATTGCTCACAGAATTTCAACTATCAAAGTAATAAATAATATAATATACTTAGGATTCTGATATAATCTACGTGTTTGATAATGGTATGATCGTAGAATAAGGTACTTACAATTACTTGGTTGGCCTCAAATAATTCTTTTACAGAATGGAATAAGGGATAGCCATTAATTCAACAAAAAATTCTTGATTTCGTTTATTTTTATTAGATTTTATATTGAAATGTAATTTAATTAAATTTCATCTTTGATTTTATGAATGAGCTTTGAGGAATAATTATTAATAATTTTGGTGAATACCTTTTGAAATTAGGCATAATAGACCATTCCAAAATTACTGTAGGTTCTAGTTAAAAAAAAGGGATTAGGGGATATATTATTTAATATTTTTTATTATGTTATTTTACTAAAATTCATTTGTCTATATATCTTCATTAAAATCATAAAAAATCTAATTTAAACAATTAAAACCATATGGGTTGTGCAGCTGGTTATTCTCTATAATAGGACGAAGATTAATCTCTTTTACTCTAACATGATTAAGTTTTACTATTAGAGAGTCCCGTAAAAAATTTATACTAACCAAAAACAATCGAATTTACTTCCAATTGTTAATCTCTTCAATGGTGTGATGATGATGATGATTTGGAGATTCTTTTTTAAGAATGTAGTAGAGTAGAGGAAGACTTGGTAAATGCAAATTTAAGAATTCTTAAGAAAGATTAAAAATTACTATAGCAAAACTAGTACTAGCATTCATAGTCGAATACATTCTCTTAAACTTCAATATGTCTAAACAGAAAACGAAATCAATTTTCAAATAATTGCAAATTTCCAGATAAGAATGATTAACTTCCAAAAAGCATTTTGAAGAGAAAGAGATTAAAAGAAAGTAAAATATATTCAGGCAAGATACGGAGTAAGATAACACAAGAAAAAGTTGTAAGATTTAGTAAATGCTATATAAGAGTCATACCTAACATCCTAACTTCAAAGGGCACTATTAATGTTTAATAATTAGTTGATTAATGATTTTAATATTATATCAAACTCTTAATCAATTTTATTATATAGAAAATTCGTTTCCATTTAAATTAAGAAATGCCTTAAGAATGATATAAATAAAAGCATTTATCAAGGCTTTCTTAGTTCCATTTACAAGGTCAATTATAAGTAAAAGTGAATTATATAAATTTTATTATGACTTATAATTCGATATAATAAATACATTCATTATAAAATAATTTTATGTACACTGATCCTGTGGCAGAATTACTGAGACCAAAGCAGTCAAATTTAATTAAATCAAGTGACTCTGTAGGATCCTATCGTCCAAAAAGTATACAATCAAATCGCAGCAACAAAAATATCATTTCCCAATAATAATAACGCCCTCCCTCTTAATAATCTTAAATTGGGAGCAATGGTGGAAAACGAATAGTTCATATTGGTAGGAATGGAAAAAAAATTGAATAAATATAGAGCATTGCGCCAGCTAAGAACACTTATGATCTTTGTTATGAGTTTGATCCATTTGTTTTAGATCAGATCAGTCCAGAAGATCCAATTTGGAGATAGATTTTGCCAGACAATATGCCATTAGATGAATAAACTTTGGAGAAATTATTGGAAGATAATCCAGATTATTTTTATCATCATCTTGGATTTTGTGCATGCTATCGATGCAAATGTGGTAGATGCAGATGTGATGTCTCGAATTAAGTTAAATTGAAGATAAATGGATCTTTTTTAACTATTTATGATAAGGATTTTATTCCTCATAAATCAAGCTATAACAATCTAACACCTTTGAATTCTAAGACCTATACAACAAAGTTTCTCGACTAAAAGACCATCGATTTTACCACATCTCATCAATAAGACTATAAGGAAATGCCACTACAATCAACTGAAAGTTTCAAACCTCCTTATAGACCATAATTAGGATCAATGTCCAATCTGACTAGTTACAGGGTATATGCATTGATCCTATTTAGTCTAATTATAGTAATTGGGGCAACAATTATTAGAGATTCAGCAGATATCCTCATATAAGTACAAGTACAGATATCAAGTTCATTGGTAAAACACAATATCAAGATTCTTTTGTTCCGCCTTCCAGTTGGAAAGTCGAAAACCAAAATTACTTTAAAAGTGAACTGTAAATAATATATTCCATATAAAAGGTCTCCTATGCCTACAGGTCCCTTTGTAGGAATGACCACAAGTTAATAGAACTTTTAACCATTTAAAGTAGCAAGAAGTCCTTAAAAACCCACACATCATGTATACTAATATTATATAATATCCATAGAAATATGAAACTACTCCATCCTTCGATGGATAATTCACATCTACAGGAATGAAAGACTTTACTCAGTAATAGGATGATTATTGTCCAGCTAAACAATTTCAGAAAATATTTAGAAAGAAATTGGCATAAAAAGTCGAGAAGAAAAAAGAGAATTTTATAGAACGTAGAATAAATAATGCAATGAAAGTTTGATTGTTTTTTATTCTAAGTTCATTCATAAAATTATCAAATATTATAGTATTATCAAAAAATCAATATTTAAGCAAAATTAAATAATGTATATTCTTGCTTCAATTTGTTTTCAAATCTTTGTTTCTATTGGGTCTTCATTTATTTAATAGTATAATTAGAGCATTTATTATTGATATATAATTATTCTAATATAAGAATTTTTTGTATATATTAAAAATGTAATCTAGTAATTAAGTGTTATAAATAAGACTATATGTTACAATTTAGATAATTTGTAAAAAGAGATTATAATAATTGTTATAACAAATATTCATTTAAAAGAATTAATTATATTCACTATTTGTTTAAACTAAAATTATAAAAACTGAAGAAAAGTTCTAATAATGTTTCAATTAATATCATTATATATTCTTTCTTCAAAGAGTATCTTCTTAATAATTATGAAACTATCGTAAAACTATATCGATACAAGAAATCTTACATATTCAGAGAGTTTAATTCATATATTCAAGATACACTGATATATTAATTGAAATTAAATTATATGATTTTCAAAATGAATATATTTGCTAAAATTTTTAAGCTATCATCTCTTCCTTTTCTTTGCTAGTCAAGAAGTTAAACTTCTCTAGATAGTCATCAACTTTTTAGTTCAATAGCTAATAATAAAATACATATTGATACTTATTTTTTGACATCTCTATCAAATAATATGGTATCCAAAACATAAATAGACAAGTTATTTATAGCATTGTCTTAATCTTCACTCTCCCCCTTTTCATCTTATAATTGCATGTAATAATTGATCAAAATATCACGGTAATTCTCTTCAAATTATCCAGTTGGTGCAGGTTACAATTCTGATATATATTTTTCATTGGCTTGATTCTACATTTGAAACAATATAGTTCTAAATACAAAAATAGAAAATACTGCAATTATGATTGAATAACTTAGAAATGAGTCATCTAGATCTAGAAATCTTCTTCGCATAATTTAATGAAGGCAATGAATTATGGGAAGGTGTAAAGCTCAAAGAAATATGAGCATTAATAAATATTTCTCTGTGTTTTTAAAACTTCTAAGAAACGATTCATTTCAATAATTAATTTCTTTGAAATAATGAAAGCAGGAAGAAACACCTAAAATAATGAAAGTCATTACATTAGTATTTTGAGTGTGTTTCCTTTAATGAATTTCATTTAGGACAGTGCCCAAAAATACAAGTGTATTTCTTTCATTAAGATATTTCTCAAATACATTGTTGAGATCATTAGTCTTCTATTACTAAAGTTATTTTTATTAAAGAGCCTCCTATAATAGTTTTTCATCATTAGAATTATCCATGACTTATTTGTGTTCTAACTTTGGAACATCAAATTATAATTTATTTATCATATCCTAATTTGTGATGTTCTCGAATTTTTATTTGTTCTACTAATAGACTTACTTATTCATTTTCAAGTCTACTTATTTGGCCACCACTTATTCCACTGTTAATTAACACAAGGCTATAAATTATAATTTAAAAATCAATACCTGGGTTTACAACTTGGTTGGAAAACAAAGGTGACTCATACAACTAATTCCATTACAATCTTAATTTAGGTTCTGGATTTAGCATTCTAAATAATAATTCCTAGGATTCCTTAGATATTTTAATGTTATTTCTTGTAAAATTAGGCTAATCTTTAAGTATATTGCTATAGATTTACTTGTTTTGACATCTTTCAAGAAATCATTGTAGCTTTTAATACTGAAGGGAAGAACTCCAAAAAGCATTTGATAGTAAATGGCTCCGATAGAAAACATATCAGCAAGAATTCCATATGGTTTAAATTCAATGATTTCAGGTGCCATAGTGCCTAAAGTACCTAATGCTTCTTTGACTACTCCATCCAAACTCTCCATTCTTTTGGCAAAGCCCAAGTCTCCTATTTTTAGAACATTATTAGAGATTAGTATATTTGGCAATTTTAAATCTCTATGAATTACATTCATTTCATGCAATCTACAAATTTTTTATGTTTTTACCCCCTCATACCATTTAATATCTATTTGATATACTGGATGGCCTCCACTTCTGGAATTATTCTATTCTTTTTCTTCCACAATTATTCAAGATCTCCTTCTAAATAAATTTCAAAATTTTCTTTACAATTGCAATATTCCATCACTATATAGCAATTATTTTCACTCTCCAAGTATTTATTCATTTTAACCACATTAATATTGCTGCATTGAGCTAGCACTTGAACTTCTGTCTTTAATAATTATCCAACCAGCCCATTATGTTCCTTCCTAAACATACTCAAATCAATTACAATTTGGATTTTGGCACAGACTTTATGGCCACTGATTCTTTGGTAATTATATTCTAAGCTGAAAAAACCTGCATTAATATCAATCAAAGTGTTACTTATCCAAAGGCTCCCGTGCCTAATACATCTACAAGGATATAATCATCAATCTTCTTTCCTACGAAGTTCCTACTCTATAAATTATTCATAAAATAATTATTTAGCTTTCTATAGTAACATTAGAAATAAACGAAAACAATTCATATAGATTATCGATTCAAATTATAATTATTATAATATAATGAATCACATCTAAAACTTTCCAGTGCCATCTGACATCGGCCTGATTTGAGACAGCTTTAGATTTCTAAAACTCTTTTTAATCATGCGACTTCTTTTTAGAGTACGTTCAGAATCTTACTCTGAACCTCTTCTTGATTCTTCTACTTCAAATTTTGGAATTATAACTTATTAATACCTATATTTTTCAAAAAATATTTCAGGATAAATCATATATTGTAGTAATTTAGATTAGTAACTCTTTAATTAATTATCGAATGTATTTTGTTGCTTATAAAAGTACATCTTTTCTAAGATTTAGTCTAAGTTATTTTAAATCTAATAATATTTATACTTCTTATAAGATTCCATAATCTAATCTTGATCTTTCTGTTGATATTCATTTATTTACTCAATTTCCATTTTTAATTTAATCTCTAATAACAGAGTATCTTAGATGTCCTTTTCTTGCAAGATTTGTTTCTTTCCATCCTATATTTGCTTTATTCTAATTCGAACTTTTGCTAATAATCCTTTAAGTAATTGCTAAGATTGCATCACCTCTAAGAATTGATTGATAATTGATTTTGTTTCCTTTTTTAATTTTTATCTTTTTTTCATTCTATTCATATTCGTAATCATTTAAACGACTTTCTTCATTTTCTGAAAGTTTTCCTTTGGTTTCTTCTTAAATAAATCTAAACTAAAGGATCCCCTACTTTAACCACCTAACATAGGTTTCTCCCTTGGGGAGTTTTCTTGATTGTCTTCTTCTTTTATTATCATAAGATTATTATTGAAAATATTCTAATTTCTAGCTTTACTCATAAGAGTAGCCTTAAGTTATTTATCATCAATATCTAATAATTCTATTGTTTTTGTTCTCTATTTGAATAATGTGGCCTTTTTTTTTATAGTTGGAAGTTCTAAATTGATCTTGGAATTGGAGGATTGATCAGACACAGGCTAAATGGTGTTTATGATATTTTGTGATTATTATAATAATTATGTCTACAAATTTTGATTACTTTATTCTTAAACAGGCCCAATTTATTACTAATGATTATCGCTCTTCTTTAAGGAATCTTCTTCTGGTTCTTCATAAAATTCTGCCCACTTCCAATTATTATTATTAAATGAATTGGCTTCTTGTTCTATTACTTCTTAATCAAAACGGGCTGCAAAGTATCCTCTTTACCTAAAAGGATTTCTCCCATATTTAGAATTCCTATTTTATGATTGACTGTAACAAAATCTTTTTATAATCAATTCTTTATCAGGAATATAATGCAACAAGGGACATTAAAGAACTCTATGAGCTTTTGAATTGCAACTAAAACATTTCATTTGTAAAGCGCTTAGGTCTTCAAATTATAGACTATCATAAAGATTCCTAAATCTTTCATAGTCCTCTGGGAAATCCTGTATGACTTTTAAAAAGTCATCTCTAGAAAGCATAAGCAATTTAGAAAAACCTACACTCCTAAATCTCTCCTAGGATTATTTGCCACTTATGAAACTAATAATACCTAAGCTAGAACCTTTGCCAACCTTAAATACCTCAGCAATTTAAGGATTATCAAGAACTTAATCAACTGAATCATTTTAAATAAAGATTTGGATCTCTCCATATTCAACAAAACATACAAATAACTATCCTGGTGTTTATTAAGGAAATATAGAATCAAAGTTTATAATATTCTCAGGTTGAATTACTGCTTATTTTATTTTATTAACTAATTTTGATTTTAAGGCATCACTAAAATTATTCTTAAAGAGTGGACATTCTTGGAAAATCAAAGAATTAGATTGATTCATCAATTTCTCTTTGAGATTCTCTGATAATTGATTCATGATATCATTGAGTTCATCATTCTCAACTTAATTTTATGATTCCCAATAGTAATTTAAGTATTCTCTAATCTAATATTGCAATTGATATTCAATCTTTCGATTTTGCATGTATGAATTTATTTTTCTCATTTTTCTCATCTTCTCCTGTCCATAAGCAGAAATAGTATCAATAATCGTCCCCACAGTACTGACACTGTAACTCAATTGAATACTGCATACCATCATATACAGGATAGCTACCACTCTTTCTAAATAACTGATTGGTACGACATCTCCATACCCTATTGTAAACATTGTAACTGTCGAGAAGTAAAATGAATACAAATATTGTACTTACCAGGTTTCATGTTCAACATGGTAGAATTCTAACCAACTTCCTTTTTCAGAATATAAATAACTATAATAACCAACCTAAGAAAATATTAAATTAATAATTTACAAAATACCAAAGGCATGAGTAGCAATGTAAAACAAAAAATAACACTAATAGTAATTTGAATAATTCCAATAAAGAACTACTTGGTTTTGATAAATTGAGAGTTTCTTCAACTTGGCTAATCAATTTAGGAATATTCCTACATTATACATAAAACAATAGCATTAATAAATCCCACCAATCTGTTAATAAATTGAATTCATATTAAGATGATTTTGAAATCATAGCATATATGATAAGAATCAATATTGATATTGCTTCCAAACCATAGCTTTTACTGATTACGTTCTTAGCTATGGTTGCTCTATTGCTCACAATTTATCCAAATTAATAAAAGGAACTATTGAAACTCAAAATGAAATCAAAGACTAATAGGAGAATCATAAGTATGGTTGGTATATAGAGTTCACCATATATGATCTAATATTTATCCCATGCTAGATCAATTGGAATTACAAAGAGAAAATAGAGTCTACTCATCATTACTATACAATCCCACACTATTTTCAATCTGGATTCAGGAGTAATCAATGGAATTTTCTCAATTTCTTATTCTAATTTTTTTATTAAGTTATCTTTGCAAGTCTTTAAATACGTGATTTACGTTTTGATCTTATTTGATAATTCTCTATTATTTATAGATAGACAATTCTTACTTTTTTTTAACAAATTACTACAACCCTTCAGGCGATTGGCTAAATTAGCTTACCATGGGTTTCAAGTTCAATGCACTATCACGAAACAGTTTTAAATTAAATGAAGACCCTAAATCTTGAATAATATTGTATTAATAAAGGTTGAATTACGAATTGATTTTCTTTTTCCAACTTATTCTGTTAATAAATCGTTTTATAAAACAAAATTAAATTACACTAAATATTTATTGCTATGGGAATTATTGAAGTTCTGAAGTTTTTAAGCTTTTCTTATTCATCAGAAACTTATTCGTTGGGCTGCTAAGAGAAGAATCAAAAGTAACTCTCTTAGATTCATGAGCTTTATGTTTAGAACTTTAACTAGGAATGTTATTATTAGTGTTGACTCTTGAGCCTTGAATTGAGAAATTGCCATCTGATAATGAGTAATTGAGAAAATCTTAAATTTCACCGATTGGCTCATCCGTTAACATCAACTGATTTAATTTTGAGATTGGCTCTTCAGTGTCTTACTAAATTTAATTCATATTTAAAATAATTATGTTAAATTCTAATAAAATAATTTCAGATTATCGCATGTAATAAGTATTTTATCATCTTTATCTGAGCATTTAATTTGCTTACCTTAAATCAGCATAGAATATAAGTAAAACTAAATAATTTTATATTCACTTAATTTATAAATCTTCTATTAACACACTTATCATTTATCAAGTTTTGCTATATAAAAATTGAAGGATCAAATAGTTTACAAACAATTGAAAGTAAATAATAGAGGCTCTATTTAGAACTACTTAATCAAGTTAAAAGAGAGACAATTATAATTTGAAATTATTTTATCATATAGGGAATCCTGTAAATGAACAATTAATATAATAGATATGTAAAATAATTACTAAATTCTAAAAGCTACATGGTAGTCTACTTTAATAAGAATAATATTTCAGTATTTAAATTAAAATAATTTAGTAAGTAGAAAACAAACGATAATTAAGGAATTTATGAGTTATTATAAAAGAGTTTGAACAAACTCTATACCTTGAAACTATAATTATTGTTGTTTAATTTATCCTTTTTCACCCTGAGAAAGGTTATCTAATTATTGATAATTAAATTTGAGATGATATTAAGTGTACCCTTAACATCATTTTGGCTAATGCTATTCTGTTATTTTATATCATTTTTACTAAATTAAAATATTTAGGTATATATATGATTTTCAAATTATTTTGATTTTTAGCAAGACCCTTCCTATTTATATTTCTTAAACTTCCTTTAGTAGTTGTAGTTTGTTTTAAATGATCCTCAAAGTTCCAAACTTACTGCCTTGATCTTATATGTACCAGAATTTTTCATATGAGATATTGGCATGATTTCTTGAGACTGAGATATCTTAACATCTAATCTCACTATTGTGTCCTCTACCAATGGATACAGAACATGTCCCAAAAGCATGCATAAATGTCAGACTTTTTGATAGACTCTCCTGTCGTGTGATCTATTCAAGAATAATGTAAGGACCGTCTAATTTTTCGACTTGTATCATTTGAAGGGGTTCTGGTTGATTTTCAATATAAACACGAGCGGGGAGGGGATCTTTGCAAACCTGCCTGAATTTGAATAACTTACATCGCATTCCAAGACCTTATTCCAATGATATTGAACTGTATTCTATGTTTATTTGCATGAAATTCGATTTTGAAAATTAACCCATGACTTCAAACATTCAAAATGAACATAAGCCATTAATCCCTTACAACTACACAAATCTTGGAGAAATGGATTTTTTGGGTCTTCGGTTTATTCTTAATCGTCCATCAAACAAAACCTGCACTGTCTTGGGTCTTTTTTCTTTTGGATTGTAATATGTCTTTCTAAATTATAATGATCGTCGGCCATCATTACTTTATCGCCATTGTTCAACTCAGATACAAAATATTCCCTTGTATTTAGGGTAACTTTTACATTCTTCCAAATTTAAAAAGATCACCGACTAATAACTATTGTTTTTATTTTGGATCTAATTTCACATACGCATCTTAAAAATCTGAATTACTTTAAAAATCTACAAATGCATTATCTATTTACATATAGCATTGCCTTCAAAACTTATTGAGCCAATACAATCGCCATAAAATTTATCAGATTAGACTATTGTGTCAGAATTATCTTCTGTTATAATATAAATTAGATGTATGTACCATTTAAAATTAAGTTTGTTGTGTTTTTTACATTAATTTTAGAAGTCTTTAGTTCTTTAGATTCATAATCGAATAATCCATGATTGTTGTGAGTCCAAGTTGCAATTTCGATTGAAACCTGCATTAGAATATTAAAATTATTTTATTAAAAAAATATTTAAATGAACGAAGAATGGGAATATCGTAACAACTTGTAGTACACTAAAAATGAGATATTTCAAGTTCTTCTACTTAAGAACAACGTGTGGCTTAGTATAAGGGAAATTGAAGACATTCTGAAACAGAGACCAGATTATGGCTCAATTCATATTAAAATTAGAGATGCCATTGAAGATTCAATGAACAACGATAAAAATAAAGATGAGTATCAAATTGTTAGTAACAAATTGTCCATTATGAATACTAATAATACTACAGGCAAATACAGACTTAAAACAGAAAACATCAATGACAAAAAATAGTTGGAAGAATATTTCCAAGATAAAAAATGCATCTTGTATGTCAATCATATTTGGTTTGAATCAGTAATTAATGATCAAAATTAATTAATAGTGTTATCCATAAATGAGATAAGACATCATTGCATTAGAATCGGAGGCTAAATTATTAGTTTCAAAGGGAAGAGACAACAAAAAAACCTATATATACATTAATTCCAATTTTGCTAATTTTCAAGAAAAAGTGTAATTTAAAAAAGATAAAAGAATGATGTAGATGATTGATGAAGCTAAGAGTAATAACTAAGAAACTGTTGCTTCCAATCAACATCAGCGTTAAAATTAAATCAAAGCTTAAGAAACTTTTCGAAGAAACACTGCTATCTAAAATTATTGGATTGCAGAATTATAGTAGGAATTATAAAGAAAATGAAAATTAATTATAAATGAACCAAAATTCATTTTTTTATTTTCAAAAATGATTAGTAATTAATATAATCCAGTCACTTTATCGATTTTAATGAAACATTAGACTTTAGTCGCAATTCTTAGGAAGTTTTACAATTTGGCTTAGGATATTTGGCAATATGATATAGATTTGAGGACTCTTTTGAAGGTGTAATACCCTTGACAACACTATTGTTAAAACTATTCACTGTTGGCTCTTTACGCAACTTTGAAAATTGATTTAAAGATTTTGAAATTGCCAAAATGCCTCCATTTGAACTTCTTCTACTAACATCATTCTTTTGAGGGGATTTGCTAAACTAGAATTAAGAGGCCTCAATCTATTTTTTCTATTCCTACAATTGAATCAACATATTGTTGAGTTGCAATATTTCTTGTTCTAATAAAGCCTTATTAGGTTTGTCCTTTGATAATAGTTACTCTTGAGTGTTCTCAATAGCTAGCTTAGTTGCACTCAAACATCTCTATAATTCTGCCTCTTAACTATTAAAATAATCAATTTTTCTCTTAAACTCCTACTCCAAATATTAAATGTCCAATTCTATTTTAGTTTAACGATCTATGTACGGTCTTTCGCTTCCACTTAATTTATCTAATTCTTTTTTTGCATTATTTATTGATTATCCAATATTCTTTAATTATGGGAGTATCTCCTAATCAACCATTTAAATATTTATCTTAATTGCTTAATCGAAGAGATAATACTATTAAAGTACTTTATAAGTGTTATTAAATTATTCCTAATTAAATAGAATTCTATTTTACTTCTTCTTAATCTTGCATTAATTGCTGCATCTATTTGAAGGTCTAATCAAGAATAGACCTGTATTCTACATTCCCAAATTCATTTAAGATGTGAGTAAGTTCCTGTTCATTTTAATCCTAATATTGTTGAAATGCTTCCTCGCTTTATTAACTAACTCTTTCTTAAAATTAATCATATAATCTATTCTAGAAATAGATAGTTACATTTCTCTTCTATAGAGTGCTTAAGATTTTTCCTCTTCAAATTCCTTAATCTATTATTTTTTCACTTCCACTTAATAATCGATAGTGCAAACTTCATTTGATAGTAGTTACTCATCACCATATTGCTTTAAACTATGTTTTAAATCCTATTTTAATAATTATTCATTACAGACAATTAGTTTTAGCTTTGTCTTTGGGATAAAGAAGCAAAAATGAATTGTTCCAATTGAAATACAAATTCCTTCATGCTTCCCCAATTGTTTCCTTGGTTTCCTTATTTAAATAGGGTATTTCTAAATTACTATATAAAACTAGTCAGTTTAGTCTGAAATTCGATTGACTCCAGATGAATAGGCTAACTTCCATAGTAAACTATAAATTCATTTAGAATAGAATCTGGATGTTAAAGATTCAAACTTTTTTAAATAGGTACAATTTTGTTCTTTAAATATTTGACCTTCTGGGTTTATTAATGTACTTAAACTTCAAGTAATGTAGTTTGATTATATGAAGATAATTATTTCTTTTTCTCGTCCTATTGAAAATAGAGCAATTAAATTTGATTTGTTATATTATTAATATTTTTAGCAATATCTTAGGTCTTTTGATCACATTGATAAATGGATTCAACAATTTCAGTGAGTTAAGGATGATCATTTTTAATTTGCTCCACAAATTCTTCTAATTCCTCTTTCTAACCAACTAATTCTGCTCTTTGCAACAGTTTTGCATTCAAATCTTCTTTTAACATTGCTTTGGTTTCCAAGATTGAATTATAAGTTTGATGAACTTCACCTCTGTCTTTGATGAATTATTGATGTTCTTGAGTGACTAATTCATATTGTGATTTCAGCTTATTGAATTCAGTTTCATAATAATCATAAAGCGTAGATTATTATTTATCAATATCACTTTGCATTTACTGATAGCTAAATTATACATTCATAGTACTTTTATTCCTCCATGCGCAAATCTTGAAGTTTGTTTTGAAATAATTGTTAATCAATTGAGCAAGTTGATTCACCAAGTAAAGTAGTTATCTTCTACTTGATATTGCATTAATATTAAATTATTTTGTGATCAATCTACTCCAATTAATCTTGCAGATAATCAGATCCACTGTTTAAAACCTCATTGATAAGCTTATGTGAAATGTTGCTTTTTCTGATGATTGGACAATGTTTTGGAGAGTTCTCCTTATTTGAATGCTTATAAGATGGACTATCTGTTAGCATTCAATTTTAACGATAATTAATAAAATTTTGCTCCTTTTTTTCTAAACAAATATACAACAAAACATTTTCAAATTGAAATTCCCCAATCCAAAATCCGTATTAGTTGAGCACAGTTCTTACTTTTTTGTATTTTGAATTCAGCAGTGTTATCAGAAATGGTAAAAAATTATATACATCCATTTTTAAATAACATAGATTAGATCATTCATTCAATAGTATAAGCAGAAAAGAGAGGGAATAAATCTGAGCACGATTTTATTTTGTTAACTTTAATTAAATCATAATTTGAATGCTTTCATTAAAGGATATAAATTCAAACCTTGTTCTCTTGTTTCCTCAACCTACTATTTCGCCCAACTTATAAATGTATCTCTATCCTATTAAGCCCTCTATTCCATTTATTTGGATTACTTAAGTTCATTCATATATTAATCCCTTCTCGCTTATTTTTTTTGTTCCTTAATTTAATAATCACAATACTATTTAAATTTTCTAATAATCCAGTAATTCTTTATTGCGTTATCTCAGGATTTCTTTTTATTATTCTTCTATTTCAGTCAATTATTGCAATGCATTTATTTTGGTCACCTACTCTTTTTGTACATCAACCTCATCCTTCTCTTTGGCAGTTTCCCTCAACTTCAATTATCTTTATCGAAAAGCTGCTCCCTCTTTTATCATTTAAATCTTCTCCAATTCCTTTTGTCTTACTACTTCTTCCTCGTGTCTTTACAACTCCTCAGCATGCTTCTGAACTATTTGCATATAATTATCTTCTTATTCTTTCAATTGCACTACTCTCATATCATATATCTTTTATTTAAGTTGCATTTAACGCTCTAATTTTTATGCTTCCTAATAAATTAGATTAAAATGTACTCTTTATTTTCTCATCTCTAGAACTCTTTCCTTTTTACTATCAAAATGATCTCTATCCTTTGCTTCCTTATCTAACATTTTATATTCCTCTTCCTGTATAGATTATTTAACTTCCATAAATTTCTATCTTTCTGCTAATAGTTTTTACTTCTTCAACATCTCCTCCTGCTTCTTCTTTCTAATAATATATTCATAGATACTCTTTTTCCTATTCTTCCTGTTCTGCTTATCTTTTTATCAATTAACCTTCCTATTGCAATTTTGTATATTCCTTAAAATACTTCTCCTTCATCTCATTATGTTATTTTGCTAAGACAGCATAATTCTCTCTCTTTAATTAATCTTTTTATTGAGTCGTCTCTAACTCAGCTTATTCTTCCATTAACCTTTTCTCTTCAAGATCCTTTTACCTTTCAGCTTCAAGGGTCATTTGCATTTCTTGCCTTTCCTTATTAAACCGAAAAAGAGCATCATTAATTTTCTCATTCTCACTCATTAGCATTTTTGACTTCATATTGCGTACACTAAAAATCGTTTTTTGAATTACTCTCCCCTTTGACTAAATATCTTGTTATTAGCATCAACAACTTAATCCTACTTTAATTTCTCCTGATATTCAGTTTCAACCTTGTCCATCTTCCTTTTCTCTTCCTCCTCAATCTAAAATTTCTCGAACTTCTCCTTCTCCTTCTAAGATCTTTGTTTCTCAATTCTCTATGCCCAAACCCTTTGGTTATTGTCAATACTCTAATTGAAATGATTAAGTTATACTTTCTTAGATTTTTGTTCAGTGAGACTAATATGTGATCTAATTTATTCAAGTTCAGAAGCACCTAAAACAGTATGACCTTGCTTAATTGAAGGCAACTAAACTGACTTTAATTTTGCATCACTTTCTTCAGATTTATACCTTTACATTATATAATAATAAATATCGATTAATGAATTCACATACTTTCTAATAATTCTAAGCAGCTAATCAAGGCATTCTTAAAATAGTGTACCTTTTACAATATTGATACTTAATATTAATGTTTTTCCTATATTATTATTTAGTTAATAAAATGAAGTAATTTGTCTAAATAGTTTCCAATAAAAGATAAATTGTGCTTTTAAAAGGGAGAACTATTAATCTTGTTATCCATTTTTTTTTATATAGACAGATCTGGTGTTCGAAATTGTAGATTAGCAATCAATTAATCTACAGAAATGCCCAAATTTCAACAATTAACGTTTCAATTGTTCGTAAACAACTTTAGTTAAAATGCAGATAAAGGAAAACTTGATTGCACAATATTTCCATAAATAAATATCTCAAATATAAAATGAACATTGAACATTGAACAATCATTCCATTGAAATAAATACATGAGAGGATAGTCATAGAAAAAGCGATGGAAATCTTTCATTGATGATATTAATTATCATTATATAAATTGATTGAATACAATTTAAAATCTTAATTAAATATTATGAGTAAAAAGATTACCCTTTTCGTATTATTGGCATGCGTAGTTTGCATAGCTACATTGATGTTTTCCTTCTCAGCCCAAGGTATGGATCATAAATATAAGTAGATGGAGAATTAAAAATGAAGAAAAGTCATTCTTTCTCTGCATCAAAGAATCATGAATGGATGGATGGATATTGGTCATCAGATACAGATTGTTAAGCTAAATGCAAAAGTGCTGGAGGAATGAGTTGTGGTAACTACCAATAAAATTGCTGTGTCGGTGCTAAGTGCAGAGAAGAAGAAAATTTCTTCTCTACATCTTTGATTTGTGATCAAAGAATTCCAGTACAAGGATGTACAACTCCAAAATGATATACACATTAAATTATGATATTAAAATTCCCTCAGTTCAATGTTACTCAAGCATTTCCTCTATTTGTTCGATTCTGTAAAGAATGGAATAATCCAATTATAGATTATTATGAAAAGGCTTAAAATTAACATAATTACAATTGTCGTTTATCATAATAATTTATATATAACATTCTTATCAACTAATTAACTGTCTTTGCGCATAATAATCCTATATAAATAAATGTTCAAATGCATGTTCTGTAGGGATATTGATTGAATAATAACAGAGAAGATAAAATTGTATGAAACAATTATTAATTAGACAAAATAAGTAACCATAAGCCATATTTTACCTGAATTATATAAATATCAAGACCTAACTCACGATTAATTTAATAATCTAACTTCATAATTACTATACCTTGATATTAGCGTAATACAACTAATTTTATAATAAAGATACTACTATCAAATTAATATGTATCCTCAGCTTTACATTCAAAAATTCTCTTTCTTTACATTTAATTGAAAGTTAATTCGTAATTTTCCTATTATTGAATAGATAGGATTTTACATATTATACTAGCTTTTAAGTGGATCCTAGAATTTCAAACTAACACTATCACGAATTTAGTTAATCATCAATTTATCCCATAATTAAGGTTTAAAACACTCTATTATATTTTATAATTAGATATCTCTTTATATGATATGCATTTATCTTCGCTATTATTATTATTTGATTAATAATCAAAATTCGCTTATATCATCATTTTACAATTAAGGATTTACGTTTTTTTAGGTTAATTTATAGAGTTTTTAAAATGTTCATAGTAAAAAGATTAAGAGGCCACTTATAATATTAATATTGATTCAATAGAGGATATTTAATAATAAATATAATTAATTAAATTATGAATCCTTGATGAGGATACTTGTTGGTTTGCCATCAATACAATTCTTTCAATTTGTAATAAACCTATGGTTGCAATTAACTATCGAGGAATTTATTGATGTAGGATCCAATTTTGATCTTTTTGACATATCCAGCACTTGATGATGATTCAATTGAAGCAGAAGTAGATGTTTCATTTGGTTCCCATACTTACCGAATAAAATCAAACTCATTCTTGTTTCCAGAGTCAATAATTTCTTAAATAATCTCATCATTAGTTTTCTTGGCTGCTTTTCTCAAATTATTTGCCTCTGAATTCATTATAATAATAAATAAAATAAAAATCAGAGTTATTTTTGATTTCATAGCACACATTCATCAGATAAATTTTACGATAAATAAACGTAGTTTGAAAATATTTAACACAAAAAATTAGATATAAATCACCTAAGCCTTTTTTATAATCTCCTTTTATTATATGTAATGATGAGAAACTCTAATCAAAAACTAAATTTATTAGGAACTCATAAAATAACCATTTATTCAATAAAATAGATGCTAGGATTGTTTCTAATTTTATTTAACAGTGGAATATCAAAATATTGCTTATCAATCATTTAGAAATTCATTTAATCAATTAGATTAAACTCCTGTTCCTATTTTTAGATAAAAATTAAACCTCATTCAAATTTGAAATTGTTTAAGTTAAAATTAGTAGTATCTTCATATACTTTTGATTTTGATATATTCCTTTTCGTCAAAATTGTACTCACAGAAGGGAAATTTAAGACATTTTTGATTAAAACAGAAATAATATTCATATATAAAAATCATTAATTTTTATTTATATTATAAATTAAATTAGTGATACTTATTCTTTTTTTTGATACTGTCTTAGGTTTATAAACCTTATAGATTTATATAATATTTTTACAACTTATAAGTTTAGATTTAATTTCTTTATTATAGTTTCTATTATTCTTAATGTTTTAATATGCATATTGAAATGGTTATGATTTTTAGAATTAGATAATATTCTCTTTATCTAATTATGACTATGCAACACAAAAAGTAGTCCCTAATAAAAATTATGATTTTAAAATAATTTAAAAAAGTATTTTATTTTTCTTTTATGCTCCAACAACTAAATAAAGAAGTAATATAAGATGCGATGAATAGGTCTTATTGAAAAGAAGAGAAGCTTTGGAATAAGTAATAAAAAGGAGATTTATTTATTAACCTGCTTTTTCACTTTATGGAGGAGTGGCAGGATTATATGATTATGGACCTGTAGGATGTGCAATTAAAACAAATATTGAGCAATATTGGAGAGAGCACTTTATAATAGAGGAGGACTTATTTGAAATAGCTGCAACCATCCTAACTCCAGAACCAGTATTGAAAGCATCAGGACACGTGGATAGATTTACAGATCTCTTGGTTTGTGATAGTAAGACAGGAACAGGATACAGAGCTGATAAGATAGTGACCGAGGTATTGATATTTGAATTGATTCATTAGACATTGGAAAATAGAATAGCAAAAGAAGGAGATAAGTTGGCTGCTGATGTCAAAGCTAGATATTTGGCTGTCATTAAGGATGTGGATACCTTTAAGGAAGATAAGATGAAAGAAGTCATTGCTGAATTATAGATAAAGGCACCTGAAACTGGAAATGATGTAAATAAGATGTGAAATGATTTTAGTTAACAGATCCAACTCCATTTAACTTAATGTTACCCACTATTATTGGACCATCAACAAAGCTTCCTGCTTTTTTGAGACCTGAAACTGCTTAAGGAATGTTTCTTAATTTTGCTAGATTATTGGAATAGAATGGAGGAAGGGTGCCATTTGGAGCAGCTCAAATTGGATTGGGATTCAGAAATGAAATAGCTCCAAGAGGAGGACTCTTGAGATGTAGAGAATTTTAGATGGCTGAGATTGAATACTTTGTTGATCCTACTGAGAAATCCACATTTAAGAAATTTAATAAATACATCAATTTAGAAATACCTTTGTTATCCAGATAATTATAAGCTGAAGCAAAATAACATCAACCTTTTAAGATGGGAGATGCTGTCAAAGAAGGAATTATCAATAATGAAACACTTGCTTATTTCATTTGCAGAACTTATCTTTATTTAGTTGAAATTGGAATCAATCCAGTTAACATTAGATTCAGATAACATCAAGCAGATGAAATGGCTCATTATTCATCTGATTGTTGGGATGCAGAAATTGAAATGTCTAGTGGTTGGGTTGAATGTGTTGGATTAGCTGATAGATCTGCTTATGATCTCAATGCTCATTCAGAAGCCACAGGATAAAAGTTATAAGCAGCTCGTAAATTCAAAGTTCCATAACCAAGACAAGTTTTATAAGTCACATTGGATAAATAGAAAATTGGAAAAGAATTGAAGAAGGACGGAATGGCTTTGATTAAATATGTTGAAGCATTGCCTGATGATGAAAAATAGGAATTATCTGATTATTTCTAAAATCATGAAGACAAAGTCTTCAATATTGATGGAAAAGACTTAACTCTCAACAGATAGTTGGTTAAATTTGAATAGAAGACCATGAATGTTATGGAAGAAAAGTTTATTCCTCATGTAATTGAACCAGCATTTGGAATTGGAAGAATATTATAAGCTATCATTGAGCATTCATTCAATTAGAGAGATGATCCTCAAAAGACCTTTTTCAAATTCTCCCCAAGAGTTGCTCCAGTCAAATGTTCAATCCTTTCTGTTGTCCAAAGTGAAGAATTTGATAATGTCATCTTTGAATTAAGTAACCATTTATATAAATCTTTAGCTTCATCTCTTAAGAAATTGGGAATCTCTTGCAAAACTGATAATGCTGGAGTTGCATTAGGAAAGAAATATGCCAGAACTGATGAAATCGGAATTCCTTTCGCTATCACAGTAGATAAAGAAACACTCACTGCTTAATCAGTGACATTAAGAGAAATTGAAACAACTAAATAAGTCAGAGTTCCTATTGCTGAAGTACCAAGACTTATTCTTGAATTGAGTGCTGGACTAATTCTATGGACTGATGTTTTAACTAAATATCCTCTTTTTGCTGCTAAAGAAGAAGAAGCTTGAGTATTATTAAACATTAAATCATGTATGTTCTTTAAATTTCAAATTCCATTACTAATTTTATTTGATCAAAGTTAAATTAGGAAAATGAGTAAATACTAAAATTATCCTAAATCCAATCGGATTATTTAAAATACAAGGTGAGAAGCATCCATTATTATTGATATTAACTTAATGATGAGGGTAGTTAAGAACCTCGATTGAGATTTTACATAATCATGATTGTATCTTTAAAGGTTATAAAGAAATAAACAGAAATGTGAGTTATGTTATATTAAATATCGTTATATTGAAATAAATTAATCATATTAATTATAATGAATAATAAAAAAGATCAAAATCTAACTGCTTAAGGTACATAATTAAAAGGAACAACCAAATAGCCAGCTCATCAAGTGCAATAATAAAAACCTGCTCAAGGTCATGCTCCTTAAAATTAGGCAGCTAACAAACAATAATAATAAAAACAAACAACTTAGCATCCTGCAAATACCAAGGTCCAACCTAAATAATAGTAGGCATAAGCAGCTTAACCTAAATAATAATAAGCATAAGCCCCTTAACCTCAATAATAATAACAGCAGTAATAATAATAGGTTCACCAAATTGCTCCAAAAAAGTTAGAACCAAAGAGAGCTATAAAGCTTTAGGCTATGTTAGGTGCTATGGATTAAGATAAAGAAGAGGGAAAGATTAGTTTGTTACTAGATAAAACAGGTAAATAATATCAAAATGATATGTTAGGAAATGCCTATACTTTTTTTAAATATAAAGGAACCATCATAGATATATCTTAATTCGTGATTTCTGAATAGAATTAAGGTAAGAATCATGAAGATAATGTTGAAAAAGCTAGAAAAGCAGTAGTATATGGTTTAGAGGTTGGTGATAATTTGGTATTCTCAACGGATCTTTAAACTACAAATTTGAATGAATTTTTTAAGTAAATGATAAATAAATTTCAGGTCTGATTGGTACAAACCAGAAGCAATCTTCAACTATCAAGAAATCACTAACCCAAAGTATTTTAGAGCGCATCTTTTAAAACCTGAAGAGGATAAGGATGGATTTGGAAATAAGGGATAATTTTGGCCTAAGAAAGAGTTACATATTGTCATATTATACACCTAAAAAGAGGGTGAATTAGACTTTGATTAATTTTTGACTAATTTGGGATTGGATAAATTGAAAAATCAATTTGCTATAACAATTATCGAAGATTGATTTATTAAATGATACATTGAAAAATATACAAAATAATTTAATTATTCAACCAAGTAAACTTCTAAGGTAGGATCAAAGCTTAAAAGTCTATTTAATCATTTAAATTAATTTTAGTTTAAAAATTTTAAACTTTCATTAGATTTTGATGTTATCCTTCTTTTGCATATGTATCTATTGGTGGCTCTAAATAAGATGTTGGTATTTAAAGGCAATGATGTGAATTAAGGGTAGATTTATTAATTTTAATAAATTCGAATTGATTTTTACATGAACTTGTTTAGCCATGATGAAATTAATTTATTGGAGGTATCCAAATAGAGGATTGCTAGGCAGCATAAGATGGAAAGTTAGAATTCATAAAAAATCAGTTAACTTCTTTGACATCTCGACAATTATAAGATGCTTGTAAGAAAACAGATTATTATGGCAGAAACGCATTGCATTATGTAATTGAACCACTAAATTAGGCGGCATACCGAGGACATTACAACGTTGTTGAGTATTTTCTTGATTTACAATGCATAAATATTAACTCATCAGATAATAAGGGTAAGGTTTCATTCACTATTATTGAGGTAACACAGCATTGATGCTTGCATGTGTTCGTGGGTATAATTCAGATATCAACACTTTGAAGGATGGTTAGAAATTCGCTATATGTTCTTTACTGATAGAAAGAGGAGCATCAGTTGAATAATATAAGAAAAAAGGGATAAATAATCCATTGCATTGGGCTTGCTTCTTTGGAGATCTAAAAACAACCAAATTGTTAATGTATATAGAGCCTAGTTTAAGTAATCCTATTAATCAGTTTATAGTGCTTTTTACAAATGACAGGGATTAGTTTCCAATTGATTTATCACTTATGACAGGAAAAGAGCTGGATGACAGGCAAGAGGATGAAAGGGTTTTGGAGTACATGATAATGAAGTTTTTGGCTCAATATCTCGATAATGAAGAGCATAAGAAAAAATTGGATGCTCCAGATGAAGAATATGAATCATTTAGAAAATTGAATAAGCACTCCCTTAATCTTAAATCCACAAAGTAATTAGCTTAGGTTGGCCTTAGATATCTATTTTGGGCAAGTACTTAGGGTAGATTGGATCTAGTAAAACCTCTATTGAAATGTAAGTATTCGCCTTTTGAACAATCTTATAAAGGAAGAAATGCTCTTCATGCTGCTATCTATCACAATAGATTAGAATTAGTAGTGTTTTACTTGGAATCAGAAGAATCCAGAATGTTTCGAAAAGAGAATGTAATCAATCTTGTGACAAAAGATAAACCATAGACAGCTTTACATATTGCAGTTGAGAGAGGTCATATAGAAATTGTGAAAATATTAATAAAAAAAGGAGCAGACCCAAATTACTATAACTTTCGTAATCACAGAGCTTTTGATTAATCTAGGTTGAATGAAATAAAACAACTAAAGAGAGAACTATTCCATAATGATGAAAAGAACTATTTAAGATCAGGATACAATCACATATTGGTAGGTTGGGAAAAGAGTAAAAATTAGTTATTGGAATAACAATTTAATAATATATCAATCAAAAAGAATATTGAAAAAGGATAATTTAAATACATATTTTATGAATCTATTGATAAGCAATTTACTTATTATTGTTTAAAGGTGGATGAAAGACTTAAAAATGTAGTTGCTGATGAGAACAAGATGATGATTTATAATTCAAGAGAAGGATACTTATCCCCTTTTAATTTGAGTATCTAAGAATAGTTTGAAAACTTTCATCACATTCACAACCAATAGATTCTTCTGACATTACTATATGATGAATTTGATATTGAATAATTTATAAGCGATGGATTACTTTTAGAATAGTTTCCCTTGCATGATGAAGAAGAAAAAGAGTTAATCATTAAATTTTGGAAAAATGAGAGGATAAATATTTTATTTGAGCCATTTCAATTAAAATAATCAACAACTCGTACCTTTAGTGCATTATCAACTTATTTTGGACCAGAAATAGGATTTTTTTTTGTATTTCTATGTTTCTTTTCAACTTGGCTATTTTTACCTGCATTTCCAGGATTAGTCTTAGGAATATACGCATTTATTGATAAAGAAACCATTTTAGCAATTTCTCCAATCTACACCATATGCATGGCTGTTTGGGCTACTATCTTTTTTGAATTTTGGAAGAGAAAATAGAGTGAAACTATGTACAATTTTGATATGCATGTGACAAAAGAACAAAGAAGAAATATCCCATAATATAAAGGGTCATTTATAATAGAGGATGTGACACATACCATTGAAATAATGGATACAAGGAATGTATAGTGGAAATACTTTAAATCAAATACTCCTTTAGTGATTTTGGCAATTATTTTAATTGGCGGTTAGCAGACTGGCTATTTTTATTTGAAACAAGTTTATGAGGATGATGATTTTTATCAAACGTTATGGGCCATTCTTTTAGCTTTCACAGTATTAATTACTAATGAAATTTTCAATTACTTTGCTAAACACACATTAACTTATGAGAATCACCAATTTCAAGATGAAAGAGAAAATGTTTATATCTTAAAGGTTTTTGCCTTCACTTTCCTTAACTCTTTTGGTCGTCTTTTTTACAGAAGTATAATAAAACCTGATCAAGATGAGTTACATCTCTTCAGCATTTCCTTTACCATAACATGGTCTCTTGTTCATCTAATCAGGTACACTATATTACCATGGATATCTTTTACATTCATTAAATTCAAATTCAATAGAGACTTCAATAGATATAAATAATAAAACAATAAATCAATCAACACACTCTAAAAGATAGGAGATACAGAAACCAGTGGAATCAATAAATCATTTGATAAGGGAGTATCTTCTTTATATTTCCTTTAGCAAATTGAATTAAATAAAAGGATGATAGATCCACCAGATCATGTTGAACAATTCACATATTTTGTAATTATGACATCAATAACTAGATGACTTAATTTTGCATGGTTACAATGTTTAGCGCAGGTTCCTAAATTATACCAATCATTACTCTGTTTTTTAATTTACTCAACATTGAAGGATTGTTATATGGCTACAGAAGGTTTGTCAAGAGACCCTTAGCAGAACCAAAAAAGAATATAGGAGTGTGGAATGACATCTTATAATTAATTGGCTATATTGGTATAGTTTCAAATTGCTTAACTATATATCAAGCCAATTAGTCATAGTTAAATTACTTGGTTGGAGCTAGTGAAAGTTCTAATCAAGATTAAACAAATGTAAATTTATCATTAAAATTAGCTCGGATTGAGAAACTTTTTATTATTAATTGTTGCTGAACATATAGTAATTGGAATCAAATTTGTAATAGAAGGAGTAATTCCAGATGAACCTGAATGGGTTGAATTAGTCTTGAAAAAAGAAGAATATTTATCGGAAAAGAATAAGTCGAATAGCAAAAGGAATGAATCATCAATTAAACCCCTAGAAAATAAAATAAAAAATGATTGATCTTTATCATATATATATAAACAATTTTTTTAAATTAATAATTTAAATTCCCTTATTAAACAGGACTAACAGTTTTAGAATTTTATGATAAGAGTGGAGAAATCTAATTTGACAGAGTTATTGTATGTTGATTTTACTAGTTTATTCACATGTGTCTTTAAATAGAAAAATATTGAGCACAAGAAAATAAACAATAATTTTAAATAAAGAAAGATAAAATTTAATAAATATATTTGGAATATACATTCAATTTGATATTAATATAATATATGATAGAATAAAATATGAGGCCGATTAAGATTTCATATTTACTTTTAATAACCTTAACTTATAATAAAAATGATAAGTTTTAATTATGAAAGTAATTATTAATTTATATTTTGAAAATTAAGAATACATTTATGAATTAGTTAATAAAATAAGAATATGTTTCTTATAATTTAAATTATATTGTATTCTAAGAATAATATTAGATGTGAATAAGTCTCAAGTCTTCATTTACTTATGCTATTCACCAAGAATCTTTAAAATTTATGAGTTTAAACTATACTTTAACATTAATGGAATTTTATTAATATTAGAACATTTTTCTTGATTTTGAGTTCTTGCAAATTAGATTTATTGTTTTTCTAAGCAATTTAGAGTAGAATTGGGAGTTATGAAACTGAACTCATTAGTGATGGTTTTCTGTTGAAGAATTGTGTTTATATCATTTGTAAACCGTAGCACAGCCTACTAGTTACTTAACAAACTTAGAATTTGAGATTGTTTTTTTTATATTAACTCTTTTAACATTTGTTCTTTAAACTCTTTTGCTGAACTATCATCATCATTACTAACTTTAAATTCCTCAGTTTAGTATCCTAAATTAATAAGCTTTTCGTTCCTTTAAACATTAGTATAATATTATACATATCATCAACAACAAATAGTTGTACCTAGGCAATTGAGTTTAAAATTTTATCCCTCTTTTCTTTTTTTTAGATTCTCCCTTCCTTTTTATAAACTTAATAAATGGCTTTTATTGTTGAGATATTGTGCCCTGTTATCAAAGAAACCTGAAAATAAAAAAATATTGTACATGAGAGGTCGAGTACTTGTACTCTTCAATATACTAAATAATGAGCGCTCTTTCACTAGAATTTAGGCATTTATATTTAGATCTTTAGTTTTTTTATTTTTTAATTTTCATCATAAAATAAATCTAAAAATGGAATCCCTTTTTAATATGGTTTAATTATTAATTAAGCTTGGAATAAATCAATAATATATATTTCAACATTGGACAAAACTTATAAATTAGCATAATTAAAATATATAGTATAGTTTTAATCTTAAGTATAATATAAGCTTCGATAACTATTTTTAATAAAATAGACTGTAACTAATATTTAAATAATTTGTATTACTCAATAATAAAGAATATTTATTATTATAAATTTTAGATAAATAATTATCTATCCTTAAACTTTTCAGTTTAAAAATTGGCGTTCTAAAATAATGAGTATTTAACATGAATAATGTATAAGCATGATTATTTCTGATTTTCACAATACTTCAAAAAATATAGATACCTTTCTCAATTTCCTAATTTAGATTTACTTTTTGTCATTATTAAGTAATCTAGATAGTATAGAATGATAGTAAGATTATTCATTTGTTAATTTTGATTAAAAGAGGAAGTTTTTAAGTTTTCTTCTAATTAATTAATTCAAGTTAGAAATATACATTTATAGAATTACTTTAATTTGTTTATAAATGCTCTCAATCCACTTTAAAAATTATTTAAACAGGCAACCAATTGGTTTAATATTATTAACCTTTTAATAATTGAAATTAAAAAAAAATAATAATTTATATTTTCTCAAATTGATCTTAATGTTTATTTTTCTTAATTTTCCCTAGAATTTTTAGGAGTATATTTTTGAGTCTTATAACAATAATTATACTCTCAATTTAAATTGAATAATTTAAAGAATAAAATGGAAGTAATTAAACATCCTTTATGACAATAATATATTATGATATAATGATTTAATTATTCATTCCATTCCGAAAACTCCTTCGAGATCATTAAGAACAATAGATCTCAAAAATTTTCGCATAAGTTCTTAGCTAGTGTATTTTGGAAGTTCGAGCCTATTGAAGCATGTGTGAGCTATTGGAAAAGAATTGCCATTTTTATAATCAATAGGAACGATCTAGAATTTTGAATACATTCCTCTATTGGACTCAAGTTTACTGAAACCACTATATAAAATGCAATAATTAATTAAATACTTAACTGGTATCCTGTAAGAACCAGTACAATAATGTAAGAACTTTTTTAATTAATCTTGATCGAATTCTGATAATACCTTCCAAAACCACTGTATTTATTGAGAATTTTCAGCATATGGTGTTTTATATATTGTATGTTATTTCCACTCAGCTAAATCTACGACAGGTACACCGTAAAGTATCATTTCAAATTCTTCAGCTGTGAAAATATTTAAATAATCCTATGGAACATATTTATATAAAGAGTTTTAGATTTAAGCAAGCTATTTTGATATTAATTTTTCACTATAGAATTAGATGCTTCATAATAATAATAATAATAAATGATACCTTAAATCAACGAATTCTTGTTTATTTTAGTTTGTTACCAAAATATCAGCTCCATTTTACTTTAATTCAATTATTTCATCATCTTTACATATGATAAAATATTATTATAATTGATTTTCATCAAATTAGTTTTCAAGTAAGTATTTCCAACTCAAAAACAAACTTTTGTCATAACATTGCATGTCTTAAAATGAGATTTCTTAACCAAGCAATTTCTTAACTAAAGGTCTATCAAATTCAACACAAATAGTCATTCTTTCAAAAAGAGCCTTTGCTATTGCTAAGCCAGCTAAATCAAAATATTGACTCTGTTTAGCAATTTTATAGGTAACATCATTAGTTTCTGTCAATGTAAAGATGTCCTTACACATTTCTTTAAAAATCAGAGTCAACCATTCTCTTAATAAACCTCCTGCATCTTAGACTTTATCGTTCAAAAATACTACTTTGACTTCCTTATAAAAATTAACACTCCTTGCTGAAACCAAAGAAGTTTATAATAAATCATTAAGATTGACATTCAATTTGTCTGATCCTAATTGCCAAGGAATACGAAATTTTTCAAGTTAAAGATTGAACCACATTTATTTCTCAGGAAAAGATCGATTCTTAATTTCTTGAGCACTTAAATTCTAATAAAATTGATAAAATGTTCTTACATATATCTACCCACCATTCACTTATGATTGAATTCTCTTCCATTGATTGTTTTACTTCACCCAAATGTAATTATCTCCCAATTAATCTTAAGTTTAAGGCATTTGAAATTCAACATTATGTATTGGTTATTAAAGAAGTAGACAATGGTCTATATGACTATTAAGAACAAAGTAGGTAGTAGAGGGACCAAACTTACGATCGCAATTTGGACATTTGGCTTCTTAACCAATTTTTGAATGCTAATTATTTGAACTTCTGTTCCCCATTTTAGAACTAATAATAATCAATTTCAGAGATAAAAACTCATAAATAACAAATAAAAGATATATAATTCTATAGGTATTTATGTTCTTAATACTCAAACAACAGTTTAAGTGATTTATGAATCGCACAAATCAGCTTCTTCCACAGTTTAATTCAAATTCGTAATTGGTCTTGGAGGAAAACCTGAAATTAACTAAATTTATTTTTGAGGAGGCAAATTCATCATTCTTGACACTTAAATATATTGAAATACTTTAAAAGATGCTATTGAATGGCTGTCACTCTTGTTGTAGTATTAACTGTTAATGTAATTGTGTTTCCAGTTGATAGTCTAACCTAGATATTAGTTGTTGGTTGATTTGGGTTAATTGGTATTTAACCTTATTTACTCAGATCAACCTTAACTTATTGTTATTATTAAACAAATTATTATTAACCCAAACTAACACCAGCTCCTCCGAATTCCACATATTTTGGTGGAGGAGGTGGGACATATTTTTCTTATGTTCTATCTTCCAATTTTACACTCAATCCTTTTTTGGCATATTATTATCGCAGCTATGTTGGTACTTAACTTTTATCATAATTAGTATCATTTACTTTTATTTTAATTCGGCAATGAATTTCTTATTTTCTGGGTCATTGATGTCTTTGAATTCTCCATCATTTATTTAAAATCCATTATTCCATAATGTTATTTTGCACCACTCTTTTGGATCCTCCTCTCCATCAGGGCGAGAGCCTCCTTGCTTTCTATATACATTTAATAGAATAATACGCTTTATTGATCAATTCATCAAAATCTGGAGGATTTTCTATTGAGAGTCCACTTAGAAATTTAATTTAAAAACATACCTCTTTTCACCTCCGGCATAAGAATTACTGGTTTTCTTTTGCTTTTCATCTTTCTCATTTTTCTTTAAATCATCTAAAGTTCTAAACATGCCCAAAAAATATTTATATTTAATAAAATAATAACATTTCAATCAAAACATGTAAGTAACTATTTTGCTATACTTGATAGATCTTCGTTTTAGGACATAAACAAAAACTCTACCTTAAAATAACATATATAAAGATACCTTATTTTTATATTTATACAATATATTGTAATACACATCATCTCTCATTGTATCTCCAAATTCTAATATTCTCTTAACATACTTTAGAATAGCAATTTAATTATTTGGATCATCTGCATTCAAATTAAGTAATTAAGAACAATAATAATTTTCATCTATAAGTTAAGGGTAATCATGTAAGAATTCATCATCTTTCATTAGACATTCTAAGACATTTAAACTTTTTTCTAAGTATTCAGAATCCAATGAAATTTCTATTATCAAATTTAACACTTCCTTCTAACATACGTAATATTATATTTCCTCCAATTCTACTACATTATAAAATAAAGTTAATAGAGCTTTAATGCAATGTGGATTTTTTGATGTCAAAAATAAATTACAAATAAAACTATTAATTTCTTTTTGTTAGAATATCTAATAGAGTAAATAAGAATCCGTAATTTCTTGTAAAATTCTTAAGATTATTGAAGTGATATTATCATCATTTTTTAGTAAATATCTAATAGCATGAAGAACCAAATGATGATTGCTGAATTCCATTCTTGATGTTAGAATGTAAGCACATTGAAATGCTATATGTTAAGGCATTAATTAACACAATGTTTCAACTAAATAATTACTCAATATTGACTTAAATTAAACAATTTTAACACAAATATGGACTAATAATTTTTTGTATGTTTCCTCTGAGATAATATTAGCATTTTTATTAAGGACTAATAATAATTCATCATCTTTCATTAAATATTCGAAAACGTCAATATCATAATCTGCTAATAAATTTTAAATGATTTCAATAACAAATTCATTGTATATTGGATTTCGAATATCGGTGTAAAGTATTTTTAAAAAATCGAAATTCGTATCAAATAGAAATCTAGATCCAACTTTATCTCCTAAAGTAAGATTGCAAAGGATCCAATAAATGGTAATTCTATAATTTTGTTGACAATTCAATTCAAATTAGAGAAGCAAATCATTCATGAGATCTTGCTCTACTAAATAATCATAATATTTGATCATAGCTTTAGGAAAATCATTTTCGATATTTTCTTGAATGGCAATCATTTGTTTTTTAATAATCCTAAGTTTATCATTCAGATCAAGATCTTCTTATTCTGGTATAATGATTCTCTTTTTTTTGAGTTATTATTCAATGAACTCTTTTCTAATGGCAGTTCTGAACTTCTCCCTCTTGACATTCAAAATTGATGAAGATTAATCCATTATATATATAATTGTGTTTTTTTTGGTATTATTATATCAAATTTAGATGGCTTATTTTTGGAACACATTTTAAGCCTTGTTGACATCGCCAACAGTGAATAAGTTTTACAGGTTGCTAACATCAACAGACTAGAATGATATTAGAAGATTATCATACTTATTGTTATTCACTGAGAACTGAATCGTCTACTACAAGACTATAATTGTCATAATACTTCAGAATCTATTAGACTTTGTTTACTTTCTCTCCTCCAGTCAAAACTGTGTTGTAGCCTCTTTCCAATCCTCCAACGACTATGATATTAGAAAACCTTAGACTTACCGATGCTGAAGTTGGTTACAGTTTAAGGATCTCCTGACACTATTACATGTTTGGATCCCTGCACTTTGTCACTCAATTTTGCTAAGTCCTAGTAAGTGTAGGTTTAGAGTTATCCATTTCTCAATTGAGCTGTGACTGGTCCTGTAACAGTTGGGAGAGAAAGGCGATTGAAGTTCTTGGAGGCGTAAACCAATGATTCCTAGGGGCTTCAATAGTTTAATACTCTGAATTTATAGGTGCCTGGATATGAGTAGAATCCAGTATGAATTAACCATTTCAAATTAGTAAATTTACTACTCTTCAGACTTTCTCCTGAGTGAGCTTGGGACAGATTAATTTATAATAGATACTCTATGTGGTTTCTGGGACGAGGTTTTTAAGGATTTCAATGAACTTGGTATCTCCGACTAGTTGATTTGGTGAAAACACGATTCCTTTGGGGTTGACAATACTAATAGTCTTTTCAATTTCATTTCGATCATCGGATCTGAAGGGTACTGTAATTACTCCAGCTTTGGCTGCTCCAGCAAATGTAGTGGCAGCTTCACTTGTGTTGGATCTACCAAGCAAGAGCAATAGTTTGTCCCCTTGTTTCCAACCTTATTCAATCAATCCATATGCGAATGCACTTGAATGTGTCTCTCAATAACAACTATTGTATACATCAAATTCGCCGAAAGTCCAGGTGAGATTTTAATTCTCAAATCTGAACCCATTCTTAAGTGGATTTTATTTTGCTAAGGTTGAGAATCCTTGATAAATAAATCGTAGCATTTTTAATAAATAATTTAAATATATATAAATATAAATGTTTCTTCTTAATTGGTTTGGAGGTAATAGCAATTAGAGTGGAAAGAACAAGAAAAAGAAGAAGAAGTAAAATGTGGTGTAGAATCTCAACAAGACTTTGATAAATCCAATGAAAGAAATCAAATTATTTGGACATTCAAAGATGGGATATGGTCCCAAAAAGACTGAATGTCAAGATTCTTATTGTACTATGGAAAGATTTACTGAAGATTGTTATTTTTTCGCAGGTTTAACTTCATTTTTATAATAAGTGTATGATGGTCACGGTTCCTCAGGCAAAGAAGCATCCTAGGCAGCCAATGATTATATTTAAACTTTCCTCGAGAAAAACCCAAAGAGAATCAAAGCATTATAGAATGATAAACAAAGAGAGAGTTTTTTGAAGAGTGCTTTTAAAAATGCTGAAGCTAAACTAAGATCATCTGGTATAGATTACAGTAATTCTGGAACATGTGCAATATCAATATTTGTAGTTAAGAATATGTGTTATATTGCCAATCTGGGTGATTCTAGGGCAGTACTATTTAGATAAACTGCAAAAGAGAAACTGGCCATTGAATTATCCTATGATCATAAACCAACAAGACCAGATGAGAAGGAGAGAATCATAAGATGTGGGGGTAAAATCGAAAGGCTGATTCATGATGGTTAGCCAGTTGGACCATATCGTATTTGGGCAGACGATGAAGGGCCAGGAATTGCCATGACTAGAACGTATTGAAATTCAAATTATGTATAGATTGGGAGATTTGCAAGCTAAGAAGATTGGTTTGATTTCCGAACCAGAAGTCTAACATATTGAATTAACAAAATAAGACAAATTCATGGTAATTGGATCGGATGGTGTTTGGGATGTGATGAGTAGTGCAGAAGTCTGTGGATTTGTTTTAAAACATGAGCCTAAGGAGAGTGTGGCTGAAGCTATTGTAAATGTTGATATTTATATAGGTTACTGAATGTAGATCCAGATGGGATGAAATGAACAAGTAAAAGAAGACAAATTCTAAGATTGGAGATTTACCATACCTGAAATTCGGTTGTGATGATATTACTGCTGTAATTGCTTATTTCACATTTATTGATGAATTGGAAGACAACTATTTCCAATAACAGAGATATTGAATCATAAATATAAGAAAATAATATTTTATGATTTATATTTTTTGATAAATATTGATATCATTTCAAAGCCAATCTGACTTAAGGGATTCCCTTGATAATCTCTTAACTCTCCTAATTCAATGTGAAATTGATAGTCAAATCAACATATTTCTAATAAAATTAATAGTATATCATACCTGTATTTCTAAAACTTTAATAATTGGTTGGTCCAAGAAGTGCTTTTTCTCATCTGGCTTTTTAGCATACATGATCTCCATGTACACAGGTTAAGCCTTCAAGAAAACATCTCTTGGATGCAAATCATATTATTAATTCAGAATTTCAAATAATTATCTGAAAGTAGTTGACTTTGTAATTTCATGTGCCCATATATCCCATAATGTAACTGTGACTTTTTCATTGATTTTCTTCTTTGGTACTAACCCTGGCTCAGTCAATTTCACAAAAGGAATTGCTAAATTGACAAAGGCGTTTTTCATATCTGAAATCTAGACATTCTTCAAGGTCTTAATCAACTCAATTGTCTATAGGCCAGCAACAACAGCAGTAGTAGTAGCCAAAGCAGGTACAATACGTCCAGCTTTAATTTTCACAGTCAGCCAATCCATAGATTCTAATTTATAATTTGCAGCCCTTAGATTGCCGAAATGAATGAATGAAGTCGATGTGTCCATTTTAATCGTTATCCTTTTCAAATTCATCAGATGCTAAAGTGATGGGTAATAAGGATTTAAATTATTTGAATAACAGTTATGTTTCTTCTTAAGTGCTTTGGGCTTGAGTAGTCTCATTCTCTTCAGGTTCTTCTTTTTATCCTTGCTCTTTAACCTTATCAGAAATAGACTAAAATAATTATCAAACTCATAAATACCTTCTTCTTCTCTTCGCTTGGTTGCCATTCAGGGAAAGTGATAAGATTGGCTTACTTAGCTACTTATTGTCTATAAGCTTTAGTTCTCCAATCTTTATCAGTTTCGAGACCGAACATTTTGGCTCTGAGGAAAGCAAAGGTTGATACAAATTATTGATGAATTTCATTTTCAGGATCAAATTAAATAGCCTTGGGAGGTCGTTTAGGCATAGTCCAAAATAGATTGCCATCCTTAGTCTTAGCATCTTCTGGATATGTATACATCAATTATTTAATGTCATTAACAAAGTATTTCTAGAATTTCCCTCTTGCCCACTTAAGACAATCTTCTAAAGAATTTGGTTTGTTCTTCAACAATTTGATGCCTTCTCTCAAAGGCTTATTGTCTTCTAGACTGGGCAAGTAATCATCTGCCATCATTTTTATTAATTGCTTTGGTCTTGCTGAAAAATGTTTACCAAACTTATCCTTTGCAAACTCAACGCAATGGAAAGTCTCTTCTGGGAACATCTTTAGTGTGCAATATGGAATTTCTCCTTCTTCGACAGGATCATTAGAGCTACCATATGATTCAGTTTAAAATGGAATGATGCATTGTACATGACCTTTTGGTCCAAGAGTACCTGATTCTAAAAGTGGCTTGCGAGCATTTACACATCGTTTGTCGACATATCTTCTAGCAGCTACATTGTCAAGAGCATTAGCAATAATGTCTTAGTCTTCAAAGAATTGATCTGTGTATATGTGTTCTGTTGAATCATGAACCTTATCAAGTCTGGCTATGATGTGATCTCTCAAATATGGGTTCATTTAAATAACAGCAGCAGCAGCTGTCTAAGACTTTGGTTTTCTTAAATGTTTCTCCCTGAATAAGAATTACCTATTTAGATTACTGACCTCGATGTGATCAGGATCAGTTATTGTGATAGATCCCTTCACTCCTAAGTTAAGCATAGCAAAATTCTTGAGTAGTTCACAACCTATTGCACCACATCCAACCATGAATATTTTAGATTTCTCTAATTTTTCAGCAATTTCTGTACCCAAGAATCTACTTAAAGACCTTTCACTTATTTTGACATCCTTGGATATCTCTTTTTGTAACACTTCAGTGCAATCCACATAAAATAGTTGTTAAACTGGAGTAAACTTATTTGTTATTCCCTTAATAGCCTCTTGTGACACGAATCCTCCAAGATAAGCAGACAAAGGTGAAAATTCTCCTTAAACAGAGTAATGTTTGAATATGGACTCGAAATCCTAATCTTTGGTTTACTTATTGTTATAAAGATTATGAAGATGTTCAGTATTTTGCAATTTGATAAAATCGTATTCTGACATATTTGGATCATAAATTGGCTTATCAATGAATTCTTAATTGTAGGGTTGGAATGATAATTCAACAGGTACTTTAACCAATTTAATAGTTCCATTTCGAATGTATTTTTGAATATCCATTCTAATTGTATCTCCAAGACTGATTTACTAATTACTTTAACCTTTTAAATGGTTTTGTTAATTGAAATTCCATTTGAGTCTACCATTCCTTCAATATTATCAATCATTACAATATCATTATCCTAAAATTCATGTTTACCTGTGATTTCAAAGTGCAACTTATTTTCCCCTTTATCAGTAACTGATTTAACAATATAATCAACAGTTTGTTCCCCATTCTTATCCTCAACTATGAATGATTACCCAAAGTCATTGAATACTCTTCCGAAGACTCCATCAACTGAACTTATAATTAATTTCACCTTATTTTAACGACATAATGTAGATAATTTGAATAATACATCATTTGGATATGTAGCACAGATTACTACAATGCTGTATTTAGTGAGATCGATATTAAGGAGTTCTGAGGTTTCATAATTTACTCTAACGTATGAATTGAGCTATTGCAATTTTTCCCAACTTACTTCAGCCCTGTTTTTGCCAATATCTTTTTCTTCAATGAAAAATTAACCATTAAGATCATATTAAGTGCATTTCTATTGATCATGAATAGTTAACATTTTGACTCCTGATAATACTATGTTTTTGGCTACTTCAATACCCAAGGCTCCAATGCCAGATACCAAAACACAACTATTTGCCTATTTCTTCACTGCATCCATACCCATAGCACCAATGTATCTACTCCATCTATCTAAGACATTTTCATCATTTGCTTCGAATTCCTTCTATTGAATCTTTGTGTATGTAACATCTACTTCATCTAAATTGGCCATTCCCTCTTTTACATTTTTAACTTTAGGTTGTTTCTTGACGTGAAGTCCTTAGTACCCTGGATCCTTCTAAATCAGCAGCAGAAGGTGGCTAAATCTTATTCAATTCTTCCTCTAATTCTTTAACAGCCTCTGACAACTTCTTATGATATGCTTTCTTGCTCTTTTTGAATTCACTGCACCAACTGGAATTGTGATCATTTAGTAACCCAGTATATACTGCTTCTTTGGTATCTGCAAGTTCAACCCACTTATTGCATTCCTCCAAGATTTCCTATTTCTTAAGATAGAAGTGTCTCCTAATAATAGTTTCAAATCCTTTTGGTGGATCTCTAATCTAGTCTATCATAGCATATTTAATGTTGCAATATCTGACAATATTAGAATATCCTTCATTTTTCTTTTCACCTTCATCTGTGTTTGCTTCCTATTCAAAGCCTGGTTCATTGAAATACACCTCTTCACTCATAATAATAGCTTGAGTGGACACTAAAACTTAAAGGAGAGTGGAGATTTTTGGATCCCAATTTTCAGATGCATTTCCTCTCCATGTACCTAAGAGTGACAAACATACTTTTCCACAACTATACAAATTAGGATTGAATCTGACTTTTCCATTTCCTGTAGTAGATAAATTCATTTTAGGGGGAGCATTCGGGTATGAATCATCAGCATAAATATCAAATAGAAAGGCACCATGTGCATAAGGAGTTCCTTTTGCACCCATAACAAGTGCCTTCATCACATCTACACGTTCTTTGTCAGCTCTTACAAATATGGCATTAGTGTGTTCAATTGGTAAGGATGTTGACATATCTGCAAATTCTTAGGCTAATCTTACGATCTTATCTTGATTTATCTAAGTAGAAATGTTTCCTGAATAGTGATGCTTATATCTGCCACCCACCTTCATATCAATATAGCTGAATCTCAAATCTGACAACAAGGTTCTGTATGCTTCAGGTAGATTTTTGGATAGAATCTCTGCGATCAACTCATTTGCTAATTCTTTCTATTTCTTGAGTTGTTCAGTCTCATCCTCTTCATTGCTACTACTACCACTATCATTCATCTTATTGATGCAATTTTCCATTCGTTTATGAGTATCTATAATCATTTTGGCAATCTCAAATGAGTGTTCTTCCTCTTCATTCTTCTTTCTATTATTTTGGACGCAATTCATAAAGATTCTGGATGTGTCAGCCAATGCACTTAACAATTCAAATAATGATTATGTTTAAGGAGGATAATACTATTCTGGAATCTTTAAGAAAACACTGGCCAATACTTTGTGTTGTGACATGGATTAAACTATCTTCAGATACTTACAATACAACTCGAATTCCTTTGATATTTCCAAAAGTGAACCACTTCTGAATGCACTTTCTAACAGAGGCAATAATGCACTTTCAAACAATGTATTCTTTAATTTATGTAATAGTTCTTCACTTGGATGCCAATGTTAGAAATCAAAGAATGACTCTACTATACCCAGTAATCCAATTAATTGTTATGACTTTTAGGTTTTCTTCTCCACATATTCTATCGTATTCCATTTCTAATTTTACCCAGTATTATCACTTGCATATCCTACTCCTCTCTTCTACTTTGTTGATTTCTGCAATGTGTTATTTTTCTAAGGTGATTCTTAAACCACTTATTCCTCAACCTTATTTCTAAATTCTCTCTTAGTCTCCCTACTAACCAATGCTATTCTATCTAGGATTTGCTTAATTAAATTCTATTCCAAAGCCTTTATTCTTACTTCTGGTCCACTACTAGCACTGAATACATTTACGAGGGTGGTATAAATGAACTTAACAGCATTCTGTTCCTCCTCTTCTAATTTCTTGTTATTACTTGAATCAGGAGGTCCAGCAATTAAATCAAACAATAAATTGACACATTATTGATTCTTCATGAACAAATTAAAAAAGTTAGGTAATTGACAGAATGATTGCAATTCATTTAAAAATTATAGCCAAGAATTGGCTCGTTGTTAATTCTTCCATTATCCAATTCCTTCTCTAATTACAGATAACATAGCATTTACACCATTTAGTTCTTCAAACAAGGGGAATATTGTTAATTGTTATGGATATGTGAATGATGATGTTTTAGGGTGGATGTTATCAATGAACTCTCTTGCATTTATTACCAACTCAATAATATTTTATTAATTTGTAGGTAACTCATTCAATTTTTACTGGTTCTCAAATATATTGCATTCCTGTTTTAATCCATATTTGTTGAATACGATCAATTGTTTCAATTCACATAATTTCAATTAACTTGGTAATTAGTAAACTGGAACAACACTGTAATATAGGAGTGATTGATTGGTTTCATAATTAGGGAATAGTAAACTAGTAGTTTCTTATGGTATATTAATTTAAGGCAATGTCTTCTTTTACTTTTAAGGTCTGACTCCCTGAAACATAATATTCAATCTTTAAATTGTCTAGACTTCCCTAGTCTTTTAGATTAAATGATGCCAAATTGATTCTGGATGGTTCTCCTGGGACATATTCAATTTCCAAAAATACTTTATCATTATTTTAGAATGTTAAGGTTCCTTGTTCATCATATATTTCAATTTAAGCATTGATGTCAATTTCCTCATTGACAATAAGATTATTTTCATTGAAATAAAACACTTTCATCTTCCCTTGATTCCAACTGTATGTTAAATCTAATTTATCTGATTTTGTGCATTTCACATTATGATACAAGATAATAGTTTTGTCTACATTATTGATTCTATAATTGATAACCATCATCTAAGGAGAGGAATTAAAGAATTTATCTTCCAAATGTGGTAACATGTCTGAATCTCCATCATTCTTCTAAAAAGCCACCTTATTCCAATAGGTCTCGCTTATATGAGCAAATAATTAATCTCTTTATTTAATTGTTAGTAATAATGATTCGAATACTAATTCATCCTGCTTTTGAGTATTGTCTATTTATTTCTAAGCAATAAACTTTGGATCCAAAATAAATTTGCCTTAATCTTCAAATTGAATCTTCAAGAAAACATAATCCTCACTGTTCAAAATTGGAACCAACAAGGATCTCACGAATTTCATATCTTTGTTTCCTTCCAATCTGCCAATATCTCGTATCAAGGCTTCGATTATGAATTTTGCATGATACTTCTACACCATGTAGCTGATGAATTTGGCTGCCAATTCTATAGTTTTATCATCGAATTGTTTCAAGATGGTTTTGCATGAGGGTTCTTCGATTAATGAATTATAGAGAGGGAGAAGGTATTTGAGTAGATGATCAGCAATCTTCTTATTCGTCGATAGAGTATAAAAGAATTAGATGACGTAGTTCAATTCAAATTTACCAAAAATTGAATCCAACTGATTGATAATCCAATCAATGCTTACTCTATTTCCCAAAGCTAATGGTCCAAGCACTTCAAAGAAGTATGGTTAGGTTCTACTCTTATCCAAAGTAAACTACAATATCTATTCCACTTCTTCAAAATCTATTCATAAGGATGTGGGAGATAAGTGATGGTTACTATCAGTTTGATTAGCAAATGTCTGGCATGTTTGTTATGCAACAATTAGAACAATTCAATCAGATGTATGATATCATTTTTGCTGATATTTAGTGAAAGTTCCCTTTATTTCAATTTGCTCTTTTGCAATAACAGAACATTGCAATAGGATTCAATGAAATGCTAAGCCAATTTTTCATACCATAATAGATCTTACTGCTGATGATTGTTGATCTGTAGAGCCAGCAATTTCTGAAATAGATGGTTGTGCAATTTCAAGAACCTTTCATGAACATGTTCTCCTTCCAAATATTATCTAACTCAGTAATTTACTATGTGATTACTCAGGGTATTCCATCAATTTGACTACTAACCAATCTCCGACCTCGTGATTATATTTAGCAATTGCCAATATCAAAGGACTCAATTGAAATGAATAAGAATTGAGTGCATTCATGAACTTGTTGATATTGTTTTGGAGTTGTTCTAATACGATGGAATCATTGGCCAATTGTTGCAAAGTCTTTTTGGTAATTGGGTTTACAGAACTTGGATAGAATATCGATAGCCGTCTTCTCTTATAATGTATAGATGAAATCAACTTTTTATCTACTAGAAGCATAACCCAAAACTGAAATAAAACTGATGCCTAAGCACAGCTTTTTAATAGCTTTGGATACATCCAATTGTTCTACATATTGTTATCTCATTCTAAAGCTGATGAATTTGACAGATTAACCAGGAGGCAATTGCTGCTTATTCATGAGTTGAGAATTGTAACAAAATACTTTGACTTGGTATTGTGAATAATATTCGTCATTAATTAATTGCATCTCAGCAATTGGATATAGTTCCTCCAATGATTTTCCTACTTCTAATAGGACACTACTGGGAGTGCCTAAATATTTGTCAGCAAAATCAGCAGTGAATGTTTGAATACCCAATCTGATATTTTTGATTTCGATTTCATTATCCAACTAGAATACCATTTAATATTCACTTCTCATTCCCTCATGGGAGAGTGATTAGAGCTAATCTACTCTTCGCTCCTTTCTTGTGCAATGGCCAATCCTAATTGGATATATTTTGTCCTGGCAAATTGAAAACTTTCATCTTATTGCCGAACTCCTCCTCCAAAAACTAGACTTGTGTGATTTGTTTCTCCTTGATGATCTTATTTATTAGGTAATGATAGATGTCTGATTGGAATTGTTATGCAACATCATCTGAAATTAAATACTTATCAAATTGTTATTGGATCACTTCCAAAATCTGAGATGTGTATGTGAAAGCAGTGTATGAAGTGATCTAACTATTCTCATATTGATTAACTATCACATCGTCAATGTAATATTGCTATTGGAATATTTACTGTAACATGTATTATTTGCATGGCAATAATTCAAATAATTAATCCAATGAATCGCTCACTTATTTGAGTAATTTTCCAGCATAGCTATGCAATTTGTTCCCAGAATAAGAATTCAAGCAGTACCATTCAAATAAACGATTTAAGTCTGGACTCTCACTTAGTTGTGCTAGTGTTTATTCACTTTGCAATAGTAAATAGATCATTGATTAACAGAGTTCCAATTATTCGATCAATCGACTATCAGCATTGATGATTCCATCCATTCCTCCTAGATAAGGTAGATACGATCCTATATATTTGAGTAATATGTTGACATTATTCAAATAGATCTGTTATACCTCTTAGGAGAATACTATGAAGATATGCTTGATGTCATTTTAGCTTAAATGAGGCAATAAGGCTTCTATTATTTAAGAGCATGTCTGATTTTATTGCACTTATTGTTATGCCAAATTCAAGGTGAATTATAGCAATTCATTCATCAATAATTTCTATTTGCATCCTAAGTAAGACTGGATTACTCTGTGATAGATTTGTAATTCATTCTACAATTAAGGAGTTATCATCAATATCACCTTTAGTACTTTATTCCAAATTATATATTTCTCTGACTTCTCTAATAGGATAATTAATCTATTTATTGTATCTGGATAACAAATTTGGATATGTTATCTTTGCAAGAAGTCCTCAAAGTCAGCTAATTGTTTATTATTGCCTCTGGTCTTTAATTTATTTACCTTCTTAACACTTCTTGTCAGAAAGTCGAATAATAAGAGCAAATTATCGATCGTTAATTTTTCTACGTTGTTTTTTATGTAGATTTAACAGAAGTATATTGAGGTATTTTTGAAATGTAAATCAAACTATCCTTCTCAATTTATAAAATGTTATTAATTTGATCACTCAATAAGAGTGTGGCTGCCCAGTCTGTATATCTACTTTCCAATTATTTGGGTTAGAACAGAAGGTCTAACAAAGTTTTGAATTTCTCTGGGTACTGCATTCCTTTTGAAAATAATTCTGTTAAGACGTTTTCATTCAATGAATTCTTAATTTAAAGGGTACTGCATTTTTGTAATGCATTTTACAATAAATTCAATCTAAATTTACTATCATTGATTAGAAATTCAAGAATAAATCCTAACATCCTTTCATTTTCTGGATTCCCATCTTCTGTTTATTTTATTTATGGCAATCTTTAAAGTTGAGTTACTAGTGCATCATACAGAATGTCATCATTCAATTCAATTAGTTTCTACAGTGATTCCAATATGGGTATTGGTAACTAATGCAATAACTTTTTCTTTAGACTGTTTTCACTTGTAAATTATTCTATTATCAATTAATTCCATTGTTCCTCAGGTATTTACATTTTAACCTTCTTTTGAATAAATTACAAAGCTATATCAGTAATTCCTTTCAAATCTCCTAGTGATATGATGAGATGGATGAATTCTAATGCGTCTGGTACTCTGCCAGAGATGGCAATCAGCATTCTCATTAAAAGAGATGAGAAGACTGTCAAGAAATTGGAATTGTTTTCGTAGTTTCTTGGGGGGGCTACTTTCAAAAATTCAAGTTGAGTTTATTCAATAAGACTCTGAAGATGACTAGTTTGTAATTTACACTTCTCCTTCAATTGCATTTCTGATTACAATTTGTATATTGCTTGTTCTAAATAATCAGCATTTCTCCTCAATGATTTAGTTGACATCACTATGTAATGGTCAGTCAAATCAGTCTTTTTAATAACATTGTATGAGTCCATGAGTATAGATTTATCTGACTAATACACATAGTAGAGGGTTTCTCCTATTGATAAGGTAGTCTTATATCTAAAATCTTCTGTGATATCTAGTGGACACAATTCAGCATTTAAAAGAGACCCGTAGAATTCTGGAATGACAGTCAAGTAATTCTATGGAATCTACAATTAAGCTGCTTATTTGGAATAATAATTATCACTTCCCAAAGTTAATTGCACTAATAATTTACGTGCTCTAACTCCATTAAGTCCAATGTGAAAACAATTGTAATTATGATAATTGGCACATTTATGAACATAATCTGTGAATTGTACAAAGGTCCATTCATCATAAACTTGATCCAACACCAAATTGTCTACCCAAACTTAGACTCTAAATTTGACTGAGTTTGATGTCTATTAAAATCTTAAAGACAATTTCTCAATCTCAAATTCCCCAAGAAGATTGACTTCAAATCTTCTAATTTATTATTTATTTGACAATTGCATAATTAGAATCTAAGACAGAGGGTCTTTTTAGCATATTAAAGATTTCTAATTGCCAGTTTATTCAACTGAGATTTCATCAATTTCTTAGATTTGTACTTATCCTTGAGGTCCTCCATATTTAGTAGAAAATAAGAACATGTCTTTATGTTACATACTTTTCAACTTTTGTAATGCAAACAACAGAGATTTCATAGCAATATCTATGATTTCTTGTGGTTTAAATTTGGCTGTATATGTTATTAATCCCAAAAAGTACTCTAAGCCACTTTCTGTTAAAACTACTTTTTCAATCTTGTTAAATATCTGTTAAGCCACCTACAACAATATATCATGAAATTCATCGTGTTGTTGGAGTTGTCTGAAGAATTCTGTGACTTATTCATTTACATCCTAGGATAACACATTTCCAAGGATGAATTTAGATAGGTTAATAACTTCTAACACTTTCTTGGATTCTTTCTTCATGAATAAATTAAGAACAGTCAAAGCACCTGGTTTTTTTTGGTATACTTATTCGACTAGACTATCTAATTGATTGATTTATAAATTGTTGTATTTCTTACCAGTCACAGTCACCTTTAATAATTTATATTGTGAATCATCATGTGGTTTAATAGTGAAGTCTCCTGAATAAACAGTGTCAAATTCAATTATACCATTACTTGGATATCCATTCATTCCTTGATATTTACATTGAACAGCCAATTTCTCAGGTAAATCAATTCTTTTCCTAAGTTAGTTTAACAATTGGCATTCTTAGATTGCTCCAACAGTTGAATGCTCACTTTAGGTCTTAGGTATTTCTTTTCCGAAAGCAGCAAACCCTTTGATTTCAATGGAGTTAGTCTAAAAATGAGCTGTATGATCATGAGGTGTTTTTCTAAAATTGGTTGGTTTAAGCATGATATATTTGCATGGTCTTATAACTTCCAATTGACAGAATGCTTCTTTGGATTCTGCTTCAAATTCAAAGTATCCAACTGGTTCATTTGCATGTAGACTTTAATGAGTTGATTTCCACTTTTCATATTGTTGTTTGTCAAAGTTATCAAATTCTGAAGTGTCATTCAACTCATGTTCTTCTTTTGATATAAAGATCAATCCCATTCCAATGGGGAATCCTCTGAAAACATTGGTGACCTCACTTTTAATTATGACATGATCCACAAGCATAGCCTCATCAAATTGGCTTCGGAATATAAATTAGGTCTTAGGATAGTTACTAGAGAAGGGTTTATTACTATCAAAGAGCATTTAAGTAACAAATGTTTAATCATTAAAGGAGGCTCCTTTAAAGGAATGGACAGTTAAAGGTAATTTTTAAGGATCACTAACAGTCAATGGACTATTCATCAATAGGATTTGTTTTGGTTCCTCAATGGGTCCTTCAAATACAGCCTTAATGTGGATGTGAGTGAAATTATCTCCTATATGAATTCCCTATATATGGATATCATCCGTAACTGTTTAGAAGATCTGCACTTCTTCACTTTGAATGATGTTATTCTTTAGGATTTCAGAATTGTCTTCAATTTACTTGTGTTGAGTGTTACTCTCATACCAGATGATATTATCTTTAATGTAAGCATTTGAAATGGGTTCTTAAATTTCAGAGACATTCAATTGAGAGTCAATGATGAAATTTTTTGATTGACTATAAATTAGGCATTTAGTTTTGGAAATGACTAGATCATAATTGACTCCAATGAATATTTACTTCTAAAATTCAATTTTGGAGTTTTGAGTGATCTCATAAATGCTTATAGCTTGATCACCAATCAAGAAGACATAGAGTCTATTATTCCAAATGGCACTCTCAATGGTCTTAATATCAAATTCTGCTTAGATTGCCTTGTGATCAGCCTTAATCATCTCCAATCTTTTGCAATGTTTACTATACAGAGGAGCCAGAGTCTCAACTATTTATCTACTTGTTTCTGATTGCAACAATAATGAGTAATCCTTATTTTTACTCCAGCAATTTGTTAATACACAATAATAGCCATCGTCATTGATAAAAAATTGATCCAAATACTTTTATGAATATGATATGAATTTAATAGAGAGTACATTTTTATTATGTATACTGGCAACTAGAACTGGGAACATGGTGTTATTGCTATTCCAATGGATAACAGTCACATAATCAATAGCACTTTCTGTAATTTTATCTTTTAAATCCTAACTGATCTCTTCATTCTCATCGACTTCAACCAAATCTTATTGAATTTACAATTATTATTTGATAACAAATTACTCTATCTGTTCATCTGGTTTTTGAGCATTACAAGCCTCACAATTTTGATTGGTCTCCTTATTAACCAAAGTGCAAATACTGCATTGCCATTCTCCACTGGTGCTCACAATGTCAAGTGCTTTATCGAAATTGTTATTAGTTTGAATAAGAGCCTCTTTACAAGCTGATTCCTCGAAATCCATTGCAACTAACTTCTCAAGCATTGCTTAATCATATAATGGTAGTTGTTCAGTTTCGCCAGTAATATAGTTTTCCAATATTTTATATATGTGACTTGGTGTTTCTTCTGATTGAACATCAATTTTCTTCTTGTTTTTCTGATAGGGTCCCAATTGTCTCAAATCTACATCAATGACTTTAAAGAGTTCAGCTTCACCGTTGTAAATAGATATTGAATCTTGATATCTCAATGAGAAGTAGCGATCACTTTTGCTTAGGATTCTTTCACCCTAAGCCTGTATTTCACTTCGCAATATTAACTTGGAATGTTTGGTTCCATTGTTATTGATTTCATCATCGCAATATGCATATTTGACTCCTTAAACCTGGTTATAAGTATTTTCCATATTCAACAACATTGAATGGATTTTCTGTTGCTGGATGATCTGCGAATGTTAACAATCTCATCTTTGCAGACTCTATGCTTCTAACCTCTTCAAATTATTCTATCAATTAAACAAGTATTCTCTCTGCTATTCTGCATTGTTCTATAGAATATTTGTATTAAAATTCATCCTTTTTTTCTTCCTGAACAATCTCCTCATTTATTGGCAACATCTACGTTATTTCCCTGCAATAATTAATCATTCTCCTTTCTCTTAGGGTTTGCTCTCGAATTTCTCCTTCAACTTCCTCACATGATGTTTTAAATATTGTCTTATCCTTTTAAGTTTCTTTGATGCTTCCTCGTCCAAAATTAAATATACTATCTCATTGTCCTCCTGATAATTGCACATCACCAACTTCATCTTTATTAGTACCTCTAATTCTGCCTTGGGAATTTGTTAGCCTACCAATGGACAATTTCGAACAGACACTAATCGATCTTGCAATTGGTGAATTTCATTTCTATCTATATCATATTATCGATACTTATTCATCGTGAAGGAGGCATTCGAATGCTACATTTACTAACTCTAAAGCTAGACTTGTTCTAATTGCTCTACTACACTGCGATCCTCATACTTCATTGTCAAATGCACCGAATTCCCAAATTGCGATAGTCTAACACAAGGGTACCAAGGACCTGAAATCAGAGTGCCCTTTGGTATGCCTTTGTTAGTGCTCAGATTGCCATTCAAGTAGAATTACAGTGATTGCTCGTTGAAATTAAGAAGCACACCCACCACTCTCTGCGTTGTCGTTTTAAATTCGAATAGGTGTCCCTCAAAATTTTCGCTTGGAGATTACTATTTGGATATGCCAATCTGCAATTAGGACTACGCCTTACTTTCACTCCTTCTGTATTAAAAGGGCATACGATTTCCCAATAATGAACGCCCTCGCTGAAGCATATATTCGCTATTGCTAGACCACTGGAGTCCTTTGCTGGATTAAGCTGCTAAATTGTTGTGCCTTAAAGCGATGCCACTGTATGTGGTGTTAAATGTGAAAAGAACATAAATTAAATAATTCCCCTGATACTTTCTGAACAGGTATTTAGATTAATGTTCAAGAATGAAATACACTTATTTATCTATATCATTTTTTATATCCTAACTCAACATCCCAATCCAAGACTCTCCCTTCTTTTGTACCATACCAAAGAATGACTTTAAATTTAATTATTCATTCTGAATAAGGGGAATTCTATTTATTAAATTATAGCCTTATGTATATTATAATAAAATGCTTCTATTTGAGTATTGTGAACTAACCATCATTCATTAAATTAAATAATTTTTAAAATATGTCATCAGATTCAGGATCGCATAAAAAAGAGGAGGCCAATCGAATTTATGTGACAGGATACTCTGCTAAAGAATCTGAAATGGAAATCAAGAACGCATTTGCTAGACATGGCGAAATTCAAGAGTTTTCTTGGAAAGGGCGATTTTGTTTCATCGTAAGACATGGACCGTTTGGCATTTAGGGTACAGGCTTATGCCAAGCCTGAGGACGCATCTGATGCAGTTAGATTAATGAATATGCAAGACTTCAACGGGAGAAATCTAATTGTCGAGTTGGCACGAGCGAAGAAAAAAGATGGTGCATGCTATTAATGTGGGAAATAGGGGCATTTGTATTCATTCCTATCATTCTTTTTAGTGCTCGCAATTGTCGTTAGAATCGACGCTCCTACTCTGACTCCAGGTATAAGAAATTGTGACATTAGGCGCCATTCTAAAAAGAAAAAAAAACATCCAAAGCATCGATCTTCTAGCTCTTCCTCCAGTAGTGAAAAGAAAAAGTCAAAGAAAAAAAGGAGAAAGAGTTCCTCGAGTTCTCATTCCCGATCAAGTGATTGATAATCAAATATTCAAATATATTAATAGTAAATTTATAATATAAATCTCACTCCTAAAACCTTTGATTTGTGATATGTTATAAAATTGTGGTCATCGTTCGATCCTCATTCCCTCCCTTTAAGTCCTTCTTGAATGTTGGCATCTTAGATAGATTTCGTTTTATATTCTGTTGACTCACTTCATTGTCTCTGATGAACTTCCTCTTATCCACTTTAATAATTTACATGAAATCTTACAATCAATCACTCCAAAGCATTTCTCATTATGCATCAACAAATTGCTTTATATCATGAATGTCTCCAATACTTTGTGTCCAAAAGTAACAAATATTCTAACAGATTCCTCTGCACAATAATTGTTGATCTTTTATGCTATTACATCACTCTCCTATCTCACAAATGTCTTAATTTCTGTTTACATTACTCTCGTCTTTAAGAACATCTCATTCAAATTAACAGTCTTAAAACAAGATGCCTTTGCTGCACTACTTACTCCATTTTCTTTGCATTGTGGAGATAATGGTTCTTAACAAAGTAGAGTACGCTTTGGCTTTTGATTATTAATGAAGAACTAAAAGCAATTATCAGGTAAAAATGGATCCAGTGATTAAACATGAACAGAAAAGTTCCATAACATTGTCTACTAATTAATTCTATTTATTTCTAATTTTGACTTCATCACATTATGCTATCTGTTTTTGGAATCTATCTTTGTACCATCTTTAATAATAGAATTAATTAAATACCTGGACAAACAAGTGCAAAGTCTAATTAAAAGTTATTCTTATTTGGAACATATATCAATATATGATATTGATTGATAAGACTATAATAGTCTGGAATCATAGGAATATTGAGTAACTACCCTGTAGAATTAGCAAGCACATCAAAATCATATGATACTTACAAGAACCCTTTTCTTTATGCATGAACTCTCACTTATTTAAACATCAATCCTGGACAACTAAATTACCCTTAGTCATTGGTCATACCAATAAGTGGTTCTTGATCTGTTTAATCAGATTAAAATATTTCTAGTCTGCAATTCTCAATATCTTTGTGTTGTCCACCTCTTAAGAGAATATTATATGCTCTAAATTACAAGGTAGTTTCAACACAACTAACCAAGTCAAATTCTATTTTCACATCAGTATTCCCCTGTAAAAATACTGTTCTCTTTTAAGAAAAGCAATCTTTTTTACTCACATCAATGACATATTCTTATTTGTCTCTTCCGTAAAATACAAATGCTTATTCATTGCTGTCAAAAGTCAATGTCTCAGTAATATTCTTAGTCACATTGACAGTAGCATCTTCTGGAGCTTTAACAATACATTTGATAACATCATTTCTTTCTACTCTGGTTGAAACATAAACAGTATCTGTATTATCATCGAGGAGCTCATCAACATTTAGCTGAGTTTTCATAGTTTGAATACAATTTCCAGTAATTTCTATTTCATATGCATTGACTTATTAAACTAAATCTATAAATTTGGCTTCATCAAAACAACTAAGTGGAACTGTTTAACTGAACAATTTCACAGTAAACTTTTTCTCTGGTGATTAGGCTCTCTGTTTTTATCCTGACAAATCAATTTAAGAGATGTTGGTTTGAGTCATCCATGCTTAGGATTTAGTAGGTGAAAAATAAACTCTTACTGATTTCTCCATATCTCTTATATTTTCTGTGCTCTTGTAAATATCTAATTTAGAAGCACTTTTTTAAGCACTGCCTTATTAACAAAACGAAGTTCTTATGACAATTTATTTTGTAGGAGTTTATGCTGATTATAATGTAGGAGCTTCTCTCTAACGGACAGTCACTTAAAGTCCCTCTAAAATATTTCTTTACTATCCTTCTTCACTAACAGGAACCACATTTTTGATTGGACAATCAACATTGACTGTTAAATTAAATTTTCTAAGATGGAGCCATACCAAATCGGCTATCAATTTAGGTGAGATTTGCTCTTTTGAATATTACCTAGAATACAACACAACTGAATGCACTTCAGGTTGATAGAGTTGGATTTATAAGTAGTGATCAGGATGACTTATTTGTTATCGGAATACTTTTATGAATGGATACCTATTAAATAGACATTAAAATTTTACTTTCTATTGATTGTTTATTTTATTTCATCAAGCAGATCTTAAAATGCTTCCTTGGTTTCATCTACACCTGTACTCTTAAATTTTGGATTATAACAACTTTAAATGGATACTCCTATTTGTTATGACTTAAGTTAATCAAACTCAAGAAAATTCACAAAGGAGGTCTTCTCTTGAATACTAGAGATCATATTTCTTAAAAATTCCTTGTATTATAAAGTAATTTTAGTGGTCATTGCTGGCATCATATTGTCATTAAAAAAACTAAATCTCTACTAATAAGGTACCTCACTTTGGATTTGAACTTAAATCTATTTGGAGACTGCTAAGAATTAATGCTGCTAGTTGTTTAGAACATAAATTTATATTTGATCGTTAAAAAATTAAAAGGAGAATTTCATTAGTCATCATTGAGATTATCTAAACTCCATAATAAATTAACTATATATCATTTTTCAATTAATAATCAGATATCCACATAAAAAAAGATTCTCTTATTAATGATTTAATAATTTTGTCACATAAACTAATTGCATTTTAGTTAACACTTTGTTAATTTAAAAAATCTTTAAAAAATCTAAAATAATACATAATAAATTTTGATACTCATTTCATACCTATTACTAACTTATTATTGCTGATCTTTTTTCACTTTCTATTTAATAACTCTGAACTTCCATGCTCCAAGCAGAATCCTTATCTATTGAGTTTTTATCTGAACTGTCAATCTCATTAGGAACATTATGCATAGCTTATTGTTATTAAATGCTCTCATATTAACTCTAAACCAAACGAAACAAGCTCGAATTTTATTTGGCAAAGCTGAGCAATTTTTAATTCAATATAAAATTTTGGTTTTAATTCTCATTGATTCTTTAAAATGTTCGAACTAACCCCTCGGCATTTGAAGCTCCTAATTAAGCTTTGAAAAATCTAGCCACCTTTGCTAAACGAACATTTATTGGTACTATTAGTTGTCTATAATATTATACTCTCAGAACTAGCAACAAATGTTAAATCTAATCTTTTATCTTTTTCTTTTTCAGTTTATTAAGAATTAGATAACAATTTTTATTACTATTATTGGTTAGTTAAGATATCAAACAGATCTTTTTAATTGATCATTTAATCTTGAAATACAGGAGAACAAAATGTATTGAACAAGACTAATTGATCATCATCAAAAAAGAATAACTTCAAGCAGTCTATTTCATAAAGCTTTTTAAGGATATTAGTGAGATCTAAATCATATTAAATCTTTGATTTTGCTATCTAAGATATTATAATTTCTTTTTCTGTCTTAACAGATTAATCACCTTAAATCGACCTAAACAATTTGTAAACCAAATATTTTATATACTAAATAAAAGAATAGGCTATTTCAAAATTTAAAATCTAATTATAATTATCTAATTATCATACTTGCTATAATTATCCTGTTTGACTTATATTAGTTGGTCTTTATTATTAAAAAATTGTTTTTGTTTTATCATGATAATGTATCGAAGATTATCTCTTTTTCTGAACGCTTTCTAAGTCAAATTTAAAAACTGAGTTCATAAGAACAGCGAAAGTTTTGTGTTAATTATAGCTACGATAAAAAATCTTTAAGAAACTCATTATGGCTACTGCTAAGGCTGTGGCTTAAGATAATGAAGCACTAAATATAGAAAAGAGGTCCGATTTGGAAATGAAGAAGTATTATCTATTGGGTGATGATCTTATGAAAAAAGAGCACAAATTTGACCCCTCGGTAAATTCTGTAGGTTCCAATCTTCTCTCTTATTTATCAAAAGTGGTAGTTTAAAATAATAGTTCTTCCAATTTCAGACTCAAAAAGTCATAAAATATTGAGTTACTCTCTTATCATTGATATATACGTTACTTAAGTCCATTGAGAATGGCATTATAAAAATATCTTCATTATTTGACATTCCAATTACAAATTTCCAAAAGATATTAATTGGATAGTATTCTAAGGGAGAAGAAAGATTAAATTATTGTTGAAGTCTTGACCCTCTTACAAATAAATCTACATTAAGTCTTAATTAATTAATCTAATAGATACCCGCTTTTTATGAATGATTAAATTTCCTCTATGGGTTTGCAATTGATATTAGTAATATTTTTGCAGACCTTAATTTAAATCTTTAAGTAAGAAAAGAAGGCATCAAAATATTACCCTTTGATATAATAATCACCATCTGCGCAATAAAGATTTTGTTTTTATTAATTCGAAATTGAAATAACATCGAAGTTAAATTAGTTAACTGTGGTAGTTTGGCATTTTTTCAATAGTAAATTAGTTGAGTTTTTTTCGAAACCTATTTTTTAAGCATCCCTCTTTTGTTCAACATACTAAACACCTATTGAGATATATCTATTATTAATTTTATATACTATTAAATTTCTGATATGTTTTCAAAAATATTTCCATTTTAATCAGAAATCTCAAATGCAAATATTGTGTTGTTGCTATTTATATATGTTGAATTTAGAATTGTATTTTTCGTACCAACATAGACAGTTTCTTGATCTGAAATTGCTTTATAAATGACTCCAATTATGTAAAATATACTAAATATTCCAACTAATATTGTTAGCACTCCACCTTGAATAACAAAATCTAAGTACCAATTACTGTTAATGATTTTTGCCTCTAATTGATGTTGAATTCGTAAGGAGTTACAAGCAGATCAGCCTTCTTTAATAAATTTCTCATAATATAATTATTATTCTTGAAATTATGCGATCTAGCTCTTTGTGAATTGTTTTTGGTGAATAAGTTCTCACCAATTGTTTAAGAATAATGAACGATGCATGTTAAATTAATAATATAATCATAATTGAAAGGGAAAAATAGCTTGCTTCATTACTAGTATAAAAGGATAAATCAAAATTTAGAACAAAGCAATACTTAAATGAATATGAATATTTAATTTTTAATATTTGTTATTGATTGTGAAATCGTTTTAGAATGATCACATGGTTGTAATACAGATATAATAATATAGACAAGATACTCCATTTTCGAAAATAAAAATTGTCTAATTGAATTTATAAATATTTGTACTAATATCAATTTACTAAATTCAGTACACCCAATTTACCATCTGAAGTTCCATAACTTAGTTTATTGTAACTTGTATTATGATCGATTGTCATTACCCCACTTAATGAACAGCAATATGTATCAACACACCTATACTAGGAATCAAATTGTCTTATTTCAGAAAATACACTTAAATGATATTATTGATTACCTTCCAGCATTTGCCGCATAAATATAATTGGTTCTCTTATCAAACTTACAAGCATACAATTTACTAACATTGTGTTTAGGTAGTAATCCTTAAACATTATTTGCATACTCAGCCCATTCAATAGTCTATAATTTATTTAAAGTTCTGGTGTCCCAAATTTCTAATTGTTTTTCATCTCTATAGGATGCAGTGATCAATTAAAACCCTTTTGAATCCATAGAGTCTCCAAAGACACAAGGACCAAAAATATAACCAGTTGATTTCTTTTGTCTCAAATCCCACTAAATCACCATTTTATCCCATCCTCCTGTATAAAGTTAATTATGATCGCCTTAATTAAATTTCATACCAAATATTCGATTCTAATGAACAGCTGATTGACCTTCTACAAAAGTAGTAGGAGCCTTACTCAATTTTCCGCAATCATAAAGTTTAACATGACAATCAGAACCACCTATTACAAACTTATCTCCATCCAATGAAAACTCACAACAATTGATTTGATTATCCTTATCTTCTAAATTAAACAATGATTATTTAGATGTCGCATGCCAATATATAATACTTCCATTAGCATATGTTGACAACAATGTGTGCTTTAATTGCTCTACGACTTAACCAGGTCTCCATTTAACGCATGTGGCAGGACCTGGTTTCTATTTGGGATCTACTAATGGAACTATGTTGTAATCTTTCCCCAAATAAGCAATATTTACGAGACCATCAGAATTAGCTGAAGCTAAAAATTATGTTGTATTATCGAATGCGCACGAAAGCACTTTTGTAGGCTTGTAATATAATTACAGTTTATACTTCTCCTGTTACAATATCATTCTAGAATTAGTAATTTTTTAGTTATGAAAATGAGGATTGAGTAAAAGTATCCTTATACGCTGCTCTTATTCTTTCTAATAAGATAGTATCCTCAACTCCTCCATTTTCATTTGTATCTGTTGATTGTGAAACTTGGGTAGAAAAATTTCTTTGTCCCTCTTTAGAACTTTGCATTAAATTATGATTGAATTGAATTTAAATAAATGTCATCTTTCTAATGAGAATATGAGGACATCAATTTTGTATCGATCACATTGTATTATAATTAAACACGATTCATATAAGAATTCCTATATAAATATGTAATCCCTTTGAAAAATAAACTTTTATTCCTGCCTTTCACTCGTCAACTCTCAGGAGTATTTACTTATGATGAATAAAAGACTTAAAAAGAATGCATCTTCTCTACATGAGTTTATTACTGAATGATACATGTAAATTGAATTTCAGATTAAATAATCAAAATTAATAGCAAACTTAAATAAACTCTTGAATTTATAAAATTATGCTCTTGTTTTGCATCATTAGAATTAAATTTATTCAATTAGAACAGAGGATAATAATGTACGAGTTAATATAAATTTAATGATAATTTACTAAAAATAATTATTACCAATATCAAACAGCAACATCAAGTATTGAATTAAACTGCAATCCAAAAACTGATCACAGAAAAATGAAATAGTCAAAGATGTACAAAATGAGATTCCTATACATTCGATATTCTAAAGATACAAAATTGAAGGCTCAATTTATTTTGACATCAAGATTATTTTACAGTATCATACCAATCAAAGTCCCTTATTTCTATTCAATTTTGTTTATTAATATCTCTCTCCTAATCTAATATTAAAAAATCATTAGAGTACATATAACTATATGAGTTAGTTATAAAATATTTTATTACCATAGTGATTACAACTCTTAAATAATAATAGGAATAAACATTGCTTTGATATAGAAAACTTAATCACATAATTAAGGAACATCAATAGTTAAAGAATAAACCAAAATTTTTTGAATATTCATATATAATATCATAAATATTTTCCATATTTAGTTTGAATGTTTTTCATTAAAGTGGCTTCAATTTCTTTGAGAGTGGATGAGTAACTTTTCTTAGGTATGTACATTAATTTCATGTCTTCTTCTGCCACATAAGAAAAGGATTCAACTGTGCCAGCTACAATACTTTAATCTCCAAAATAATCACCTAGTTTAATCAATTCAAACAATTTTTCTATGATAAACTGAGAGACATACAATTATTTTTATTCACACTCACTCTTCCTTATTCTAATATAAATATTTCAGTGCTTTTTTATCCTTATTGTAGAATGACGTCTCCTTTTTTGAATTATTTTTCAAATAATGCGTCACTCATTTTCAATTTATCATAAGGATCCTTAATTTCTTTTAGCAAATCCCAATTTTCAAGAAAGCTAGACTTATGAATATTGTAAGTACGTTTCGAATTATTATCTCTTTTTGATAGATGCTTCTTTTACAATAAGATTAAATGTTTCTCTATCTAATTGCCAAAGAATAGCTTTATCACTTTTTACAATGATGGATGCAGCCTAAGGAATTCAATAGAATAAGATACTCTTGGAGATTGAAATAACAATGCGAGTTCACCAAAGCTCTCTCCTGGATAGTATGTTTTAAGGAAGACATCTCCCTTGCCATAATTCTTAAAGCAATCTAATTCTCCAGTATCAACAACAAAGAGTACATTTCCTTCCTCTCCTTACTTGATTACATATTCTGATTTGTGAAATATCTTCTCTTCCATTGCTCCAACCACAATTTCAATTTCCTTTTCATTTAATGCACTAAACATGAATCCTGCCTGCATTCTTTATTTAATTCGTTCAGATTGATCTTTACTTTTAGGAATAAATTTGGCTTTGAAATTTTCCTTTTTATTAAATTGACCATAAGCTTCGGCCGAGACTGAGAATCTCTAAATTAATTAGGAATATGATTACTTATTTTTGTACATCTTTTTTGATGGCAACAATTTCTTCGACTTCATCATCAGAGGAATCAGAGTTTGAACTCAAAGCACAATCTACATGTTTTTTCTTGTTGACTTATTGCATAAAATTGGGACCATTTCTAACCTTTTAAGGATTCATAAATTAAATAAATAATTTACATGAAAGAATAACTCCTTGGTAAAATAGCAAGATATAGAATATTTCTGTAACAAGGTTTGTAGATTCCTGATGAAAATGGTGATGATTTGAGATGCATAGATTTTAATTTTGATAATTACATAGAATAACAATTATAGATTGAACAAGAATAAAAAGTTGATTAAGAAGATTAAAAAATAGTATAAACCGATAAAAAAATACCAGAATTAGAGTTAAAATTGAATGATTAAGATTTAGAAGGTTTGTTAAAAGATTTAGAAAATGTACAATTTGATGGCGAAATTGATTTCACTAAATAAAATATTGGTGATTAAGTATTAAATTCATCTAACCATATCTATTAGACTCTGATTAGATTATCAGTATTGATCTAAAAACTTCCAATTTCATCCCTCATTCTAGCTGATACCAAAATTTCTTATATAGGAGGTCTAGAATTAGGCAAAGCTATTTCTAATAGTAAATTAAAGAAGTTGATATTAACCAATTGTAATCTAGGTCACAGCTCCAAGTAAGTGTATGACTATTTCATTTAGTATTTTAATGGAACAATTGCAATTCTTAGATGAAGTAGATTTTGGAGTCCTTGGAAATAAAGCACTTCGCTATTTATCTTAATAAAAACATGAATTATCGCATTTAGGATTTCAAGAAGATCCAAAAGAAGTTTGGGATGTTTAAACCAAAGAACTATTCTTGAAATCAATACCTAAATCGTTATTAAGCATTCAATTTTAAATAGATAATGCTGATCACAAAAAGTATCATTATTATATAATAAAGATTCGTAGGAATTGCAGAAATCAAATGTTAGGAAAATAGAGATGCATATTTACGAAAAAAGGCTAATGAATATAAGAGTAAAGATCTAGATCCAGATCATCCAGACTATTATGACTGGTAAAATTAATCAAATAATTTAGTGATGATTTCAAAGTCAATGCATTTAAATTTAGTGTTAAATCTTATCTATCCAATGTTTTTGAATCATTACTAGATGAGTCTTTGTATTATTTGGAAAAAGAAAGGCAAAATGTGCTCAGAGATGAAGCTATTTATCATGTAACAAATGAGTTATTACCCCAATCCATAATGGAAGATATTTGCCAAGCAGATGGCTCTTTGATTGTTTTAGCTAAATATCTTTTGACCAAAATTAAAAAATGATATAAAAATATAAATTCATCTTATAAATATCAATTGCGAATCAACTTTATTACAGTCTATTTTATAAACAATCTGGAGATTGATGAATCTCTAGATCCTTTAAACTTTACACTGATTCCTTACTACCCATAGCTTCAGAAATCTTTCTATCATCTAGTTCATTAGGCACATCTAATCTTATTTGATCTTCTAAGATTCTTTGTTCATCTTCATTTTATTATTGTAAAATAGTTGTATAATTTTATTAAACAAGGTTAAACAAGCTTTTATTCTACATTGCGAATTGTAATAATTGGTTGTTCAATTACCAATTTTTATTCTTGTTTTCATTGATCTTCTAAAAATTGTCAACTAAATCTTAAGCATTTTCTGCTCCAAGTTAAGCTTTAAAAAACCTTGTAAGTTTAGCTAATCTAACATTGATAGGTACTAAAATTGATTTGATAGAATAATACTTGTTGATGTAGCTGCATATCTAATGATATTTTAATTATTATCTATATGACTCTAATTATTTTATTGTTATTGTAGTTGATTTATTGATTTGATCTATTTATTACTTGCAGTTAATATATCAAATAATTCCTTTTAATCAGTCATTTAATCTTAAAAGACAGGAGAACAAAATGTATTGAAAAGCATAAGCTAATCATCATCAAACAAAAACAACTTTAAACAATCAATCTCATATAACTTCTTTAAAATGTTGGTTAAATCTAAATCGAATTCAATCTTTGATTTAGCTATTTATGATATCACTAATTCCTTTTCGTCTTCAATATTCTTTTTACAGCTTTTGAAGTATTTTCTAATAATGTAAAGTACATATTAATAAAATGAGTAATTAATTGTATAATCAAAGATCTGAATAAAAGATGCAATATTACTTATTGTAATAATTTCTTTGAATTCTTTGCTGAAGCCTACATTTTCCCTGGTGTTTATGATTAGTTAACGTATGACAATTTCCTTTTCTGAACACTCTTTAAATCAAATTTAAAAACAGAATTCATTAATATTTCAAAAGTCTTATGTTGATTGTATACTTTATAGAAGATTTTGATGATCTGCATCACAGCTAAACATAAAGCTGTAGCTTCTGATACTGCTGATAAAATAACTGAGGGTAAGTCCTATTGAATAACAAAATAAAATGAAGTGTCAGATGAAGCTCTAATTTATTATTTGTTGATACCTTAAATAAAAAGTACACAATCCAACTCCTGAAGAAATTGAAATAGGCTCTTGTCTCCTCTCTTATCTTTGAACAACTGATCCATTATATAATCTTTCAGTATTATCAATATTAAAAATATCGCTAAAAAATTGAATCTTCTCTAAACAATATTTACATTAAATTTACTTAAATCCATTTATATTGGTTACATATAAATATCTTCATTGTCACCAATACCAGTTGTTAATCTCCAAAATATATTAGTCGAAAAAACTTCAGCAGGACTTGAATAATTCAATGATTGTTTAATTTTTGATCCTTTTATAAACATATCCACATTAACCCTTTTGATATTTAATAATAATACCCTTTATTGATAAAATCTTCAATCTCTTTAGAAGTTTTGCATGTATGACTAGTGGAATTGTTGCATACACTGAGAGTTAATTTGATATAAGCAAAATATGGTTCATAAAATTGTCCTTATAATGTGAAATCTCCATCGAAACATATTAAATTCTCTTTTTACTCTTCAGTCATTGATGCAGAGTTAAAATTAAATTACTCAATTTTTTCCATAGAACATTTAGATTAGTTTAATGAACTGAAATTTCTTGTGAATCCCATTTTTCCTTCAACTCTTTGTTATTGAATATACTAGGCACTTAATGTAAAATAGCTAAATTGAACATGGCATAATTTACTCTTTGACATTTGTATTATTGCTCAAGATTTTTCCATCTAAAGTGGATAATTCCATAGAAAATATTGTATTTTCATTACTCAACACAAATTCATTGCTTTTGTCACTTTCTGTTCCTGCATAAATAGTGTTCTAATTTTGAATACTTCTTTGGAATACTCCAACAATGTAAAAGGATGTGAAAACTAAGAGGAGAATACTAATGAATCCTCCTAATATACTCAAATAAATATAGAACCTATTGGAGTTAAAGATTTCTCTTTTTGTGATATATTAAATTCATATGGATCAACAAGAAGATCAGCTTTTTTTATAAAATTTCGAATCATTAAATATATTAAAATATTGATTTACTTTTGATGAATAAACTGATTCTACCCCAATACGATGTATCTTGACATCATGTAATTTTGATAGAAAGAATAAAATCATTATGCTTAAAATAAAAATAATTCATGTACTAGATTGATCTTTTCTTTGTCTCATCTAAAAATTTTAACATATCAATACTTCATTAATAACTGACTTCACAAAATTAGGATACACTTTCCACAATAATAAACAGTAATCTAAAATTCTTTCATTATATTTGTATTCTCCATTGTCATCAATTGTTAAACCAATCTCTGATAATTTCTAATGGTTAGTCTTCAGATGATTTTTCAATTGATTGGGTTTCTTGTACACTTTCTGACATTTATGATAAGGACATTTGAAGATATTCTTCTCTGCATTATAGGGTTATGATTTAAAATGCCTAATCCTAACTTCCTCAAATAGACGTTTAATCTTCTCATCAGTTGTCTAGTTTTCTAATTTAGATTGTATACATATCTACTTTTTTCTAATGCCTCCCTCTACCTTTATACAAACTCCTCTGTAACATGAGGGAACAGATTTTAGAGATCCTTCTCTGATTTTTACTCATGTTCCTCTTCTGGTTCTTTTTCTTCTGGTTTTTCATTTTTCTCTGGTTTTTTTTCAGGATCTGGAATTGCTTCTGGTAATGATTATTATTGATCAAATGCTAAAATTTTAATTTTAGGGATCGCCAAGGATTTTAAAAACTCTTGAAGAGCTTTCTTAGCATTAAATTAATTATTTCCTGCTTTTGTATACCAATCTCTTACAAATTTAAAATGAATTTAAATCATCTATGCTTCATTTTTGTCTAAATTATTGAACAGATATGAATTACTTTGAATTTCTTGATGTAAATTTTGTACAGGTTTCTTATATTACTCAATTTTGTTGTATTTTATAATGGATTTAGTAGAAATCGTTAAAATATTATCATTTCCATTAACTTCGATCTCATCTGCATCTTCAAGTTTAAAATCGATCTTTTATTTTTATTATTATTGTTATTATTATTATTATTACTATTATTATTATTACTAATATTGGTATGTCTATTTAGTTTGCATCACTTACAATATAAGGATTTTAATTCTGCTCCTCTTCCTTCTAATCTCTCGTAATCTTGTCTAAGGTAACAATTTATAAATTTCTATTGCCAATTTGAAATTTCAAGATAATGTCTTATTGATCATTTGTCAAAGTAGAACTAATTATGATTTCATTAAGATTGTTACTTGATAGATGGATTGGTTAATAATGTAAATGTTACTTTTTCCTGTAAGATGTCTTCAAATTAAAGTATTTTTACTTAATGTTTGTGTACTATTGGGAGGTGGCCTTATGCTTCCTGAAGGCATATATGTTAGATAACGACTCCTTTGCAATGCATTCGGATTCTTCTATGATTAATTAAAGGATTCTATTAAAGTTTAAAGATTCTTATCTTAAGCGAAAGAGTTCTAAAATTTAGGAAGCATTATTTTATTTAATTATTTAATTTAATACAAATCTATTCTAAGAAAATGTATATGATAAATATGCTAATTAAATATTCGAGTTTATATATATAATATATTAAGTTTAACAAATCATTCTAAGATACATTCTTTGTTTTAAATTAATCGATTTGGATAAGCTATTTAGACAGGTGTGTTGATTTACTAAATTTAAGAAGCCGATTCTTCTTTATTCTTAATACACTATTTATTGTATATAGATGGTGTAAGACTGTATATTGTTGGATTATCTTTTCTAAGTTTGGATACACGATAAATTTATTTATTTAATTTCATCTACAACTATCTCTATTTTTCAGAAATAACTCAGAAATTATTTTTTTTATCCTACAATTTAAGATCTTCTTACTTCCTCCTAACACATAAAAATTGTTAATTATTCAATCGAGTACTTAATCTATTTTCTTCAAATAATTGTATGGAATTAAATTTCATTTGATTTTATTCAGCTTTCTTTTGAGAAGAATTGGCAATTCCACTTTATCTAATGCTTTCAACGATGATAATAAATTAAGAGTTTATAAAATGAATTGCAGCCTCTAGTCTTTTTGCTTCTTATTCAAATAATACAATTATTATTACTAAATTATATATACAGAATCAATCACTCATGTAATCATCCTATTATTTTTATTATTATTATGAGATGATTCTATTCTTAGGATTCTAAGGACAGTTAGCTTGAGTGTGGTGAGTGCTACTGCAAATATAGCATCCACCACCATATGCATAAAGTCCTTTAGGATTCTTGGGACAATCTCTACTAATGTGGCCAGCCTCTTTGCAAACAAAGCATGTAGCAAATTTCAATGAGCCAGATTTAGGTTTTTAGCAATCTTTGAGGGTGTGTTTTTAAGAACCACAATTATAACAAATAACATCAGTGGTGGGTTGAACATTCTAGAATGTGATTGAAATATGATACCTCTCTACAATGTTAAGCAGTATGTCCAACCTTCTTGCATACGAGGCAAACTTTATCTTTCTCCTTCATTTTTAATTTCTTCTTTTCCTTTTATACTTCTTCAACTGTTTCTTGCTTTTTAGATAACTTCTTTTAAATTCTTCTTTCTAAATCTTTTTATTTCTTTTCTTCGATGACATTTGGATCTGGAATAGAATAGCAACTTTTACCGATTAACTTAACATTTCTTTTTAATTATGCTAGCTCGTGATACAATCTCTTGCGCTTAGTTTTATTGTCTGGACCTTAGAGTTCAGCAATCCTTGATTCCAGATTTTCAATTTTCTCTTAATATTATTCTTCTGTCATATGCAAAATTCGAAGATTCGCCTCTGGTTTAGGTTCCTTTACAATCTTTTTGTTTACACCAGATTGTTTAGACTGCTTGGGAGAATTGTTGGCGATTTATTTTCTCATATAAAAATTAATAACCACATATTATTATCATTTATTTGGTACACGATATTCCTCACCCAAATGTTCTGGTGGTTGTAAAGGTATGTTCAAACTATAAATTAGACAAAGCATTCATACACATTAGATTGATCCAATTTCTGCCCCTTTTCCAAGAAATACTCTCTAGTATATTTATACACTGCTGGTTCTGTTTTGCATTAATAATTCTTAGAATAATCAGCATAAAATTCTGGTTAGCCATACTTTTTTAAGACTCTCTCCTCGAAGGAAGGCAATTTAGAGCAGCGTTCAATCTAATATAGATGATAAGATATAATTACTTCTTATTGAATCCATTCTTTAAATTTTCTGAAATCTCCATATCGAGTACAATTAACTCTGAATGGGGCTTTCTCTTCTTGAGTCCAGAATTCCTCAAATGTTGGCCATTTCTACTTTCTGTAGATGGGCTTCAAATACTACTATTTATTATAAAATTATTCTGTTCTATTGGGTCCCCAATGCTTTGTGGTTTATTTTGCATCATACCTTGAAATATAAATGAAGAATCAATACAAGCAAAACTTATCTAGATTGGAATCTTCAAAATCAAATTCTTTGGTGGCTAATTTGTTTCTCCATGGATCCATTCCCATACCAAATGCATGAATCAGTCCTTTTGGGGATAGATATATTTTGCACACCACAATTTCTGAATATTCGTCTGGTTTGTAATATGGATCATGAAAGGTAGTCCAAACATAGTAATCAGTCAATGATAAATCAAATCTATATTTAATTAGCATTCTTTTTACTTGGGACGATCATAAATAGCTACACGCTTTTACTTTGGCTAGATCACTTAGACTTCTTTTTCTTTTTCAGCCTTAACTAATTTGGTGTATTTTAGATAAGTTTCAAAATTGTAATTGGTAGTATGAGTAAACCTCTCCTATTTAATATTTTCATCTAATAATCCACTTTATTCAAGTTGTTATTATTTTTCTTTGATTGCTATTTGGAGTGCTCTCTTCTTTTGATTCACATTCTTTGGAGCTACAGGTTTTACAAATCTGCTGAAGATTTGACCCATGCAAAATCGAGGCAGATATAATTACATATTTTAATATTTTAATTTTTTAATTTTTATCACACTTCTAATGCATCAAAACTCTAATTTATCAACTACATCACTCTAATAAGGAATTGTAACATTTAAAAGTGGTTCCATTTCCATTTATCTCTTTATATTGAATTATGCATTCTGATTACCACACCAAGATCTTCTAGCAACTCCATTATTGACATCCCATTACAGCATCATCCTGGCTCTTCTTGATGCATCATCTAAAACATTCAATAAATTAAATTACCTGAACCATCTAACACTAATCCAAATCCACCATTGATGACTTCTCCCCAACCTACTCCACCACCATTATGTAATGCTACCCAAGTTGCTCCTCTAAATGAATCACCTATCACATTCTGTACTGCCATATCTGCTGTAAATTAAGATCCATCATAAATGTCAGCAGTTTCTCTAAAAGGACTGTCAGTTCCAGAAACATCATGGTGATCTCTTGATAAAACAATTGGTCCCAATATTTGTCCCTATTTTACAGCCTCATTGAATCTGAGTGCAATTTCAGTTCTTGCCTAAGTGTCAGCATATAATATTCTAGCCTATGATCCAATAACTAATTTATTTTCTTCAGCCTTTCTTATCCAATCCAAATTATCAGTTAATTGATCTGCTACAATCTTTGGAGATTTTGTGATCAAATCCATTAGAACTTGTTCAGCAATCTTATCTGTCAATTTCAAATCCTCAGGTAAACCACTAGTACATATCCATCTGAAAGGACCAAAACCAAGACTGAAGATATCTCCCATAATATCCTAAAAGTAACTAGGATAACGAAATAGTTATTCATCATGCTCTGCATTGACATTAGCACCAGCTCTTCTGCTCTCCAATAGAAAACGATTTCCGTAATCCCAGAAATGCATACCTTTTTATGTCAATTTATTAATTGCATCTACTTATCTGATAAGTGATTCATACACCAATTTCTTGAATTATTCTGGATCCTTAACCATCATTTAATTTGCCTCTTCGAATGATAATTGAACAGGGTAATATCCCCCATTAAATGGATTGTGCAAAGATGTTTGATCAGATCCCAAATCAACTATATTTATTTCCTCTTACGCCAACCTTTCCCATAATAAAACGATATTTCCCAGATATCCAATAGATTCTGCTCTTTTCTCTTATTTAGCTTATTTAATTTCTGCAACAACTTGTTCCACATCAGTAATCTTCTTCTTTACCCAACCTTACTTCAATCTCTTGTCCAAGGCTTTCTCTGAAACCTCTGCAATGACTGAAATACATCCCAAAATGTCACCAGCCTTTGGTTATGCTCCACTCATTCCACCCAATCCAGATGAAACAAAAACTACGCCATTTAAAGAATCAGTCTTTAGATATTTCCTTGTTGCATTCAATAATGTCAAAGTTGTTCCATGCACAATACCTTAACTTCCTATATAACAATAGCTTCCAGCAGTCATTTAGCCATACATTGTATTTCCCAAAGCATAATGTTTCTCATAATGTGATTGAGTAGAATAATTAGGAATCATCATGCCATTGCTCAAAACAATTCTTGGAGCATCAGCATGACTAGGGAACAGTCCTTGTGGATGACCACTATTCATTACTAAAGTTTGATGATCAGTCATTTCACTTAGGTATTTCATTGTTAAGTGATACTAAGCCCAATTTTAAAACACACTACCATTACCACCATAAGTGATTAATTCATGTGGAAACTGTGCTACTTCATGATTGAGATTATTCATTATCATATGCATGATAACTTAAGCTTATTTGCACTTGCAGGGATATCTAAGCATTACCTAGATTCATACTTATCATATGGATATGCTTTCATCTCATAATTGGGAATCAATCTATACATGTATATATGTCCATATGTTTATAATTCATACAAAAACTCAGGTGCTAATTTCTCATGAAGATTTGGTTCAAAGTATCTCAATGCATTTTTCAATGCCAATTTTTATTCCTACTCTCTCACATATGATTTACCTATTTATTTAAGCACAGATTCTTGCAAGGAGCATGAGGGATTAATTGATCTCGTACATAGCGATTCTTCTCAAAATCAACTTAAATCCCTTTCTTTAAACTTTCCAAAAATGCGTAATCGATTTACATATTTTAATAATATTTATGATTTATTCCTATTTATAATCACTACTTTAACATGCCGTACTATATTCAATATATTCACATTTCTGAACTTCCAATATCAAATATACTTATGCAGAATATGAAAATTCCTATTTTATTCAATATCGATTAAATAAGTATATAATATCTAGTATTCGATTACCATTATTATTTTTCTCTCTAGAATTAGCACCCTACATGATATTATGTTCTTACTGTCTACCTTTAGTTTCTTCTCCTTAAAATAAAAAATTAAACTACTTTCTACTATTCCAATATTGTAATCCATAATAATTTCACTATTTTAATGAGATATTGTTGATCCACAATTACACAATATTATAGAGTTATTCCATATTCCTTTCTCTATTATTTTAAGTTATTCATTTTAGTGACTAGAATTAATTAAACAAATCTGGACAGTCATTTTTTCATTAAAAGTATATTTGCATATTTCCTTCATATAATATAATTTTATCAATCAATATTCAAGTAATTAATGAATTTATTACTATTTAATGAATAATCGATTATTAATTTTAAATAGTTAAAATCAAATTTACCTATATTTAATCATATTTTTTCAATAATATATTTTATACTATTGTTGATAATCTTAATGAAAGATTTAATTAATTTATATTTCTCTCTTGGATTTCCAAGATGCAGTTTTTTAACAAAATTTAATTTTAATTTCCATCTATATTTAGAAAAAACTAAAATGAATTTATTTGTAAAATAAGTTAATAGTTAATAAGGATATTGCAAACTCTTTTACTATCTATTATTAAAAAATTGATTTTTGGATTAATACTAAACTTATTAAAGTAGATAATAGAGATGAGATAAACTGAAATTTAATCAAAGCTACTAATTTTACATAGCATTGAAGATGAAAAATATATTGAGAATAAAATAAAATTTAATGAAATATAAGATTTCAACTTTAGTTATAAGTTACCCTCATCATCATGGATTTAAACTCTTCAAATGTTAACTATATTTAATAAAAAATGAATACTTTTCCATCAGAATTCTAATCTACTTCTTGAATCATCTATTTCCATACTTCCTCACTAATCCCAGAATTTTGACCAAATGCTTACTTAATTTCATCTTTTGTAATAGCCCCGCTCTTATCCTTGTCTATTATTTTAAATGCTTAGAGTAATCTCTCTGTTGCCAGTAGTTTTTCTCTATTAATAGTAGCGTATACAAATTCTATAGATTAAATATATTATTGTACCTGAGTAATCTATTGAACCACTTCCATCTGCATCTATCTTTTTCATAATTTCATCTACCTAAGCCTCTGCATCTATGTCACTCATAACCTTTTTGTATCCATTTACTAATTCTTCTCTACTTAATCTCCCATCATTATTTGTATCTAGAGCTTAGAATTGTTTTAATAAATCTCTTTTCTCTTCTTTAGTAGCTATAAAATTGACCATAAACATAAGTGCAGCTTCCTATAGTTTTTTTTCAACCTTGATATTAGTAATGTATATGTACTCTGAATGCTTTAATTCTTTACAATGCTTCAGTAAGAGATGGTAAATCATCTTCGCTCTTTGAACAATACGTTTTTATCCATATGTGATTCATAGCATCCTTAGCTGAGATTCTCTTTTTTGTATCTTTCTCAATCATCTTCATAATAAGATCTTTAGCGTCATTTGAAATTTTCTTCCACTCTTACTCTTTGAATTTGAACACTCCTTTTCTTACAGCTTCCATAATTTAATAGTCGTCATCACCATTAAATGGAGGCGCTTTAATAAATATCGTTGATTACCTCCACACAACATTATATAGAGAATAACACCACAGGACCATATATCACATTTTTCATTATACTTTCTATCAAGTACCTCAGGAGCTATATAATATGGTGTTCCCACTCTTTGATCCATCTTTTTATCTGGATTAAACTTTTGACTGGTTCCAAAATCAGCTATTTTAATAAGGGAATCAGTATTATTAGTTTCATAAAGTATGTTTTCAGGTTTCAAATCTCTATGAACTATGTTTTTCTCATGACAATATGTCACAGCACCTAACACCTATTTCATGACCTCTGCTGCTTTTTTTTCTGAAAAATTCTTTTCTTAAATTATTCGATCAAATAATTCTCCTCCTTAACATAATTCTGTTACAATATAAAAATATTCAGAGTCTTAATAAAACTCATAAATTGAAATTATATTCAAATGGTCCTAATCTTATTAATTTTATATACCAATTGTTTTAAAATATCCACTTCTCTTGTCAACATTAAGCAATCTTCTTCTGTCATCAATTTCTTCCTAATTAATTTAATTGCTCTAACTTAATTTGTAACCTTATGTACTCCTCTATAAACTTCTCCAAATGCCCCTTGAATTTAAGTATTTATTCATAATACCTTTTCCAAGGCATGGTTAAATTAAATTGTAGTCAGCAGTGATTTTCCCTTTCTTCTCAGTAACGAATCCTTAATAAGCAAATTTAGTGTCTTCTATCTTAGTAACTTGATTAAAGATGATCATGGATTATACCTTTGTTTTATGGTTCTTAAATTCCATTAGATGAGCCACAACCCATTAGTAGATGAAATAAGTTATCTAAATTAAATATTAAATAAAATAGATGTAATACTCTTTTTTATAATCTAATGAGTAGTTCTAATCCTTATTAATCATTCTAATCAAAAAACTCACATAGTTTCTATATTGGAAGTTCATTTAAACCTAAGTCTATTAGTTATAATTATTATATTTTAGTTTGAATTGCTGAAATTTAGAATTAACTTTTTTATCAAAGTATCCTATTTATTTAACATTAATTAAGATCAAATATACTCTATTTGATTTTAATAAAATCCATTTGAATTTGAATACTATTTTACTTATGTTCTTAATTCTAACACTTTTAGTTAAAGTAACACGGATGATAGAATTTCATTACAGTTTACATAACATAATTTTATGTTTGAAATAATAGAAACTGTAAGTTTTTGTTTTGATGTTTTCGAATTTAATCTATATTTAAATCTATTTAATATTTTAATACAAAGAAAGGTTGGAGAAAAAGGGTTGTAATCAAGACAATAATTATCGTTTTAGCTATTCTTTTATCTCATCTATTTTTTAATTTGATATCTGTAAACAGAAGATTTAATAGAATCTAGGACGTTCAACATAGATGCCGTTAGATAGGAATTATATTCAAAGTAGGATAGGAACAATTTAGATATGTTACTTTATGAATTTATTCATATAATTTTATATATACAAAAACCAAAATTAGAAAGTTTTATATGTTTTAGAAATAGGTTGGGTATTAACATTGAATTTTTATATTGTATGTAATTAGAAGATAAATATTATATATGAATTAAACTCAAAAGTCTTTTGATGTTTCCAAAGGAGGTGAGAAACTTTCAGATATTGAGTCTCTAAAACGAAGAACATATAAGAAAATCTTAATGTATTGTGTATGAAAGAAATTAGGATGTCTTCAATGAACAAAAACATAATGAAATTCATCTAGAAAGCTTTTCAATTGGGTCCTAAATATCTGACTATTGAATGCCTTGTTGAAGATGTTAAGACCACTCCTTTCACTGAATTGGAACGATATGGAGCCACGATTTTAGATAAAGATAGGCTGAAAGAGCTTTAAGAATTGTTAGGAAAAATTAAATAGATGATAGATTAAGATGTAAAATAACTGAGCAGTGATCAGTTAGTGGTATTATATATTTGTTAAAAGTAGTAATTAATCAAATATTTTGTTTTATCTCCAGTTGAGAAAACATATATTCAAAAAATAGAAGCTGAATTAGCAGAAACTGTAAAGATTAGAAATAATATTTATATAGAAAAATTTAGATGAATAAATCAAAGCAGCCTAATCTAGATAAAAAGTACAATAAGATTAAAAGATTGAAGAATATAGGCATGAAAAAAATGGATAATAAATAATTAAATAAAACTTATAATCACAACAGCATCAGATATCAGTACATGAAAATAAGTTAGAGAAAGCTAATCAAAAGTTAAATGAGATTGTTGCGCATAATAAATAATTGAGAGAAAAAATAAATTAATTGAGAAAAGAAAAAAATATGGTCGAAGAGTAAATGTATAAGATAATTTTAGAATATCCAAAAATTTAGAAAAAGAATTAGAGGATAAGAAGAAAAATGTAGAGGAAACAATTAAATCTGCAGGATAAGCATATTATTATAGAAATAAAGCAGAAGAAGAATTAACTAAACTACAAAAGAAAGCAGAGGCATAAAAAAAGGAGTTTGAATAAGAATGTGAATCTTTAAATGAGAAAATATAACATGATAAGAAATTTAAGGCATTTATTCAAAGCAAAAAGAAGGAACAAGAATATTTAGATAAACTAGAAAAATAAATTGCAGAAAATTAAGAAATTATTAGATAGAAATCAGCATCTAATGCTTAAATTGATAAAGAGTATATGTTGAGTGCTTCTAAAGAATAAGAGATTAAGGATGCATTTGAAAGAATCAAATAAGAAACAGGAATTCATGATAAAAAAAAGGAAAGAGAAAGTAAATAGTTATTAACTGTTTTCATTGAATTGTATTAAAATAATCAAATTATGTCATAATTTGTTAAAGAATTATAAGAAACTGTTGAAGAACTAGAAAGATAAATTGAAGAAAAAAAAGAAGAAATATAGATGTATTCAACAAAAGGAGCTACTAATGATAATTAAAGAAGAGAATAAAAAATGGCATTATCAAATAAAATTTAACAAGAAGAGAAAAAAAAAGTTATACTTAAAGCACAATATGAAAAATCTATTGAAACAATAAATTTAATTAAAAAATATTTGGAAGAAGTTTTCTAAGCCATTGATGTTGATGATGAAACAATCAAAAAACTAAGTAAGAAGTCTTTATTAATTTTAGAATCTGCTGCCATTACTGAAGAAAATATGGTACACTTTTTAGGAATATTGGAGTAGAAAGGATTAGATGCAATATAAGAATATGCTAGATTGATTGCAGAACAGTTGAAATTAGAAAAAGGAGAAGTGCATGGATTATCTTCCTAAGTTGATGATCTAAATAATATCATTGCTTATGAAAATGCTAACATTATGAATTATTATTCACAAGCCTCATAATTTAGATAAGAGTGTCCAGATGATGTTCTTTCATTTAATGAAGAAGAAAATGATATCAAACAAAGGTGGTTTCAAGAAGAAGAATTCAAAAAGTAAGCAATGGAAGTATAAATATTGATATAAACAAGTCAATCTCTAAAAGATCAGGGCCAAAAAAGCCTATCAAGCCAAAGTTCAAAGAAAGAGAATAAAAACAATGAGATATATTATACTCATCTATATTCAATTACATTTTTGTACATAAGATATCATGCTGAGATTATGAATTAAAAAATAATAAATATAATAAATGACTTCATTAACCTTAATTCTACAAGTGGATGGATACGAATAATAAATACAACTCGAGTAATCTGTGAGAGTAAACGAACTTTTCGACTTTATCTAAAGCATAATGAAGTATAAATAATATTTAAACTAAAAGTATATCATCAAGGACTGAGGATTGGACATGCTTTTCAAGTGTATAAAATAGATTTATGAGTAGAGATGAGGAGATTCAAGGGTAATAGAATGACTCTCTGATAATAGAAACAAAATAATAATCTGCAAAAATTGATATTAAATAAGAACAATCACCTTAAATTCCTTTAAGTATCATTATTGAAAATGGGAATAGCAGAGAAGAAATTGAAGGAAATTATGATATATAGACATCACTTAATGAAATAGCAGAATCTATTTTAATACATTGTTAATTAAACCAATAATAGTAAAATTCAGATCATAATATATAGAAATCCGCCTTTTGTTTCCCTTATGATATAAAATTAAGCATATAATGATGTGATAAAGAGAAGCAAATCATTAGCATAATTACAAATTAAAAATTATACCAAAATAGAAGCGAGGATAAACTGATCTGCATGAATGAACAATTATTTTGACTATATATATATAAATGAGATACTCATATGTTTAAACTATTTTTTATGTTTTAAAGAATTCAGTTATATTAAATACCTATGTAATTAAATGAAATTTAGTTTAAATATTATATGAGGATTGTTATTTATATGTTCTATTTAAATGTTAATATAAAACATATAAACATAAAGGACAACTAAAGTTAGAATATGAATTGTGAATCCATATATCTCTTAAATAAATTAATATGAAAATTGAAATTAAATAAAATATAAATTATATATATGTTAATTATAAAGTTATAGATAAAGACACAAGGTGAATATTTTGAATATTTTCTAATAATTCTAATAGCCCTTTTTTTAATGAAATAAAAGCTTCGATATAATAGAATTAAAAAAGTATATAATAATATAAATTTCAATTAAAAAAAATATATAACCCTTAATTATATAGGTTTAATATCAAGAAAGACAATAAAATATCGAAAAATATTTAGAAATTTAATAAAAGTATTCTTAATTTTTACACACACTTCTACTTTTTAAACTATGGAGTAAGACTTTGTCTAAGAATTAAATCTAGGGTATTTAGTAAGGCTAAGTATGATGAATTGGAGTTACAATGATTTTAAATTTAGTCATTTTATAGAAAAAAATAATTAGAATTAATATATAATTTTTATTAAAACTTTTTTAATAATTAAGAATATTATAGCAATCTTCATTAAATGGCAATCTTATTTAACACTTTATAGGGTTGTATTGATTGACAAATGATTTTACTTATGAGTATTCAACTAGAAATTCTTCAGAACGGATAATTTTGAATATATAAGTATTTGTTAAAATAGTTGTATGATTGTATATTAATTAACAAAAAACTAATTGTTTTTTGATTTAGAAATCTTTTCATAGTAATTATAATTGTGAAATTAATACTAGACATTTTTTAAAATAATGAAATGGCGCATTTTTTTGTATTTAAATAGAGAATTTGTTTGCGGGAAATGATAAAATAATAATCATGTTCACAAATCTTAGATCTACAGACAACACAATTAGACAATAAGCAGAATAGGAATTGTATGCTTAGGTTGCAGCAAATCCAATAGCAATCCTTGAATAATTTTTGATAGCAATGTAAAACAAAGATGACACAGAATTTGTATCCATATTGTTATCTAAAACTATTTTTGAAAATGAGGAGAATATTAGTAAGTTAGAATGGACTCATGTTGAGGCTGTGCTTAAATTCTGTATTAGTGAATTGAAATAAGAAAACAAGGTGTCTCATCTTAAGAGAATGTGTGATTTGGCGGTAAAAGGATTATTAAAGTTCACAAAATATGATGAAATGATTATGTTACTATTTGAGATAGGCAGAAGTGCTCAGACTTTAAATTAGAAGTTGGCAACAATGTATTACATAGAGATCATGTGTGAATTTGCATTATGTGATGAATAATTGATTAAACACAGTTAATAGTTGAATGAAATATTTTCAGCATTTTTGAATGATCAATCCCCTTAAGTCAGAGCAGCAACTTGCTAAGGAATCAGTAGTTTCTTAGTGTCAATTGAAGAGGAATCATTATTGAATAGATTCAGCAATAATGCAGTGGTGTTGTTATAATAGTTTGCATAAGTGATGTAAGTTGATCAAGAAGCATCAGTTTAAGCCTTACAATCAATAAATGAATTATTAGAAAACCATCCTAAATTCATGAAAAATGTATATGGAGATCTATTAAACATCTATACCTAATTATTAGGATCATAATCAACAGTGTCATTGAAAAAGACAGCACTTCATGGTCTATAAACCTTATGTTAAATTGCCCCAGCCTTTATCAGAAAGAGCGATCAATTTAAGACCTAATCCAATCTAATGATAATGAAGATGTTAACAGAAGTAGATAGAAAGGACTGGGAAAATACCTTTGACGATAATTGTTTATAATTGAATGATTTATCAAGTGTTGCTGAAGATTGTTTAGGTAAAATGGTTCGAGATTTGGGAGTGAAATATTTGTTACCAATATTTGTTCCACTCATAATGTAAGCATTAAGATCCCCAGTTATTAATGAATAACATGCTGGTTTGATTGCTATGGCAACATTATCAGATAAGGCAGCAGAACATTTCTAGAATGAATTACCTAGCATAATGGATTTGATATTGCCATTATCTCAATCATAAAACAAATTGATTGTTTATGATTTATTGACATGTTTAGCAGCACTCTGTTAGGAATTCACACCAAAGATCTAAATTAATTATGGATCATAGATTCTATAATTGATAGTGACATGCATGTAATAAAAGATCTCATAGAAAATCCAATATATTTCTATAGCTTGTTTAGTAGATTTTACAAGGGAATTAGTAGAAGATAAAGAGGCAGCAAAGAATGTATTGACTCCAGTATCAACCTTTATGATTGAATAATTATACTCAGTCATTCAAACTAATTTGACAGGTTCAATAGATCAATAATAATAATAAATATTAGAATAAGCACTCTCTGCATTCAGTGCATTGGCTACTAGTTTATAAGAACATTTCACTTAATATTACGATTAGATGATGCCCTACATGATGTAAATGATGTAGACAGTCACAGTAAATGAAGTTAAATCACTATTGTTAGAATGCATTGGTTGTTTCTTAGTTTCAATTAGTACAACAAGAAAGGAATAATGCAAGACTGATTCTAATTAATTGGTCACACATTTCATCTAATTATAGAATAAAATGGAATCAGATGATCCCTCTCATTCATCCATCTTCTTCTTCTACACTTAAGTGGCTACAGCCTTGAGATGCGAATTCGGTTAATACTTAGAAGCTATCTTCCCATTGGTAGAAAGAGCAATGAGATTGGATGTTGGATTCTCAGTCAATTCATAGGCTGAAGGCAAGAACATCACTAAAGTCAAGTTGGATCTCAAATTCTTGGGAGTTAAAAGCTTATCACTTAATACCAGTGCACTAGAATAAAAGGTAGAAGGAGCTCACACTCTAGTTAACTTAGCTGAGTAATGTGGCAAATCCTTCTATCCATACATCACTAAAACAATAGTATTAATGAAAGAATTCATTAGCTATAAACACAGCTCATAAATCTAAAAGTCTATGGCTAAATGCGCTGAATATTTGTTAGCTGCATGCACACTTGAAACAGATATGGCATAAGTACTTATTTAAGTTACTCCTATGCTCATTACTGAATTCACTGTATTCCTCAACAGCAAAACCTACGATAGACTGCTGCAGAAATCGCAGAAGTATTGGCTAATTGCTTGAATTAAGTTAAAGCCCCTATTTTGGATGCTACTACTATTGATTCAATGTATTCAACATCTAATAAGGCTCTTGCAGCAATAGTGAAGACTAAAGAGTCAATTACTTATGAAGATGAGGAGTAATTTGAAGCTGACTGTGAAGAAATTGATTAATTACTTGATCACATTACAAATATTGTAACTGAATTGATTTCTAATCATAAATGCGAATCTGTATAAACTATGATGCCTACCTATTACTCATTCTTAAATACTAAATCAACCAAATCATAGACCATTAACTCTATTGCATTTTTCAATATTGTTTTACCTCTTTGCAATGAATCAGTATTCTAATAAGCATAAAATGAAATATTAAAATGCTATTCCTCTTTTGCCAAAACAGCTGATTTGGAAATGAAACAAAATCTATTATTTGGTTATGGTAATATTGCAAAAAGACTTCCCACTCTTGATACAACTCAAGTTATCGAATTAGCTTCAACAATCATTGAATAACCTGATTGCAAACATGTTGATAAAGTAGCATCGTATGAAACTGCCTTGACCACCTTAGGTAAAGTAGCCATGTATTGCAATGTTGCTTAAAAAGAATAACTCCTTAATAAATTCTTAGATTCTCTTCCACATGAATACCAAGATAGCTAAGAAACTCATTTAATGTTTATTAGAGAAGTAATTTTATATTCTAATATAAATAGGTTTAAAATAACAACCCAACATTGATGTAATGCAAAGACTTAGTAATCCAAGCTCTGAATAGAATCAAAACTTAAGATTGCAACAATCCTGAAAATGAATTGTTGTGCGATGAAGGAAGAAAATTGATTTCATAATTATTATGTTGAATTTTATAAGTTATAGATTCATGTTTTATTGCTATTTTTATTTTTATTGATTCTGTGCTATTTAACCGATAGTAATCTCAAAATCTAAATCACAGGGATATAGAATTAAGTTTGAATAAACTCATATCACATGAATAATACAAAAAATTATATCCCTTTCATTAAAGAGAGGTTGACTATATTAAGAATATTAATGACCATTTTCAATATAAAATAACAAAGAGCATCATCTTTTGTTTATAATCTTTGATTATTGAAGAAGAAATTATAATTATTCAAATACAATGTTGTCTTCCTCTCAGCTTTTCAACAGTTATTAAAAATTCTTCTAATCCATCTGATTGAATTGTCAATAAGAATTGATTGGTTACAATTATATCATCATTTAGTATTGTTTTTCCTAATTCACAGGTCATATTAATTCTATTTTTGTTTTTTAAGGAATAGCATTCAAACCCAACTTTATAATTCTATTAACATGTGTACAATTATTCAAGATACTTTAATAATTCAATTCCAGTTGTTTCTCTTTCGACTTGTAAGTGTAATCTGGAATTTTCCACCTCCAATATATCTTCATTTCCTATTTTATTTATCTCAAACTTCCACGTTGAAGTAAGATTTTTCAATAATGAAACATTCTTCTATATCTAGAAATTAACTATGTTTTTTTTCAGGATAAATTCTTGTAATTTAGAAGAATTTCTAGGTGTCTCTAATGAAAATGCCAATTAGAATATTTCTTCATAGTCTTTCAACAATAAGTCTGTCATTTATTTTTCTTTCTAATTTAGTTTTTCTATCAATGACTCTTTAATTGATGTAAATCTATCATTTATTTACTTCTTTATTTATTAAATCTATTTTGAAAGTTCATAGCATTTCAATCTATTCTAAGAAACACTAAGTAACTTATTATTTTGCTAATCTCCAAATTCTGAATTCTTTTTCAGATCACATTAACTAATTTCTTATTAATATGTTTACTTTTCTGATTGAAAATCTTATATTGTTGTATCAATAACTATCTCCTCTATATCTTCTTGGTCCAATTTAATATTAGTTGATTCTGAATTAAAATTGGATTCTTTGAATATGATTTAACTATTTTACAAATCTTATTGAAGATAAAATATTAAAATATCATTTGGATAGTATCCCACTATTTCATCAAACTATAATAAAATGTTTCTTTATTTTGAATAGCAAATCCATTCATGAGTTTCCTTTTTGATATTAGCTTTGCTATCAATTAAATTCTAATGCTAAATCATAATATCAAAGATCTCTTAAATTGTAACATCGAATTCTATCATAAAAAATTACTTTTGAGTTAAAAACTCCACTTAAATTTCTAGATTTTTATAATATTAATCTTCTAATCTATATTTTTTAATGTCACCTATAAGAAAGCGAGATTTTTATGATTTGTATAAATTTTCAGTATTATTAAAAATCAAAGTATCGTTATCACATGTCCCAATACTTTATTTTGGTTGCAAAAGGCATCCTCTTTATTCTGAATAACAGTTCCATCCATTTTATCCAAAACTTTTTAATAGAAAATTATTACTTTAAATCTAAATTTTCAATCAGAAAATCCTTAACTTTTTCAACTGTTTCTTCAGTACTTAGCTCTAATTACAAAGAGATGTTGTTTATAATTATTGTTACCTCAATCATTTAGTTTAATAGAATTTAAAAATATTATTACAATATATATTGTTTATTTAAATGTGACAATTTATATATCCATATTAATTTTGTAGTATTTAATATACTGATTTTAAAACTATCATCATATTAATGAATGGTTATAAAATCATAACATCTTTTAATTTGTATTTATGACATTACTCACTATTCAATATTCATCTATGATTTCTTAAGAAGAATATTCAAAAGTATTTTAGTTCACTTACGTATAAACCATCTTATAAGGAATAGGATTTTATTTGAATATATGAATTAATATAATTTATTAAAATAGAAATAAAGATATAAGTCATTAAATCTATGATTGTTATTGACTATGATATTTATCCTCTAAAATTAATGCCCATAAATACTAAGAAATCTCTATTTCCATTCTTTAGCAATCACATTTTATAATTTAGGATCAACAAAAATAATTATATTAGTTCTCTGGTATTTTCACCTTTCCAATTTTAGTGACTTCTTTCAATCCATTTTACTAAGTATACAGTTAATCATAAAATGATGGATGTTCATTTGCTGGAATTATACTATAGAGCACTCTCATATTATCCTTATTTAATATTTCATTCCTTCTTTCAATCAAACTTTCACTTTTAGATCGTTGAGTTATTCTTGGTTTCACAATTGAATATACAGCCAATAGAGCAGTATATCCTAATCCAAAAATGAGGGCTGCCTTTTCTGCCTTTGTCATTTACAAATATTAAATTTTAAATATGTCAATTATTTTTATTTCAAATTTGTTGTATATCTTATTAAATACATATATATTCATATATAAATAATGGAAAAATCATTTATATTTATTGCAAGCTCCCTACATACTCTTAAACCAGTCTATAGGTCCACTAGCACTTGCTCTGTTTACTATCATTTTTGGTATATATCCTTTAATATCATTGTTAGAACAAATCGAGATTTTCACATTGTTTTATTCATGAACTTCAAAGATCATAGAGGATATTTCTGTGTGTGCTCTAATTCTTTTGCTATTTATTGGATGTTGAGGATAATCAACAGAATAAAATAGTAAAGTGATCTACCCTGTTTAAGGGAAATCCTATCTCAAAATTCTTCTCTAGACCCATTCTCTGGGAGTGACTAGACTAATCGGAGGTTGAACATAATAAGCCACAATATCTATATCTTCAGTTTCTGTTTGGATAATCTAGAAATCTCTGAGTAATTTATCCCTATTGAATTAATAATGTAGATTACCATTCTCTCCTCAATTTTATATCATAAACTACTTTTAGTGCCAATTCTAGGGTAGTCTATCAAATTAAACAAATAATGTACATCTTTAATTATCCCAAATCCTTTGATAAATACACTGTCAGAGCCTTCTTTTAAGGTTTTATAAATCTGGGCATCCTTATTATTTATAGCCAAATCCCATTTATTGGTAGGTTCATGTATCAATTATAAAAATAAATTGAATTTTTCAATTGTTTTTTGGCAATAATGTTAAGGATAGAGTGGTTATTAATTTTCTCTTTCAAAATTGTGGATTATATCGTCGTAAGATTACAATGGGGTTGGATTTAAGTAGAATTTGGGATCAATTTTTGAGAATGATATTTTATTTGGATGAGAATGCAACTTCAATTTAATCTATTAGGATTTTCCCTTTATTTGATCTAGTTCCACTTGTGATTCATTATTTTATATAATCATATCACATTATTATTCTTCAGCTTATATTTATTCTATATTTAATTTAATTTCATCCTCCTATTATAAATTTAAAATAGTATTTTATTTCTACATGATAAATTAGATATCTTAACCAACATTCTCCAAGTTTCTAAAATTTTACTGTTAAACATATAATTTCAGACTAGTAGTGTTTACCTTTAGATTTAATTAAGAATTAAGCATTTTAATATAGTAGATACTCATTTATGGATCTGGATATTATTTAGACAAATGAGCAATCTCATTTGAATAAATGAACTCTCTAGCCTTTTTAATAATCTAAGGTAATTTATGATCAGGTAACTAATTTGAAAATAATGTGACTACTGGTTTTATGACATTATCAATGCCTTTTAAAATAGAGATTTCAAGTTGATTTCTAAAATGAGACTATTCATTAACCAGTTGAGTCTCTCCTTAATTAAGATATATATTTTAATCCTACAAACTAAAATACTTTAAAATCTTTAATTGTTCTTATAATAATAATAAACTTAATTCTATGGAACATAGATACAAATCCTGTTTTAGAAAAACAAAAGCCTTTTTCAAAAGTTTTTGAAGTTGAATTTAATTGATGATTGAGAAATATCTAAAATGAAGTGCTACCTTTATTTCTGTTAGGATTTTATCAATTACAAATCTTTATAGATTTAAATTATAATTATATTTCTTTTACTATTATTACGCCCATTTTAGGATAGTTCTAATTCTTATATCATAAATATCTATCTCTGTAATATCCTATTTATTTTATAAGGTTTTCTTAATTCTCTTTCCTACCTAATGACCTCCAAACACACCCAAAACTCCTCCTCCAATCCCTCCCACTAAAGCAAATCCAAAAACAAAAAATCCTATCGCTCCCAATAAGATCATTCCAATAACTGTCCTATTATTATATTTATTTAAATATTACCCTAATTTTCTCTGATCAAACTCATCACACTTCGAAAGCGCATCTTCAAATTCTTTTACTTGCATTGGAGTTAAGTAATTTTAAGATATGTAGAAATGTTTTGACAATAATAGTTAAACGAATTTAGCCGGAGTTGTAGCAAGTCCACTAAATTCAATTCCTAACAGAATATTTAAAGTGTTGTGCAATATTCCAAATTCATAAAACTGACTGCAATAGTTCCACATTTTTTAAAATGTTTTTATTTAGAGCATCGATTGAACTTGCTTTAAGTAATTTTGAAGATTTTTCATAGTATATTTTGTTTTTAAATAAATATAGGATATGTCTTAATAATATTATGAATAAATAATATAAAATATTAATATAAAATAATATTGTCTAATTGTTGCTCTGTAATCATTATCTTCAAAATCCTTATTTGAAATACATCCATAATTTATGGATTTAATTATGTCAAGGTGTTTAAAAGATCAATATTTTATGTTTTCTTACTGATGGTCTGACATGTATAATTTTTAATTAAAATTATGATAATACCAACATAAGACTTACCTTTTAATTCTTTTTAGTAGGTATAAGTTACAAATCATTTTAAGGCAGTGCAAAGAGATATCAATTAAGATGTTTTTGATTTAGTACTGGGTTCAATAAGAAATATTAAGTCCTGAATTATTGCCATATTTTGATGTTTCTAAAATACAAGATGCATTAAAAGGATAGCTGGATTCAATACAAGATTTAAAGAAAGATTTGTCTAAACATAACAAATAACGAGATACTCAATATTTGACATTGCATGTAATTGAATTAGAGAGAATCTAATATTTTTATCAATAATATTTACGAACAAGAATGTTGAAGTTGATCTCGAATGCATTCTATTATTATAACAATATTGGAGAATATTAAATAAGTTTGAAAGAGAAAGAATTCTTGAAAGCTTTGGTTGAAAAGAAGCTGACTATTTATTCACAAATTGTTTATAATATTATCAGAAAACTTAGAGAAATTTTGGAGTGAGATTGGATAATCAAAATTAATCATATAAAGTTAATAAGATGATAAAATCAGTAAAATCAAGTTCGATGATATATAGATGTATAAAAGCCAGATGTTAATTAATATGTAGTAATTCATGTGAATACATCAAGAACTATACATGTTGGGTCTATGTAATTCATTAATAATATTTAAAAGAGCATTAAGTGAAAATGACAGTGCCTTAGTTTCATATGACGACATAAAGTAGTTATCATACGTTATTCTTAGATTCATGGTACCAATTAAGAGTGTGACATTGATTTGAAATAATAATATTATTTTTTCATCAAATCTTTATGAATATTATCAACCAGTTATTGGCAGGAGCTAATTGTATGACAATTCATAACCAGTTTAGTGTTTAGACTCAATTTCCAGATGTGCAACAATAAGAATGCCATTCCCTAACCAAAAGAAAAGGAAGAATAACTTAATTTACTTTAAAATACTATTTTCTCTAATCTAGTACACACACTTCTTAATAAATTAGTTCATGGCATCCTAGATGAAAACTGCCCAGCAATCCCAGACCTAATAAGCCTAAGTAATACAAAAGTCAAAAAAGATGTATCTATTTCTAAATATCGTTTTAGAAGCAAACGTAACAATAATTGTGGACACCCTGAAAAAGAACATTATGCTAAGGGTATGTGCAATAATTGTTATCATAAATACGGTAGAACTAAGAAACCTTGGATCTGTGGACACGATAAATTATATGCTTGTATTAATTATTTATTTAATAACTATTAGAAGGATTATGTTAGAATTGCTATATCAATAAATACAATCAAAAGAGAAGAGAATAAGGGGATAATGACATTCTCAAACAAGAAGACCCAAATCCACAGTAATTAGAACAATAATAGTCATGAATATTTATTTCTAATTATATTATTATGATTATTTCCCTTTCCTATTTATACACATATCCTTATAACAAAAACAAATGAATCATTTCTTATTGGCCTCTTGTAACAACTCATTTATAAGATTTCTCATCTTTGGTTGGACAATGTAGCCTTTCACATCAAGATATTCGGCACTGTCGATTTTACGCTCAACTAACTAGAATTAATAATTGATTATCTATTTACTAAGGCTTTGTTTGGCATACTATAAATTCTTAAGACAATAAATCGTTAATATAATTCTTAAGATGCTCCAAATCCAAAAGTCTTTTTAGTTTTCTTGTCCTGACAATTATTTAATATCATTACATCATAGATTATAAAAATATCTCCTTCTTTGACTTTCTCAAACCATTAATAAATGTATGTAGATACATAATAACTAATACACGTGTATAATCAAATTTACAATATGATGCATGCTATCAATATATAGTAGTCTTGAGGATAAGGAATGATGTGATAATGTGAATAGATTACATTAGCAATCATAAACAAACCAAAAATTACTTTGTAATTCTGAAATTAAAAGTTTTCTTTCAATCCATCTTTGACAATCAATTCATCTGAGATAAATTTACAAAAGGCATCCTTTGTCATATAAGTATCAAATTTATTTTCAGTCCTGTATATTTCTATGTTTATTTCTTATTTTACTTGGTTTTTATTCTTTTACCATTTTATTAAATAATAATTTATAAAATTATCCTAATTTTTGAAAGTAAGAATAGAATATATAATTTATGATATTAAAATAAGCAAGAATAGAAACTTACTATTTCTTGTTTATTTTTTTTATATTTTTATGTATTGTTAAAATCTCTTAATTACAATTCATTTTAATAGAGTAAAATATCTAATATACTTAATTTACAAATAAAAATTCATCATTAATCTTCTATATTTTCTCTCTTGACAGGGAAAAGTTCTCTCTTTTTTTTAAGTTACATCTTAGCAATTGGTAATTAAAATAACCATTCAGGTACTAAACATCCTGAAACTTTTAACACAATAGCCAATGTAAAAAGTTATGGCCTTCCCTTATTTACCAGCTCTTCCCGTTCTACCTACTCTATGTACATAAGTAATTATAGATTATGGGAAATCATAATTAATAACTAATTAAACATAATTAAAATCTATTCCTCTAACCATCATATCAGTACAAATACGCATCCAAATTGTACCCTTATGAAATTATTCCGCAATATCTTATCTTGTCTTGCTCCATATCTCCATTAATACAATTCACTTTAATTATTTTCAATTATTCTATTTCATATGTCAAAGCTTCAGCTTTTATTTTAGATTATACAAACACCAAAACAGGTAGAGTCATTTATCCTTCATTTATTAAATTTCTGATTTCTTAAATTTTCCATATTCATTTGTTATATATCTTAATTGTTAATCGATCCTACTTAAAACATGATTTCATCCTCAGATCTTTAATTTTTATAAGGTCTATTAATAAATCACTATAGATATCTTTCAACTGGTTCAGCTTTGGTAGCACTGAAGAACATTTATGTGATTTGTAATGATTCCAATATTCTTAACAATTATTTCACTAATACTAACAATCCTAACTCAACGTATCCATAATTAAATATTTTACAGTACTTAAGTCAACCACTTTATGCAATTTTAGAACGTAAGTGTAGAGCTAATGAGTATATCAAGATGATTCGATGCATATTTAAATGCCTACCTTTTCTCGAATCATTTCTTATAATTGCTTAATCTTGAATTCTTTATTAAATTTATTGAATTCTTTATATAATAGATCCGCCAATTCTTAAGCTGGAGCAAAAACTAAACATCTTGGTCTTCCTTCTTTATGACTTTCTAAATTATGTAAAGTAGGCAAAGCAAAGGCACAAGTCTTAGCCGACCCTTTAGGTGCAATTAGATTCTTCTTTTACAAAATAATGCGAATAGCAATCATTTAAATTAGAGTTGGTTTATTATAACCGGATTTAGCTATTTAGTTCATTAATCTGATTTAGATAATTGTTCATCTTAGAAAAATTATTCATATTTCATTTATATTATCCCTAATTATTTTTATTTTCAATTTAAAGAAGAGTTTTTCTATTCTAGATCTCTTAAGTTCTATTATTGGTCTTTTCTCTTTCATTTTAATCTAAACTTTCGTTTCTTCTTCTTCTTTTTAGATAATTGTTCAACTATATTAGGTATCTCTTCCGATTCTGATTCTTATTGTGATGCTACTACCTTATTCTTCATCCTTTTTCTTTTTTTAAGTACATATTCCATACTTTAATACTTAAATTACACTTAGCATAATTAAATATATTAATTGATAAATAAAATACAAAATATATAATTGTCATTCATCCATATCATTTCACATTACAGAATTTGATTTATAACAACAACCAAGCTAATAAATGTAAATTAGATTAAATGATTATTTTATTTTTATTCATAAAAGTTTATGAATAGTAATTAAGATTAAGTTTATATTTTATTTATTAAGAATGTAAACAAAGTCCAATGATTTCCGAGTGAAGACATCAAGACAAATATCAAAACGTCCTTTTTAGTAGACATCCTAGTAAGGTATTCAAGCAGTTTCGTAACAAAGTAGTTTATACTGTGAATATTAGCATTGAAAAAGAAACTTTCTCCAATCAGATTAAATAAGTATAATGTGTTTATGGATTGTTTAAATGACTTGACATAACAAAAGTTTGAGAAATGTCAATCCAGGATATTATTTTAGCAAATTGAAGAGAAAGTTAAGAAAAATCAATTACTATGCATCTTATTCATCTAAAATGTGACTGTGTATAACAAATATGATTTACCAAACAATAAAGTATATATATGAGTAATCCAGATTCCACCAAAATTTTCATGGGAAGCTATTTATCGAGGGAAGACATTGATTTTGACAACTCCTCATTAATATACAAAAACCTGTCATGGAATAGTTGATTTTATGTTTAAATCAAATGCCAAATATCCATTAAAACTAAAATTATTGAAAGTAAAGAATTATGAAGAACAATACATTGGAGAGATAGATTTGTCAGTTTCAGATTTTGTCGATTTTGAAGTTGTGTAAGAATATTAAGGAAAAATGATAAAGGAAACATTTGTATAGAAAGAGATGTTTAAAGTATACAATGATTAATCAGCATCAATTGGATAGGTGAGTTTGAAAATCATACAATTTTGTTCTTCGAGTGTTCCTTCAAGTATTAAATTAATTAATTGAAGATAAATCATCCAATATTCCAGGATCACCAAAGACATTAGAATAAAGAAAGAAGCATTAACAAATAGAGGAAGGAAAAGCAAAAGGGTTTGATTGGGGAAGTAGCAAAGATGAAGAAATTATAATCTAATTGATTCTAGAATGCCAAAAGGAAATGGCATCAAAAATCAACCAAAATCTTGAAGTAGTTGTCGAGAGAATCAGATGTAAATATTGGTATAATAAATGCTAGAGATGGAGAATACACTCTGTGGATTATTAAAAGAAAGCTGTTTTGCTCCAGACAATTTTGGAAGAAGAAATGCATTGGTTAGAATAAAGAGAATAAGAGAATTATTGGATAACCAGATCTCTGGTTTAGTGAAATAATCAGATCCTGCTTATTTGGAAATGCTTGTTTAATTAAGATTAACTACAAAATAGGGAAGAATTAAGAAAACAGATATTGAATCTGCTCTCTTCCATTTTGGTTGTGAAGCAGCTAAACTAATAATATTGACAGTCGATGACTTTGGAATGTGTTTAGTAGATTATATGTTAGATTCTGACTCATTGCCAGAAATATTATATTTCTTCAATTAATTAGGCTTAAATGAGGATGTGTAATTAGAAATTTTTGCATAATCATTATTTTAAAATATTAAAGAGAGACTAAGAAAGAATCATTATTTGAAAGCTCTAGCTTATTTTATTAATGCTTTGAATATGTATCCAAATATAGGGTTGATCATTGCTTAATATGCCACAAATCCTGAAAATTCATAAATTTTATCACCTTTTCTTTTGGAATTCAATATTCAGGATTATTAACATGTGATAGTTTTATCTAAATTAAGAAAATTATGCAAAAAATTCTTAAATCCAGAATTGCCATTTATGTAATCTATGGAAGAACAATATCGGAAAGCAAAATAGGAAACATATTTCAAAATTCCTATTCTACCAAAGAAAGTCGAGACCTAAGAGAAATTTGATTTATTATAATTACCAGAATTGTAATAGAATGTATTCCATGAGATTGTAAGGAGAAAGAGATGGAATTTATTTGCAAGATCTTGGAAGCAATTTGAACAATTCGTTTATCAACAAGATCATTAAGGAATTTCTCCTATCATGATGTTTTTAGAAAATGCACCCTTAGATTAGATACTTAATTTGGATTCTCTTCAAAATCAAACCTCATTAAGTGGTTAAACATCATTGCACTTTTTGATCATGAACCCTGATTTATCTGTTAATTCATTATATGCCTGTATAAATAAGTTTAATATGTTGAATGATAAAGCTTGGCTTGGATTTACACCTCTGGCATTATTTTTAGATAGATTAGTATATAAATAGAAGAAACATAAAAGTAGAATTATTAAAGAATTGAAAGCTGCTCAAGAGAACAACACTAATAAAGGTGTTCAAGTATTGGAGATCTTAAGTCAATCTGCGATTAATATTGCTAAGCATTTCAATTTTAATAAGTATTTATTGTATTGCTAAAATGTCAAAAACGATAATTTCTTTGAGGATTTCAAAAAAGAGAAGTTCAAAAAACCATTTTAATTGTAATAATAGAAAAATAAGTAAATTATTGAATGGGATCATTTTTATTATCAACACACTGTCCCAGCTATGATTTTGTGTAAACTAGATGAATCAATACAAGAATTGATATGGTAATAATTTGATTGGATAAATTGGCTATGTAGTAAATAGAATTACCCATATGAAACATATTACAATTAAACATTAATGGTTTCAATAGCCAAAACTACTTAAACTCAATATATTTATCAATATCTAACTAAAGATGTATAAATTACATATAAAGATAACGATCAATTTAGTGGTGACAAAAACAACATCTTTGATTTCTTACCAATCTTCTAATCTATTTATTAAATAGGCGAAATAACGACAAAACTTAAAGATGATATACAAAAGAAATATAAGGGAATATAAGATATCAATAAGAAGAAAGATGACGAAGATGACAGTCCAAAGAAAAAAATAAAATTGATGTATCAAAATCTTGCCTAATAAAAATACTAATAAGTATTGGATTAACTAATGCAAGAATAATAATCTACTGAGGGAATGTTATAAAATAACTTTAAATATTAAGGTGTTGTTAATGATCTGATGGTTGCCAAAGGTCTTAACTTTGGAAAACTCTTTAGAAAAGCATATGATTCAAAATTCCATGATATGTTGAATTTCGTAGACATATTATTAAAAGCATTATATTACAATAATATGTCAGCTGCTCATTTGGCCTTATTCTTCGCTTAATTAAGATTGAACAAGAGCTAAAGAGTAGCTTAATTGAAAACCAATCAATAAATATACTTACAATCATTAAATACACATTGGTGCATAGAATTAGATTTTGCATAATTTTAGGCTATGATTAACGATATTAAAGAAATCTGTCAATAAAATGAAGTCAACTATGTGATTTTGATTTTAGCAATGAATGGAAGATTCAATAAACTTAAATAAATCCACGATAGAATGACCAATCAAAATTATATAATTTAAGCATTACCTATAGCGGCTCATCAAATCAATACAGTTAGAAATGCCCTCTACTATGAAAGTTTAAATAAACTATTATAAGAATGTGATGTAAAGAGACTCTACCCTGAAGACAATCTAGATTTCTTCAAACCTCCAAAAGAAAAGGAAAAACCAAAGCCAGATCCCAAGAAACCTTTTGATAAAGCAAAACCAGTTTTTCAAAAGTGGATTATCGTTTAAGGAGCGTTAGTATATATTTTAATTATTACTAAAGACTACCTAATTATAGTAGATATATAAATTTGCAGCCAATAGTTATTAGAGAGTTAAGTCAGAATTCTCCATTCTTTCTAAACAATACTAATAATTATGGTACTAGGAATACTCATATAAATTAAGAAGATTATTCCCTAGATAAAATTTTAGATCTGTCTTTTATTCCTCAAAGTAGAAGGAATCTGATTTTGTCAAAACTATAGAGTTATTAATTGAAAAAGTACTCCTATTAAAATTGACACCTTCAGATGATTTCTTCAATTATGTCCATGTTCATGATAAGTTTTCTGAATTACTATCCTAATCTCCCAATTAGAACATTTGCATCGTTTAAGCATTTAAATCTATGATCAATCTGTTCAAATACGAATAGTCAAATGAGGTGTTATCAAGATGTATCAATTTCCTAAAGAAATACTTAAATTCCAAAATATTTAAAGATTTGAATGAGCCTGACACATTTAATAGAGAAAGTCAATTAATAACAAATTATTTATCAAAAAGTGATCCATCATCTACTCAATGTAAATTTGCTTGTGAAGTCTTAATACTAATGGATCAAAACTTTACCACATAAGAATTCGAAACACTCAATTTAATACAATAACCTTAATAATTAGCTAGTTTATTGCTAAAGTACAAGACATTAGAAAAAAGAACTTTGGGTTTTATTTAAAAATATTTAAATTCAAGTAACAATTAAGCCAAGCAAGCCTTACCTTTTAATGAATCAAACATGAGATATATTGTAGATTTAGCAAAGTAAGGTATAAATTTGATAAATGAGAATGCTTTGGAATTCTTTATTACAAAAGGATTGTTCAATTATTTAAAAGATTACTTCTTAAGTTCATTGAAACCTAAGGGAATGTTAAATGATGATTAAAAGTAGTTTTATTTGGGATTCGCATTTTCAAGTGGATCTTAAGAGACAATTTAATTGTGTTTAGAAGATTTGTGTAGTCTTAAGAGTAGTGAATTAAAGCAATATATGTTGGAAGGCAATTTATTAGCTAGAGCAATTGCAAAAGGTTCTTAGGAGACATTACTATACATAACTAGGAAGATAATGAAATAGATGACTTTCAATGGCAAAGAGATTTTGAAGTTATTGCTAATTTCAGATAACGTTGCCGAGCCATTTTAATTGGATAAATAAAGGAGATCATTATTCACAACAATATTCTTATTGAATTATGATATTTTTTATAAAGAATTTTTTGTAGATTATCTCTAGAAGATACTACCTTAAGATTATAAAAATATCATGATAAAGATATTAAATGCTACAGTGTGTAAATTAGATGAAAACAATAGTTGGACTGCATTTTAATTAGCTATTAATTGTGGATTCTTTGATGTAATATAGACAGTGTTATAATTGAATATAAATATAGATGCTTAACACTTGAAGGATATCTCAATAAGTAATTTACCGTAAAGATGGTTATTCTAGACTCCATAATAATTGGAGAATTTATTGAAATAAGAACATTACAAATAGTTATATAAACAGTCAGCATTAAGATTATATAGGATTTGTAAATACCATTTATGCAGATAAGAGAAATTAAAAGAGTTGGAGATCTGCTTAAATTTAGCTCCTTTGTATAATAAGATTGGTCTATAATTATAGAGTCAGGATCCGATCATAAATATTATTATGAATCAAAAGATAGATCCTTCAAAACAACCTTTGATTTATCTATTAAAATTGCATTTGGATTAGGTTGATAAAGCCAATTCATTCATATTGGTAGAAAGCTTTTGTGATAAACATCCTTAAATAACTCATGATAAGATATATACGTAATTGATCAAAAATAGGGAGGCTTATGAATTATTAAGAATTTATTATCCAGAATAAAATGAACCTGGAAATGCAAACTTTGATTTTGATCTCCCTTATGGTGATAATATTGTGAAGGAATACTTGTTAATATAAGATCCTCATCAATTTCTAAGATTTATCACAACTAATTAATAATTAGTATTTTCACTAAGAGTCTTATATGATAAAAATGATGATTTGGATAAATTCTGCAATTCATTAGTTGAGCCAAAACATATTATTATTTGCGGTTTACTATTATTAATTTTGAATCCCAACAAACATTCAGAAGTTGTTCACAGTAAGTTTAAATAGGCATTTGAATTAAGAGATGATCCATCTGCCTCTTAGGTGACTAATATCTTCAGAGCTATATTGAGATACTTTGAAACAATTGAACGAGCATTTGTATTCTTTTTCACCTTAATCTAATCGTTGCTGAATAATCAAATATATTAACAACTAATCTAAATTAAACCTATTGGAGATATGAATAATTAAATTAGTACTGAAAAACAATTTTTGGAAGATATTAAAGATGCTCTCATCTATGATACTTTTACATTGCAAGATAATGTTTGGGGATAGATATTGGGACAAAGTACAAAAGTATCTCATGCACTCCAATCTGACAAATGGTTTCAAGGAGTAATATTTTTAATTCTATTTTTAGTTATGTTTAATCAAGTCATTATTACATTTATGTTATTAAGCAGAATCTATAATACATGAAATTCAGACACTTAGCAAATTAGATGATTATATTTCAAGTGACTTTTGGGGAATACAATCTGCCATGATAGAAATTAGAGCAGAATTGCATCCAGCAGAACAGGTTGCTTAACATAAAGTAATTGTATTTAAGCAATCTGAAAATAACACTTGGAAAATCAAGTATCCTTTAGGAATGGTCAAAGGTAATATTGTCTTTTAAATATTAGATACTTCATTCATTTATCCTTCCATATTATCCTCATAAAAAGGAACTGAATATGCAAAAAATTAATTAATTTAACAGGTTTATGAACAAACTAAGTCTGATATATTGCCAAAAATTGAAAATTTCACTTTTGAGGGATATTCTCATGAGAATATTTAACAATTAATCAAGGAAACACATGAAAATGTAGCTATAGCTGTGAACTCTTACACGTTTTAAGGAGATGGAATTTAATATAATGGAAAATAATTGACTTCCAATTATTAAACAAAGAGAAAAAATAAGAAAGAACTTATTATGATTCCAATCACTAATCAAATTATAATTTAAGTTGTTTCTAAAGATGAATTTATAAGAAGAGAAAAATATTCCTTTTTATTCAACCAAATTATTGAAGATACATAAACTAAATATTGGACATTTTTTATTGATAAAGATTGTGTTTCATCAATTAAAGATGATTTAATTATTATGGAATTATATGAAATGACGAAAGATAGATTAGGATATCATGTTCAATTCTAATCATTTGTTGAATGTTTCTATAACAAATTAGCTAATGGACTAGAAAAGGCAACAAAAAAATGTACTCATAAAATAAAAATTATTAGCTATCTCACCTAAATTATGTGTAGATATAGGGCTTTAATGGGATATGTTGACAAAAGTAATTAAACACATATCTTCTTATTTAAAATTCGCAGACAACATTTGCTTTGAAATGGCTGAAATCGATCAAAGAAAAGTAATAATTTCTCATCATCTTAGTCTATTAATATTAAATTAGAAGGTTTTGATTCTATATTTAGATTTGGTTAAGCTGAACTTTCAGTGTCAAATAATGTTTTAATTGTCAAATTGAATATTGCCATGATGTCAAATGGAAACTTTTAACAATTATTTTAAACACAAAATAGATTGAAACTAAATAGCAGCGAAATCAAAGAATCTATAGATATTTAGGTATTATTATTTTCATATATTTAAATTAGTAATATTTATTGTCTATTTTTAATGAATAATAATTGTCACAATTATGATTTAATAATATATATCTATATTAATATTATCACACCATCTTATAATCACCAAATTAGAGATAATTTCTTAAGGGATGCTTTTATTCTCTTTTATATAGTCCATAAACAAGGCTTATGAATTTACTTTTTGATTAAAATATGAAATTCAAAATGTTTGACAATAGTAATTTCTTGCTTTTTTATAATCAAGTCTTAATTGTTACTATAGTAAAATTCCGAAGTAGTAAGGTAAATCAAAAATGAAAATACATACAAAAAAATTCTATTTTAGATCTTATAATTTACAATAGTTATGTCTCTGTAATTACATAGTATGAAAATACCTCATAGAATTTATTTATCCAAAATTTTCCACATTTCCTATCTACTAGCAAATATATAAGTTTAAGGCTAAAAATTATTAATAAATACTAAGTTTAAATTATAGATTGAATCAAAGGATACTTCTGTGAACTTTGTTTTGCTTTAATCTAGTTAATCTTCAAAAAGATGAACCATTAAATAATATGTTTGTTACAAACCCTGATTTAATACCCATCAGCAATATTCTAACAATAATTTAAATTGTAGGAATTTAGTATTTACAAATATTTGAATAAAAGTAATCTTCAATTGATGATTCTCTTGATTAAAGGCTAGGAGAATCTGCTTCTGTAGCTACTAAAACAAACTATTCTATATATTATGTGTATTTATGAGATATAAAGGTCTTTAGAAAATGTAAACACCCATGAAATTGTAGTTTCAAAGTGGAATTGATTTTATGTTAGTTCAAGTTTTAGCTCATATGTATATTTTTACATGTAAATGTTATAGATTGCAGCCATCAAAAGCAAAAGTGCTATAATTACAAGATATAATAAAATCGATCTTAATTTTAGTTTAAACCAGTAATCACAACCTATAAATTTTAGTAGTTATTAATTCTGTTGTTATCTTATAATCTCTATCAACTTTAATTACTCCATCTGAATTTAATGAAATGTAGTCTATTATAATATTCATACTTTATACTACGTTTATATTTCATTAAAATAATTAAAACATTATCTAAGTTTTTTGTATTTAATTACACTCTCAATTGTAGACTTATCAAAATATTAAATTTGACGATACAGAATTTAATATAGATCTACTATTTTTAATAAGTTGTAACAATTCATAGCTATTAAGATACCTAAAACTATTAAACCAGTTAACATATCAATAATAAAACTTAAAATTCTTCATATCTTCTAATAAATTATATTACTGAACTACTTGATCGGTTTATTATAAATTGAGGAAATAGGTTTAATGTTGAATTTGTTTGAATAAAATTAAATGAAACTCTAACTCACCTTCTATAAATCCTAATGAATATTTTATTATAAAAATGGCTATTAATCTTAAATGGTTGTATGTGATATTCAAATACTTTTTGATTTTATTATGTTATTCTTTAATAAATAAATTTAAATATGGCTTAATTGAAATATCCTGAATTTATGCATCAAATATATTATCATTTAATAGACTCTTTTATCCTAACGATACATTCTGTAAGATGCTTTAAATATTTTGCAAAAATTTTAATTAAAATTCATTTTTTACATTTTTATTTATTTTCGAAAACAATCTATTTCTAATCAAAATTCAGTAAACTATCTTACTGATCGTATCTCAAATATTACTTTATATTACACCTGAAAGATGTTCTTATTTCGAAATATTTTACATCTCATTACTCTTGATTTGAAATAATTTAAAATCTTCTAATTCTAATAGAATTTGGTATTTAGAAACTAGCAATAGTTTAGGGCAACTCCATAATAAATTAAATTAATATTCAAAAAAATTATTCAATTAACTAGTAGTTTCAACTATTATTTTCCAATCCTCATTAATAACAACATAATTGCCTGATAATTGATGTTGAATTGGTCTAATCATAACGATAAATTCTAATAATATACATTAGTTTATGGCTATTTTTAAATATTTATTTGCAGGAATAAGTTATGAATTCTGATATTAGACAAGCATTTTCTTTCTTGCATATAATGAACTTGTCTTTCCGTTTTCAACAAATTCTTTGATTCTCAACATATGATTTCGAATCATAGAATTAGTAATAATCTAATTAATATTACTGAATCCTTATAATCCAAAGATCTATCTAGTATATTCATACATTTGACAATAGTTCCATTTTCTTTAGTAGCTATCATTGAATAAAAAAGCTTTTTTGGATCAAAAGCCTGTCTATAATGATTTTCATAATCAGAATCTGAGTCTGAATCCTCATCACAAAAATTCTATTGCAAATTGTTTGAAATTTGATAATCAATTGTTTATCCCTTCATTTTTTAATTGAGTACATATCTCTTATACCATATATACAAGAATTCCCATTATGGTTTTTTACTTAGATAATGTATTTCATGTTGCTAAATATAATAATAACATTTTACCACATCTTTTCACATTCAAGGATACCACTTTATATTTTATTATCTAATCTCAATAAATCAGATTCTAAAATCTTCTCCTAATCAATAGCATTCCAATATTTCAGAAAATTGTAAATTACTTCAGCTATTTTCGTTTTTATTTTCTCAAAAATCATCTCTATTTCTAGCACATTTTCAAAATCTAGATAATTTTTATAATTATTAGAATTTTGCAGAATAATTTTATTATCCATCATCATCAATAACAAATTAAAGTCTATCTGCTAAAAAAAGTTAATTTATTAAATTTTTTATTTTAAAATTGACATCTACATTAACGCTTAAGATTTATTTTTTATAGAAAAAAATCAATATTTAGCATATTACAATATAATCTAATAATTTTGTTTATTCTAAATAATACATTGTTCAAACAATAATTTGATTTCAAATCTGAAAAACGATTAAGAATGATATTAAACTTTTTATGTCTAACTATTAACAAAGATTTTTCTTTTTACATCATAAAATTAGTGACATTAACAAAAACAGTATCCGATTTAACAATTATCAAGTGAGAGATCTTTTTACTATTCTAATGTTTGATATTTTCTTTCTAATTGCGAAATGCAACCTATTTTACGATGTTTCTAAATCAACCCAATTATTATATACTTCTTATTATCTTATTAAGCATTTAATTGGTATAAATAGTAAATTTTATTCAAGATTAATTAACTAGAGATATTATTTTACATCAAATAATATTAAATAAATTTCTTTTATACACATATTATTACATAACAATACATTTATTTCTTGATTTAATTTTAAAACTGATAATATTATTAGAAAAGTTATTGAACTTGAAATATTTTTTATATTAAATATTCGCTAGGTATAATAATTAAATTTATCGATTTTAAAAAATAATTCCTTATGCTGTTGATATTTCAGATAATAATTATTACTAAATATCTTGGGTAAGAACTGTAAGAGAACACCGAATAAGCTGAAAATGAAATGCTAATAAAATTAATTTAATTGAATATACATAATGAAGAACTGATTAAATATGAATGCTATTAAGTATGGTTATAACAATTTTAAATATAAAAATGTTAACTTATTTTAATTTTATATAGAGGATTTAATGGAGACTTAAATTTTCCAATAGTGCAGAATAGTATATTGCTGTTTTCTCCAAAATTAATTTATAATATTTTATAATTCTTTCTGCAATATCAAATTATTCAACAATCTTTAAAGAATTTTGTTGAGAAAATTGGAATTATTATTAATTTTGATAGTTTATATTTATCCAAAAAATTTTCTATTTATAATAGTATCTAAAAATCTCATTTGATTAATTCCAAGGTATTGGGTTTAAATTATATCAATATAAGATTCTAAATTAAGAAAATTGAAAAAAAAGGTTAAGTTGATTAAAAAATAACTGATTTTGTTGTTATTGATGCAAATAATAATTACAATTTGGGTTAAATTTGGAAACATAATATTATTGCTCCTAATGATTATATGTATTTTTAATGATTAATCGATACTAAAGATTGAGTATTTTCTTTATTATTATTATATCATCTATTCATGTCGACTTTGCCAATATTTACTTAATGCAAAGAATATTATTTAATTTCTAACAAAATTTTGATTATTTAGATAAATTAATATTTTTAGATGTAGTAAATAGGATGATCAAGGAGTAGATAGTGTTGAAATTTTTAGTTAATAAGAAGAAATAACATCAATTTATGAGATTACTTCTATTTTGAGAAAAGCGGTAATCTACAATAACGACTAAAGAATATGCCAATAACATAATAACAATATAATTAAGTTCATATTGATAATTTACATTCATTTTGAGTAGTATGTATTAATGTGTGAATTTGAAAGTATTATGAACAGAACTTATAGTTGATTGATGAGATTACTTTTAATAACGAATTAGTGTATCAAAAAAGTAAAAAGAATTATGCAAAAATATATTATTTAAATAGAAATAAAGTGAATAGTATTGGAAAAATGGCAATATTCATTCTGCAAAGAGTAGCGAACGTTTTTTCAAGAGAGTGCTCTTATTTGTATTAGATAATGAGATAATTTTTGAAAACTACAGAGATATTTAAAAATATTACTAATTTTTGTTTCAATTAAAGGTTGTACATTTCTTCTTTGAGAGTTGGATTTGTAAATGATTAGATGTTTAAATCATTTAAGTATTGACAGATTCTTTCCTCTAGATCATTAACTTCCTCAGACGCATCATAGCTAGAAGTTCTACTTAGACTATCTTCAGTAGTCCAAGATTATCTTAAGCTGTCTCCATCAGAATTATCACCTTAAAATCCGCCTTTAAGCAAGTCCATTTTGACAACAAAAGATTTAATTAACTATATAAATAATACAAATTTCAGAGATTATTATTGCATTTAATTAGGAATAATTAAGTTCACATCTAATATCATCTAATCATATTATATACTCATTAAATATAGATAAATCACATTTATACTTTAGGGGATTAACTTAATGAATAATTAAATTCTGGTAGTGAAAAAATACTTAATAAATTAATCGAAATATAATTAGGAATTCTAACAATAATTAAAACATAATAAAACTGTGCAATCAAATTTTCAAATTAAAATAATCATAAATAGAATATATTTATCCTACGTTGTTTAATTAATTAGGTTTGTGACAAGAAATTCAAAAATTATACTTTATGCATTATTATGAAATCATTTGAGAGGTCTTAAATGGATCACTAGAAAGTTTAACAAATTTAAAATGATAAATAATAGTACTATGAAACCCTTTATTCTATATTCATGCAGGCCATGTTACACCCTTTGCTCAAAAGTAATAATAATAACAGACTTATGATAAAATAAAATTTTCAAATACTTATGCAATTTAGTAAATAATTATGAAACAATTCAACTAAAAAGGATGGATAATTTAGAAATTAATTCATAACGGAAATACTATTGAGCTCTCTATGGATATTGGCTATTTAAAATGAGAATAAGCAGAAAGAGGAGGATAGTAAATTGAAAAAGAGTTTATTTAAGAAAACATTTTAATAGCATTAAGAATTAAAGTAACAATTATAAGAATAAATTCAGGCTAAATAAATGTAATTCAAATTTATATTAATGACTTTAACATTTTTTCTAATTTCACAATAATTTGTGATAACTAAACACAAAAGAAGTCTTTTCTTTTAACCATAATAATTGTATAAAAATTTACAGATTAATAAGTTTGATAACCAAAATATATTGAAAATCTTACAAATTTCCCTATTCTTTAAATTTATACTAAAAATTCTATATTTTTTATGCTTGCAGCTTTACTAAATTTAGATTTTGCTCTCAACTTAAATATATTAGATCATCACAAGTTTTCTTAAAATCGGTATTGTTTTATAAATCAGTGATACATAATCTTCATTGAATTTTGTTTATCTATAATTAATAAACTAATTATTGGCTAAAATTGGTATAATTCAATCACTTCTAATTATTTTCACTAATCTATCAAATTTTGAATTAAATCCTATGTCATCAGGTATTTTTTAATAACCAATTTATGATAATCAATTACTATATAAAAAATGAAATGATATATTTTTCAAATGCAGCGACAAGTCCAAGTAAATAATCCATAAACAAATCGCTGTAATATTCATTTTTTGATTTTTGACAATGAAATAAAATATATTTCTTAAGATTTTAGTCTTATTTCATTTTTTTATATACTATTAAATACGCTATTAAATGCAAATCTTATTTCCTCTTAAGAGAATTATAATTATTTCGTCCTTGTAGAAAACTGAAGCCCAAATTATAAATTATGAAAGAAAGCGAAGATTCGTTATTCTAATACTAAAATGATTTAATAATATCACTAATACTAAAATGATTTAATAATATCATTAATACTAAAATGATTTAATAATATCATTTTAGATATTTGATTTAATAATATCATTTTAGATATTTCAATAGTTAAAGGTAAAAAGTATTATAAATCTAAAAAAAACTATGTCTCTATTCATTTGAGGTTAAGAGAGCAGGTAGCTGTTACTTAGTATGAGATTTCATATTCAGAATTCATTTAAGACTCAATTTTTTTTGTTGTTTTTGAAAGTTTTTCAGAATTAAATAAAGAAAAAATTCATAAAATTAATATAGTACTAAATTCTTACTCAAACAAACAAGTATTTAATCGAAGCTAGAGAGATATTTTTCACCTTGTAAAAAATAATGATAAAATATTCCTACGTAGACTTTTTTTAATCATCTCCCAACCCCAACTATATATTATAATTTTAACTTTGTTATAACACTAGCAGTTTCTTTTTCATACTCCTTAATTTTAATCGATATAGAATTAAAGGGAATCAAATATAAATTTAATGCTCTGAGTAAAGTCTTATATTTAAAATGGTTTTCTATTTTTGATTTCTCTCAAATAATATTTCCAAACCAACAATTACTACAGATTTGAATAGAATGTTAGGAAAGCAAAATACTTTGTTCAAATTATCCTATTAATGTACCAAGATTTTTTAGTTTTATTTGGAATCACCCAAAAAGTTTGATTCATCAAACAAAAAAATTTTGGCATCCTTTATAGAATTTTACAACTTTATTGGTTCAATGCTTTTTTTATTAGAATTCCACTTTAATTATAGCAGTTAATTCTATTTTATTCTTCAAAATGTAATTTATTTAAGTATTGTACTATTGTGAGTTTTATGCGTCATAATTGTTCTCGATATAATTAATTAAAAAATAGCTTTTATATTATTTATATTAACTTATTTTTTTAGTAAGAGTATTCATATGATATGAATTTTATGTCAATCCATTTCTGCTTGATCGTGTTCCAGATCTTGATTAGGAGATAGACAACTATTGAATGAACTTATGGATGGAAATAGTGAATTACCGTTAGTTAATTATGATTTTTTACTGTTTTATTCATCCTATAAAGAATTTATCTAATATAATTACTGAATCAGAATCTGTATAAGACATATAATCCTAAAGTTCGATGGATACCTTCCTTGCATTATCTAATCTCTAGAAATTTCATAATTACTTTACTCAATTTATGGTAATTCAACTTCTGAAACTAAAGATTTGATTCCAAGAACTTGAATGGAAGGATTATTATAATTTACAATGACAATTTATTTTAGGCTTTGAACATTCATCTCCCTATTGAGACAGCATTCCCATAAAATATTTTAGTCATCAATAATAACCACTTTAAATTCTAACTTTGAATCTAGTATTACATATTTAATTTTATATACATGCAGGCAGTTCTAAAGGATAGTCAGTATACCATAAAGGGTACATGCTCTCATTAGTGAGAAGTTATAAACCATAAGTCGGATTCCAATTTCCTAATTCAGGTTTGTTTCCAACAACTTTGACATGCTAATAAAACAGTGTTTTGCAATATATTCTAAAAAAAACTTATGTATTCATCTACATATTTTTATATAATTTTTATTTATATCTACACATATTAAATCACGTTCTTATTTGTGATTGTGCGTCATAGAATATTATAATAAATATTTAATTAAATATAAAATATATTATTTTTGCCTATGAGATGCTTACTAAAGTAAATTGTTATAATAATTATAATCTGTTTGGTCACTGCACATCTCAAAATAGAAAATTGAATCAAGTCAAATTATTCATTCTATTTCGTATCAATTTTTGATGAAAATAATTTTATAATTTTATTTTTCTTTAATTCTATCTGTATTTAAGAAAGTTAATGTTTGAATTAATCGATTTAAACCAGATGAATCATTGATATAAGTAGACATAATCTTATAATTAAATAATATATTAAATATAGTCAACATTCTTTCTTAATGTATTGACTAAAAAAAGAAAATAAGAACCCCTACTTCCATTTTATAATTCTAATTAGATTATATGACTTCTTTCAATTAACATTGAATTGATTATAATAGTTTCGTGTTTCATAATTACTTAAAAAATTAATATTGAAATGCCTTCATATCAAAATTTTCTTAAATAAATTATCATTATTTTAATGTGTGTATTTCTTTGCTCTAGTTTTAAATATCACTATAAGATATATTTTAGGATTTTCGAAAATAACCAATTTAGAAGGCATAAGATCATGATTTAAGGATAAAATGTTTGTTCTAATTATGGTTAATTGTAGTATTCATAAATCAGAAGAAATTGAAAACCATAAAATTAAAAATTTTCGTCGATGGCTTGTTTTGGGATTCTTCCCCTGAGCCTACTCTGCTACCTGAGGGACGGAGATAGGTTTAGAGTAGACAGGATGACATATAGAAGAACGACGAATTGGCAAAGGGATAGAAGAGAGTTAGATTTAAAAAGGAGCCCCTGATTGATAAGCCGGTCGGGCCTAGTAGCCCGGAGGAAGATGTTGAATTTGAATTATTATTGAAAAAATTTTTGGTAGATTACCTTGCATATTTACTCCTGCACATCGGCCTGAATTTAATGCTATAGAACACATGTTTGGATGGTTAAAAAGAGGTTTGGTAGCAGCTTAAACTACTTCAACTAGTCAACTTGTCTATTAAATATACAGAATCATTTGTGATGTATCATAAAACTTAATAGTTGACTTATTTCAAAGATAAAGAATAATCATAAATTTTAAACTTCCGACAACTGAGTTGGCTTCTCTTATACTAAATTGATTCTAAAATAATAATAAAATAAATGAAGATTATTATTTTCGTAGAATATTATTAACTTTCTTAAATAATAGAAAGGCATAATCTTTCAGCATTATTATGTTAAAGAGAATAATCTAGGAATGTTTCTTGCTTTAAACTTAACATATATCTAGTTTAATTTGAATTATAATCCAAATAAGGGTAAAACTGATTTCTTCAAAATATCTTTTGACATTAACATTATCACAGGGATTGTTAGATTTATAAGACTAATCAATTAAATAATTGTACCTAAAAGAATAATTTTATTTTTTAAAATGAAAAATATGTTCTTCTATCAAAATTACTTTATAAGCATCTAGTCGGATTTAAGAAAATTTACAAATATAATTTATTTCTTATATTTTTCAATAAGATTAGACTGTGGTGTAAATGGAGTTAAAAATTGACGAGGAATCAAATTTAGAATTTTTTGTACAATTTTAATTAAATGAACTTTAGAGTTGTCTAATATAAATATTACATTTTCACTATCATTATCTAATATGCTAAAAACCATTATGACTAATAGCTCCTAATATTCCAAAAGTAGAAGTATGTTATTTATAATTTACTATTTTAAAGGAATCTTATTGAAACCAAAATCTTTGGACTTTTTACTTACTTCATCAATGAAGATATTAATGGCTTATTTTTGAATTTGGTTAATAAAAACAATGCATAGTTAAATCTTTCTACAATAATATTTCTACCTGATGCTCTTATATTACGTTTAATTGGACACCTATTTGTTTAATTGAACACCTATATGAACATTTAGCTATTATTTCACAACTTTGCGAAAGGTGAAATAATAGTGCACTTTCTTAGAAAATCTTTCCAAAAATTCATTGAATATATTTTTAAGATTTATCATATTTTTCTACTATATCCTAAATTTACTTCAATTAATATGAATTCTGAAAAATGTTTCATCAACCATTTATTCATCATTATTTAAAAGAACATATTGTACTTGACTTGTTGAGAATCCTAATTGTCCTGAAATTGTTGAATTAGAAAAGTGATATTCTTCATAACTATTCTTTTAAAAGACAAAATGATTGAATAGTCATCATTCTTTAGCTTAAAATTTTCTTTTTGTTTTTATGCTTTTTCTTATAATCTCTAAAACAATTAAAAAGCGATGTCTTAACATAGATTTTCTTTAAATTGTATATTTCTTCCCCAATAAACACAATTATCTCTCAATGTATATGAAATGATTGACCATTTTCATTACAGTTTTATTGTCTTACATTAATTTTTATTTCTGCCTCAATTTGAAAACCGCATAGAAGTTAACTATGCAAGAAATAAATTGAAGTTCGAAAAGTTTAAAAAGAAAAAATTGAAAAGAATAAATAGATTGAATTATTAAATATACGAGTTGAATTATAGATAAATAACTAATTCCAAGAACACTTTATGATAATATATGCTTAAATCCATGAAAAATTTAATTACTTTTCAAGTAACTAGGTTAAATTCAATTAAATTATTTTGATCAAAAAAAACGCTTATCTAATCATAAATTAACTTAGTTAATTTACAAAATATTTATTTATAGTTTCACAGGGTTATCAAAAAAACTAATTTGTTAGAAAGATGGATTTTTGATATTTTAAGTAAGCATAGGAAATTTAAATGGGCTTAATCAAAACACAAAATTCTTTACATCCTTGATAGTTGATCAATTCATTAAAGATAAATTATAAAATAGAGTAATTTAGATTATATTAATTAATTTTTTTTAGCTCCTTATACTACAGAATTCAATCTTACTGAAATATCTGAAAACTGTTAAAAGAAGGAAGTATTATTTTCTAACAGAGAATTATATGTATTTAATTGTTGAGAACTTATAATTATTATGATAGATTCAAACTTATTATTGTAATTGAGAATATTATTTATAAATTCAAGATTCATTTTTATATATTATATATATTTATACTACATAATTTCGATTATGGTCATAATTAGTATATAAATAATAATTTGATTTAAAAAATTCATTTCTATTCAAAAATCTAACAGTAATCAATAATAATACTTACTTTTAGAAAATATGGATGAAGTTATCATTAAAAGCTATTTTGATAGAAATATCAAATACTTTTTGAAATGTTACAATTACAAGAAGAAATTTAAAAGAATCTATATCTAAATATTAAACCTATTATATAATACAATATTTTAATATATATATAAATTTGGAATTTTTTAAAACAAAATGCTAATTTAAGAAAAATTCATCACTTATCATTTTCAGAATTCAGGGGGCAATAGGTCTTCTGACTATCTTGATTTAGGACCGGAATGAGGAGATCGTTGTACCTTGCCTGGAAATTCGTATTCTGAATTATCATCTGTAAATAAATTTATTTGATACGATAAAGATTCTTTCTAATATTTAATCCAAACAATTCTGCTAAATCTTTCTACCTAACCAAGGAAATAAGTTATTAAGTGAGCATTTCGTCATCCTTCTTTTGCTCATATTATTCAAGTTATTAAAAAATTTCCACTTGCTCAATTATTACTTTTTCTATCAAAATAGAACTGAGTATTACCTTTTAATTGTTATTTTTCATGATCATCTATCAATTGTTATTTATACAACTCTTGGATGTACCAAAATAATTTAGAATGTGGCAACTCGAAATTTTACATAAAAATTTATTTGTTAAATTATTGATTTAAATATTATCGATATTTATACTAAGAAAACAAATTATTTAGAATATTTTAATAATTAATAATGCAGCCATTTTTTGCGCAATTTAGTATGTTCCGACAATTTATCTCTGAAGATCCTAATTTATTCAACACTAGCTCTAGCGATTTGTATTTATGTTATTTATTATTAGTTTCCAATCATTCGATAGCGATATATCAATTTAATTTGCCAATTAATCGCCGCCAATTATTCATATAGAAAACTCAGGAATTTAAATGATATCCATCATTAGAAATGAAGGAAGGAGCGGGTAATTCTTTCATTTGAAATTAGACAAAAAAAGTAGATCCAAGAAATGTACACAAGATTAAGAAAGAATGAAATATAAAACAATGAATTGAATAAAAATGAACCTCATATCAAAATAACTGTTTCAAAAAACCAAAATCTATAAAACTCGACTTCCTCAATTGAACACTATATTAATTAATTTGGGTATTTAAGTTTTCCAATTTAAAGTATGATAGGTTCAATAAAAAATGCAGATTCAGAAGATGTTATTATTGGTAGACAAGAGAAGCTAGAAAACTATTAAGGTTAATTAATATTTCCAAATGATATAAGTACATAAATCAATAATTTTAGTTTTAAGAGAAACTGAGAGATTGATATCTAGAATTCATTGCAAAATAATCTTTAGAAACTTTTTTAGAAAAGAAAATTAAATATTGCCATTGTATTAACAAACCATAAGTTAATTAAAATTACATTATAATATCAAATAAAGAATTTCATAATTTTTAGAGTAAAATAATATATATTTTAGGGAGCCTAAAGATTGTTATATCTAAGATATTGGCAGCGTTTTTGGAACGCACATCAAAATTGATAGAAACTATGTGAAATTGAAAAAATATCAATAATATAGCATTGGGAGTGAAACTACAATTCAGATTCTTGAAATTCATAATTTAGGATCAGAATTAAAACAAAGGGATATAGAATTTGATAAATTGATATAAAAGTTAAGAAATATCAAATACAAATGCTCACTGTAGGGATTGGATCTCAAGCTGTATGAAAGATCATTGCAGGTTGATTAAAGTTTTGATTAAATCCTAACAAATCTAAGATGTTATAATATTCCATTTATAATGATGAAATTTGGAGGATCTGGAGTTACAGACATTAACTAAAATCTCTTTTTCGCTAAAGACCCTAATACTATTTTTTCAATAGGAAGAGGAAATGATAATAATATAAGAATCAACTCAAATACAATATCGAGGAAACAAACAAGATTTAGATTTAATCGAAAGTATAATTTTAGTAGATGTTTATAGAGAAAATAATTGGGAGATTGCAGACGGAAGTTAAGATAAGGATTCAGCAAATGGAACATGGATGTAACTATAATCAATTTAAGAAAGAGAGTAAAAACTTGGATCATAAGCCTATCCTTTGAAAAATCTGTCAGAAATAAAAATAAGTGATTACACTTTGAAAGTCGAACTCTTCAAGGGAAAGTATTTTAACATTTTTAAATTTAGCGAGAAAGAAAAAGCTAGATGTTAAGTCATGAAATCTTTGTTGTGATAATTTTTTGTTTTTATTGTTATTTTCTGTTTGATATGTTAGCCATTACCATCTTTCCTGAAAAACTATCAATAACTTTTTTTAATTTGAAAAATTTAATTTGTTAGATGTTAGATTAAGATGGGTTATTTTTGATATTAGTTATTAAATTATTTCATGATAGGAGAATTTTTTTGATACTATTATTAAATTTCAAGCAATTTTTAATTTATTTTCTTTATTTTGAATTTATAACTTAGAATTTCAAGTTAAAATAGCTCTTTCAAACTTAAAGGATTAATATTGAAATATAATTAAATAAAATAATGTATGATTTTTCTGAGGAGGCTCAAACTGATAAATAGAACGTTTAATAGGATGGGTTTTAAGGGGATTAGGTAATACTTTAGAGTATATTAGATTGCTGCCTCTGAAGCTTTTTCATATGAGACATCAACTCAACCAATTACACTAAATATATACGTGGTACAATTTAAGTTAAGCATAGAGCCCAGAATAATAATAACGAAAGGATAAATTAAGAATTCTTGAAGATGAAAGAATTGCTCAAATTCGAGAGAAGGATTAATAGGAGAGATTATTGAAATAATAAAAGAAATAGAAAGGCCTGGAATTTTTTTAGGAGTTCAAAAAGTAGATACAGTTATTTATAATAAGACAATAAGAAATGGAAATAACATAAAGAAGAAGTCAAAATAAGTAGTAATAAGAGATCTGGAATGAAAATCAAAAAAATCGTAATCAATACGTATGATAGTTTTTCTAATTACAAGAAAAACTCTTGGGATTAAATAGCATCAAATATCGCTTTAAAAGACGGGGAATATCCTGGAGAAAAAGATGTAACAAAGATGAGATAAGCAATCCTTAATAAAAGAATCGATCTGACTAAGTGATGTCCATTAATTATAATATCAGCATTCAATTCATAGTAATATGTGCATCATAATTCTAATTCAGTCGTTATCCAAATATTTCATATCTATATCTATATGTCTAAAAATAATAATTTAATTTAAATCATAAATTCGGATTTTTAAGAATCGCCATTCTAATTTTCCGTTCAAAAGCGTCGTCCAAAAATAATACCTCTCTTGGTACCAAGTGGATAAATTTTATAGCATATGTTAGTTTGAATTTTAAATTAGTTTCTAAAGCAATCATTATAATAGCGACTAAAATTAATGTAAACGAAATTGATGAAACAAGGATTTTCTATTTTATTTAAAAAAAAAATATACTTCTAAAATAGATTTTTAATTTAAGACTTGTTCGGAAAAGTTTCTCATCGCCCTTACTGATGACATTTATAAGAATTCTGCAAACAAATAAGCTCCTTCTACTTCTAATGCATTGATAGGCTTTCGCTAAGAAAAATCTTCGGTAATTAATTCTTATGTGATTATTTTAGATACATGATTCAATACAGCTTAAATTCCTAATAGAAAGGATCCTTCAAATGAATTGATACAAATTTATTGAATTTATTAATTGTTTGACTAAAGTAATATAATTATTTACTTCATTAATAAGTTGACATATATCATTTGTATCTTAATCCAGAAAGTAAGATACAAAATCAGGACGAAAAAGCAAATTAACCTGATTTTTATTCAATAACTCTTATTAATATTATTTGATTTATAGAGATGATTGATTAAGCCAATAGATCATATATTTAAAATCTGAGTCTTTTAAATATGGAAAGAAAACCTAATTGTTCAATTATTCTTTTAAACTATAAGTTAATGCTATATTGAAACATAAATCAGAAGTATTTTTATGCATAGTTGCTGTTGGTTTATACTTCTTAATAAATTCAGATAAAATAAGAGTGTTAGATAAGTTTACGATTAAGAATCCAATAAACATAGTATAGATGAATATCAAAAACTTGGTAGTGTTGACTTTGGCTTTTTTGTATATTGATTTTTAATAACTCGATTAATTTGTTTTTGTCTATTTGTTTAAAGAATATATTTCACTTTCCTTTTGTTTCTCATTAAAAGTGTAAAATTAGGTTATATTATGATTTTCAATCTAGTTAATTAAGTAATATGAATATTCTAATTCAGACTCCAAAGCATATTTATCGATGTTGAGCATAATATTGCCAAAAAGTTGCCTCTATTTTGCAAATTTTCTATAATAGTAATTGGAGAACAAAAGGCAAATGAAATTTACAAATAAAAAACATGCAATCACTATAATTTGGTCATTGATTTGTTTGGAATTTCTAGTTATAGTATTGTTGTAAACTTAATCACTCAAGTATGAACAAATTTCAAATAACAATTTTTAATTTAACATTTAAAATGTTACTGGAGTAATTATTTTAGGAAGTTCATTATTAAAGTAAACCCCATAAATGAATTACTAATAATCAAAAAATTTCATGAAGAATGTTCGAGCACTAAAATTTTCGTATTTATAAGTATAATCGTCTTACAAATATATTACTTAATAATACCTATCAAATAATAAATCTTACAAAAGTTTAGATTAAAATAATTTTTTAATTTCTTCATGAAAATGTTCAAATTCTAATTTGAAATATTATTTTGCAAAATCAGTTTCATTTAGAAACTATTCATTTGTTATTAAATTCTAATTCAATAGATTAGTTTTGTCATAGATGATAAATCTCAAAATAAAGAAACTTAACATAGGTTGTAGGATGTCGTTTTTAATTGACAATTATCCAACATCAGTTATATAATTATTAAAATTGTTTTATATAAGAACAGTTTATAATAATAAGGAGACTATTCCTAATAATGATGAAACCACTAAAAAGATGATAGCTAATCTAGCAAATATGTTTTTAGTTCTTTTTTAAACCATTTTATCTATATATTCCACTTTATCTTAAAAAGTTGAATCATACACTTCTCTTTTTTCTGTTGGAGTCCTATCATCTTAAACTGATAGTTTTTATCTATTAATATCTGAACATAATTAAGGCATGCTTAATTATTTCGAGAATTTCTTCTTGATCATTGAAATATCGTCACTTACTCTTGAGGCATCATGATAACGATTATAAAATTTTTATTAAAATAATAATAATTCGTTGGTTGAAGATTTTTCTTAAGGAGAATTTAATTATTGATAAGTAAGTTCTGGTGATAATAATTAAGCATCTAAATCTTTATAAGCATCAAAATCATAAGGAGAATCTATTTTTATTGCTTCTAAGAACTTTTATTATAATTCTATCTTTTAAAGGGATTTTGTTGAACATTCAATCAAATTTGATGATTATGAAATTCCATTTAACTTTTTTAAATAATCAAAAGTTAATATCAAATATGACAATTTTTTATTGTGGTATTTAGATTAAATTTCAATTTGGGATTCAAATCTATCCAATA